TACGTCGGTGTCTAACTGTTGCGTTTTCAAACTCTGGAAGTGTTTAAAAATTGTCACTATTTCGCGGATCCACTACAACAGATGGCTTTATATTCCCTCACTGCCACTCTAATTCTAAGAAAAGGATGTCGTCAAACTAACTTTCAAATGTGCGTATTAATTCCTGCAATAGTGACAACATACCAAGCTTGTGTACATAGTTGTTCAGACAGATATTCCTCACATCTGCTGCTGTAATCACTTTATATTAATATTATCACATGATGCATGATTTCATAAGCGCAAATAGTTGGACAAACGTGTAAATATATAACGTCAACGCCAGAGAACAATCAGTCTCAATTATCCGCCCAAACACATTCCATTGAGCGTAAATGGCAAACTAGTGGTGAAAATTATATGAATGGATGACTAAAAATCAATGATGACACCAGGTGTTCGCGAAAGGGTAAGCATGCCCTGCCCTACCGGTAACAACAATGTTTCAGACTGGGCTTATAAACAGATATCCACTCCGAATTTGTCAACATGTTTTCACAATAGGACAAATGCGCAACAAGCGCGATTCACCACCGACAGACGCATGACCAAGCCCTGGATACACGCTCATGCCAGTTTATAGCGTGTATGTCTTGTTCAGATGCGACTCTAGACTGTATTTCAAGCAGGGAATAGAGGGTCTGGTTTACCTGAGTCGAACTAGAGTCCATATCTCGTCAGTATTGGCCTGTGTAAACCAGGCGTGTCTGACGGCAGCAACAAGCCCGCCTGCCGTGTTCCGTGCTGACAGCCTGATTTGATGATGACGTCAAGTGATTGTTGACGTAATCGTTCTGTGATGTCAACAGCTTTGGGGACACAATAGGCCGTGACGTAGCTCCATTGTCGGCGTCACCTGTTACTGCTGAGCAACCACACCGTTCCGTTCTTGGCCGTTTCCCAATCCGTCTGTATCTGATGTTGGCGTCGCTCATCAGCATTCTCGTCATTGAAGCGGTTAGGACACATTTTTACATCTCTTTCCAACCTGTTTGCAATGTATTTGGAGTGCAGAAAGCTTTCAGAGTACAGGCATGGTACATAACTCCTATCAACCCTTAACAATTACGGCAAAGACCGGTGACGACGCTACATCTAACCTCCTTACACTAAATACTCTCTATTATCATGCACCAATAGAATCATGTTGGACCTACGTCGGTGTCTAACTGTTGCGTTTTCAAACTCTGGAAGTGTTTAAAAATTGTCACTATTTCGCGGATCCACTACAACAGATGGCTTTATATTCCCTCACTGCCACTCTAATTCTAAGAAAAGGATGTCGTCAAACTAACTTTCAAATGTGCGTATCAATTCCTGCAATAGTGACAACATACCAAGCTTGTGTACATAGTTGTTCAGACAGATATTCCTCACATCTGCTGCTGTAATCACTTTATATTAATATTATCACATGATGCATGATTTCATAAGCGCAAATAGTTGGACAAACGTGTAAATATATAACGTCAACGCCAGAGAACAATCAGTCTCAATTATCCGCCGAAACACATTCCATTGAGCGTAAATGGCAAACTAGTGGTGAAAATTATATGAATGGATGACTAAAAATCAATGATGACACCAGGTGTTCGCGAAAGGGTAAGCATGCCCTGCCCTGCCGGTAACAACAATGTTTCAGACTGGGCTTATAAACAGATATCCACTCCGAATTTGTCAACATGTTTTCACAATAGGACAAATGCGCAACAAGCGCGATTCACCACCGACAGACGCATGACCAAGCCCTGGATACACGCTCATGCCAGTTTATAGCGTGTATGTCTTGTTCAGATGCGACTCTAGACTGTATTTCAAGCAGGGAATAGAGGGTCTGGTTTACCTTAGTCGAACTCGAGTCCATATCTCGTCAGTATTGGCCTGTGTAAACCAGGCGTGTCTGACGGCAGCAACAAGCCCGCCTGCCGTGTTCCGTGCTGACAGCCTGATTTGATGATGACGTCAAGTGATTGTTGACGTAGTCGTTCTGTGATGTCAACAGCTTTGGGGACACAATAGGCCGTGACGTAGCTCCATTGTCGGCGTCACCTGTTACTGCTGAGCAACCACACCGTTCCGTTCTTGGCCGTTTCCCAATCCGTCTGTATCTGATGTTGGCGTCGCTCATCAGCATTCTAGTCATTGAAGCGGTTAGGACACATTTTTACATCTCTTTCCAACCTGTTTGCAATGTATTTGGAGTGCAGAAAGCTTTCAGAGTACAGGCATGGTACATAACTCCTATCAACCCTTAACAACCACGGCAAAGACCGGTGACGACGCTACATCTAACCTCCTTACACTAAATACTCTCTATTATCATGCACCAATAGAATCATGTTGGACCTACGTCGGTGTCTAACTGTTGCGTTTTCAAACTCTGGAAGTGTTTAAAAATTGTCACTATTTCGCGGATCCACTACAACAGTTGGCTTTATATTCCCTCACTGCCACTCTAATTCTAAGAAAAGGATGTCGTCAAACTAACTTTCAAATGTGCGTATCAATTCCTGCAATAGTGACAACATACCAAGCTTGTGTACATAGTTGTTCAGACAGATATTCCTCACATCTGCTGCTGTAATCACTTTATATTAATATTATCACATGATGCATGATTTCATAAGCGCAAATAGTTGGACAAACGTGTAAATATATAACGTCAACGCCAGAGAACAATCAGTCTCAATTATCCGCCCAAACACATTCCATTGAGCGTAAATGGCAAACTAGTGGTGAAAATTATATGAATGGATGACTAAAAATCAATGATGACACTAGGTGTTCGCGAAAGGGTAAGCATGCCCTGCCCTACCGGTAACAACAATGTTTCAGACTGTGCTTATAAACAGATATCCACGTCGAATTTGTCAACATGTTTTCACAATAGGACAAATGCGCAACAAGCGCGATTCACCACCGACAGACGCATGACCAAGCCCTGGATACACGCTCATGCCAGTTTATAGCGTTTATGTCTTGTTCAGATGCGACTCTAGACTGTATTTCAAGCAGGGAATAGAGGGTCTGGTTTACCTGAGTCGAACTCGAGTCCATATCTCGTCAGGATTGGCCTGTGTAAACCAGGCGTGTCTGACGGCAGCAACAAGCCCGCCTGCCGTGTTCCGTGCTGACAGCCTGATTTGATGATGACGTCAAGTGATTGTTGACGTAATCGTTCTGTGATGTCAACAGCTTTGGGGACACAATAGGCCGTGACGTAGCTCCATTGTCGGCGTCACCTGTTACTGCTGAGCAACCACACCGTTCCGTTCTTGGCCGTTTCCCAATCCGTCTGTATCTGATGTTGGCGTCGCTCATCAGCATTCTCGTCATTGAAGCGGTTAGGACACATTTTTACATCTCTTTCCAACCTGTTTGCAATGTATTTGGAGTGCAGAAAGCTTTCAGAGTACAGGCATGGTACATAACTCCTATCAACCCTTAACAACCACGGCAAAGACCGGTGACGACGCTACATCTAACCTCCTTACACTAAATACTCTCTATTATCATGCACCAATAGAATCATGTTGGACCTACGTCGGTGTCTAACTGTTGCGTTTTCAAACTCTGGAAGTGTTTAAAAATTGTCACTATTTCGCGGATCCACTACAACAGTTGGCTTTATATTCCCTCACTGCCACTCTGATTCTAAGAAAAGGATGTCGTCAAACTAACTTTCAAATGTGCGTATCAATTCCTGCAATAGTGACAACATACCAAGCTTGTGTACATAGTTGTTCAGACAGATATTCCTCACATCTGCTGCTGTAATCACTTTATATTAATATTATCACATGATGCATGATTTCATAAGCGCAAATAGTTGGACAAACGTGTAAATATATAACGTCAACGCCAGAGAACAATCAGTCTCAATTATCCGCCCAAACACATTCCATTGAGCGTAAATGGCAAACTAGTGGTGAAAATTATATGAATGGATGACTAAAAATCAATGATGACACTAGGTGTTCGCGAAAGGGTAAGCATGCCCTGCCCTACCGGTAACAACAATGTTTCAGACTGTGCTTATAAACAGATATCCACTCCGAATTTGTCAACATGTTTTCACAATAGGACAAATGCGCAACAAGCGCGATTCACCACCGACAGACGCATGACCAAGCCCTGGATACACGCTCATGCCAGTTTATAGCGTTTATGTCTTGTTCAGATGCGACTCTAGACTGTATTTCAAGCAGGGAATAGAGGGTCTGGTTTACCTTAGTCGAACTCGAGTCCATATCTCGTCAGTATTGGCCTGTGTAAACCAGGCGTGTCTGACGGCAGCAACAAGCCCGCCTGCCGTGTTCCGTGCTGACAGCCTGATTTGATGATGACGTCAAGTGATTGTTGACGTAATTGTTCTGTGATGTCAACAGCTTTGGGGACACAATAGGCCGTGACGTAGCTCCATTGTCGGCGTCACCTGTTACTGCTGAGCAACCACACCGTTCCGTTCTTGGCCGTTTCCCAATCCGTCTGTATCTGATGTTGGCGTCGCTCATCAGCATTCTCGTCATTGAAGCGGTTAGGACACATTTTTACATCTCTTTCCAACCTGTTTGCAATGTAATTGGAGTGCAGAAAGCTTTCAGAGTACAGGCATGGTACATAACTCCTATCAACCCTTAACAACCACGGCAAAGACCGGTGACGACGCTACATCTAACCTCCTTACACTAAATACTCTCTATTATCATGCACCAATAGAATCATGTTGGACCTACGTCGGTGTCTAACTGTTGCGTTTTCAAACTCTGGAAGTGTTTAAAAATTGTCACTATTTCGCGGATCCACTACAACAGATGGCTTTATATTCCCTCACTGCCACTCTAATTCTAAGAAAAGGATGTCGTCAAACTAACTTTCAAATGTGCGTATCAATTCCTGCAATAGTGACAACATACCAAGCTTGTGTACATAGTTGTTCAGACAGATATTCCTCACATCTGCTGCTGTAATCACTTTATATTAATATTATCACATGATGCATGATTTCATAAGCGCAAATAGTTGGACAAACGTGTAAATATATAACGTCAACGCCAGAGAACAATCAGTCTCAATTATCCGCCGAAACACATTCCATTGAGCGTAAATGGCAAACTAGTGGTGAAAATTATATGAATGGATGACTACAAATCAATGATGACACCAGGTGTTCGCGAAAGGGTAAGCATGCCCTGCCCTACCGGTAACAACAATGTTTCAGACTGTGCTTATAAACAGATATCCACTCCGAATTTGTCAACATGTTTTCACAATAGGACAAATGCGCAACAAGCGCGATTCACCACCGACAGACGCATGACCAAGCCCTGGATACACGCTCATGCCAGTTTATAGCGTGTATGTCTTGTTCAGATGCGACTCTAGACTGTATTTCAAGCAGGGAATAGAGGGTCTGGTTTACCTGAGTCGAACTCGAGTCCATATCTCGTCAGTATTGGCCTGTGTAAACCAAGGCGTGTCTGACGGCAACAACAAGCCTGCCTGCCGTGTTCCGTGCTGACAGCCAGATTTGATGATGACGTCAAGTGATTGTTGACGTAATCGTTCTGTGATGTCAACAGCTTTGGGGACACAATAGGCCGTGACGTAGCTCCATTGTCGGCGTCACCTGTTACTGCTGAGCAACCACACCGTTCCGTTCTTGGCCGTTTCCCAATCCGGCTGTATCTGATGTTGGCGTCGCTCATCAGCATTCTCGTCATTGAAGCGGTTAGGACACATTTTTACATCTCTTTCCAACCTGTTTGCAATGTATTTGGAGTGCAGAAAGCTTTCAGAGTACAGGCATGGTACATAACTCCTATCAACCCGTAACAATTACGGCAAAGACCGGTGACGACGCTACATCTAACCTCCTTACACTAAATACTCTCTATTATCATGCACCAATAGAATCATGTTGGACCTACGTCGGTGTCTAACTGTTGCGTTTTCAAACTCTGGAAGTGTTTAAAAATTGTCACTATTTCGCGGATCCACTACAACAGTTGGCTTTATATTCCCTCACTGCCACTCTAATTCTAAGAAAAGGATGTCGTCAAACTAACTTTCAAATGTGCGTATCAATTCCTGCAATAGTGACAACATACCAAGCTTGTGTACATAGTTGTTCAGACAGATATTCCTCACATCTGCTGCTGTAATCACTTTATATTAATATTATCACATGATGCATGATTTCATAAGCGCAAATAGTTGGACAAACGTGTAAATATATAACGTCAACGCCAGAGAACAATCAGTCTCAATTATCCGCCCAAACACATTCCATTGAGCGTAAATGGCAAACTAGTGGTGAAAATTATATGAATGGATGACTAAAAATCAATGATGACACCAGGTGTTCGCGAAAGGGTAAGCATGCCCTGCCCTACCGGTAACAACAATGTTTCAGACTGGGCTTATAAACAGATATCCACTCCGAATTTGTCAACATGTTTTCACAATAGGACAAATGCGCAACAAGCGCGATTCACCACCGACAGACGCATGACCAAGCCCTGGATACACGCTCATGCCAGTTTATAGCGTGTATGTCTTGTTCAGATGCGACTCTAAACTGTATTTCAAGCAGGGAATAGAGGGTCTGGTTTACCTGAGTCGAACTCGAGTCCATATCTCGTCAGTATTGGCCTGTGTAAACCAGGCGTGTCTGACGGCAGCAACAAGCCCGCCTGCCGTGTTCCGTGCTGACAGCCAGATTTGATGATGACGTCAAGTGATTGTTGACGTAATCGTTCTGTGATGTCAACAGCTTTGGGGACACAATAGGCCGTGACGTAGCTCCATTGTCGGCGTCACCTGTTACTGCTGAGCAACCACACCGTTCCGTTCTTGGCCGTTTCCCAATCCGTCTGTATCTGATGTTGGCGTCGCTCATCAGCATTCTCGTCATTGAAGCGGTTAGGACACATTTTTACATCTCTTTCCAACCTGTTTGCAATGTATTTGGAGTGCAGAAAGCTTTCAGAGTACAGGCATGGTACATAACTCCTATCAACCCTTAACAACCACGACAAAGACAGGTGACGACGCTACATCTAACCTCCTTACACTAAATACTATCTATTATCATGCACCAATAGAATCATGTTGGACCTACGTCGGTGTCTAACTGTTGCGTTTTCAAACTCTGGAAGTGTTTAAAAAATGTCACTATTTCGCGGATCCACTACAACAGTTGGCTTTATATTCTCTCACTGCCACTCTAATTCTAAGAAAAGGATGTCGTCAAACTAACTTTCAAATGTGCGTATCAATTCCTGCAATAGTGACAACATACCAAGCTTGTGTACATAGTTGTTCAGACAGATATTCCTCACATCTGCTGCTGTAATCACTTTATATTAATATTATCACATGATGCATGATTTCATAAGCGCAAATAGTTGGACAAACGCGTAAATATATAACGTCAACGCCAGAGAACAATCAGTCTCAATTATCCGCCCAAACACATTCCATTGAGCGTAAATGGCAAACTAGTGGTGAAAATTATATGAATGGATGACTAAAAATCAATGATGACACCAGGTGTTCGCGAAAGGGTAAGCATGCCCTGCCATACCGGTAACAACAATGTTTCAGACTGTGCTTATAAACAGATATCCACTCCGAATTTGTCAACACGTTTTCACAATAGGACAAATGCGCAACAAGCGCGATTCACCACCGACAGACGCATGACCAAGCCCTGGATACACGCTCATGCCAGTTTATAGCGTGTATGTCTTGTTCAGATGCGACTCTAGACTGTATTTCAAGCAGGGAATAGAGGGTCTGGTTTACCTGAGTCGAACTCGAGTCCATATCTCGTCAGTATTGGCCTGTGAAAACCAGGCGTGTCTGACGGCAACAACAAGCCTGCCTGCCGTGTTCCGTGCTGACAGCCAGATTTGATGATGACGTCAAGTGATTGTTGACGTAATCGTTCTGTGATGTCAACAGCTTTGGGGACACAATAGGCCGTGACGTAGCTCCATTGTCGGCGTCACCTGTTACTGCTGAGCAACCACACCGTTCCGTTCTTGGCCGTTTCCCAATCCGTCTGTATCTGATGTTGGCGTCGCTCATCAGCATTCTCGTCATTGAAGCGGTTAGGACACATTTTTACATCTCTTTCCAACCTGTTTGCAATGTATTTGGAGTGCAGAAAGCTTTCAGAGTACAGGCATGGTACATAACTCCTATCAACCCTTAACAACCACGACAAAGACAGGTGACGACGCTACATCTAACCTCCTTACACTAAATACTATCTATTATCATGCACCAATAGAATCATGTTGGACCTACGTCGGTGTCTAACTGTTGCGTTTTCAAACTCTGGAAGTGTTTAAAAAATGTCACTATTTCGCGGATCCACTACAACAGTTGGCTTTATATTCCCTCACTGCCACTCTAATTCTAAGAAAAGGATGTCGTCAAACTAACTTTCAAATGTGCGTATCAATTCCTGCAATAGTGACAACATACCAAGCTTGTGTACATAGTTGTTCAGACAGATATTCCTCACATCTGCTGCTGTAATCACTTTATATTAATATTATCACATGATGCATGATTTCATAAGCGCAAATAGTTGGACAAACGTGTAAATATATAACGTCAACGCCAGAGAACAATCAGTCTCAATTATCCGCCCAAACACATTCCATTGAGCGTAAATGGCAAACTAGTGGTGAAAATTATATGAATGGATGACTAAAAATCAATGATGACACCAGGTGTTCGCGAAAGGGTAAGCATGCCCTGCCATACCGGTAACAACAATGTTTCAGACTGGGCTTATAAACAGATATCCACTCCGAATTTGTCAACACGTTTTCACAATAGGACAAATGCGCAACAAGCGCGATTCACCACCGACAGACGCATGACCAAGCCCTGGATACACGCTCATGCCAGTTTATAGCGTGTATGTCTTGTTCAGATGCGACTCTAGACTGTATTTCAAGCAGGGAATAGAGGGTCTGGTTTACCTGAGTCGAACTCGAGTCCATATCTCGTCAGTATTGGCCTGTGAAAACCAGGCGTGTCTGACGGCAACAACAAGCCTGCCTGCCGTGTTCCGTGCTGACAGCCAGATTTGATGATGACGTCAAGTGATTGTTGACGTAATCGTTCTGTGATGTCAACAGCTTTGGGGACACAATAGGCCGTGACGTAGCTCCATTGTCGGCGTCACCTGTTACTGCTGAGCAACCACACCGTTCCGTTCTTGGCCGTTTCCCAATCCGTCTGTATCTGATGTTGGCGTCGCTCATCAGCATTCTCGTCATTGAAGCGGTTAGGACACATTTTTACATCTCTTTCCAACCTGTTTGCAATGTATTTGGAGTGCAGAAAGCTTTCAGAGTACAGGCATGGTACATAACTCCTATCAACCCGTAACAATTACGGCAAAGACCGGTGACGACGCTACATCTAACCTCCTTACACTAAATACTCTCTATTATCATGCACCAATAGAATCATGTTGGACCTACGTCGGTGTCTAACTGTTGCGTTTTCAAACTCTGGAAGTGTTTAAAAATTGTCACTATTTCGCGGATCCACTACAACAGATGGCTTTATATTCCCTCACTGCCACTCTAATTCTAAGAAAAGGATGTCGTCAAACTAACTTTCAAATGTGCGAATCAATTCCTGCAATAGTGACAACATACCAAGCTTGTGTACATAGTTGTTCAGACAGATATTCCTCACATCTGCTGCTGTAATCACTTTATATTAATATTATCACATGATGCATGATTTCATAAGCGCAAATAGTTGGACAAACGTGTAAATATATAACGTCAACGCCAGAGAACAATCAGTCTCAATTATCCGCCCAAACACATTCCATTGAGCGTAAATGGCAAACTAGTGGTGAAAATTATATGAATGGATGACTAAAAATCAATGATGACACTAGGTGTTCGCGAAAGGGTAAGCATGCCCTGCCCTACCGGTAACAACAATGTTTCAGACTGGGCTTATAAACAGATATCCACTCCGAATTTGTCAACATGTTTTCACAATAGGACAAATGCGCAACAAGCGCGATTCACCACCGACAGACGCATGACCAAGCCCTGGATACACGCTCATGCCAGTTTATAGCGTGTATGTCTTGTTCAGATGCGACTCTAGACTGTATTTCAAGCAGGGAATAGAGGGTCTGGTTTACCTGAGTCGAACTCGAGTCCATATCTCGTCAGTATTGGCCTGTGTAAACCAGGCGTGTCTGACGGCAACAACAAGCCTGCCTGCCGTGTTCCGTGCTGACAGCCTGATTTGATGATGACGTCAAGTGATTGTTGACGTAATCGTTCTGTGATGTCAACAGCTTTGGGGACACAATAGGCCGTGACGTAGCTCCATTGTCGGCGTCACCTGTTACTGCTGAGCAACCACACCGTTCCGTTCTTGGCCGTTTCCCAATCCGTCTGTATCTGATGTTGGCGTCGCTCATCAGCATTCTCGTCATTGAAGCGGTTAGGACACATTTTTACATCTCTTTCCAACCTGTTTGCAATGTATTTGGAGTGCAGAAAGCTTTCAGAGTACAGGCATGGTACATAACTCCTATCAACCCTTAACAACCACGACAAAGACAGGTGACGACGCTACATCTAACCTCCTTACACTAAATACTCTCTAGTATCATGCACCAATAGAATCATGTTGGACCTACGTCGGTGTCTAACTGTTGCGTTTTCAAACTCTGGAAGTGTTTAAAAATTGTCACTATTTCGCGGATCCACTACAACAGATGGCTTTATATTCCCTCACTGCCACTCTAATTCTAAGAAAAGGATGTCGTCAAACTAACTTTCAAATGTGCGTATCAATTCCTGCAATAGTGACAACATACCAAGCTTGTGTACATAGTTGTTCAGACAGATATTCCTCACATCTGCTGCTGTAATCACTTTATATTAATATTATCACATGATGCATGATTTCATAAGCGCAAATAGTTGGACAAACGTGTAAATATATAACGTCAACGCCAGAGAACAATCAGTCTCAATTATCCGCCCAAACACATTCCATTGAGCGTAAATGGCAAACTAGTGGTGAAAATTATATGAATGGATGACTAAAAATCAATGATGACACCAGGTGTTCGCGAAAGGGTAAGCATGCCCTGCCCTACCGGTAACAACAATGTTTCAGACTGGGCTTATAAACAGATATCCACTCCGAATTTGTCAACATGTTTTCACAACAGGACAAATGCGCAACAAGCGCGATTCACCACCGACAGACGCATGACCAAGCCCTGGATACACGCTCATGCCAGTTTATAGCGTGTATGTCTTGTTCAGATGCGACTCTAAACTGTATTTCAAGCAGGGAATAGAGGGTCTGGTTTACCTGAGTCGAACTCGAGTCCATATCTCGTCAGTATTGGCCTGTGTAAACCAGGCGTGTCTGACGGCAGCAACAAGCCTGCCTGCCGTGTTCCGTGCTGACAGCCTGATTTGATGATGACGTCAAGTGATTGTTGACGTAATCGTTCTGTGATGTCAACAGCTTTGGGGACACAATAGGCCGTGACGTAGCTCCATTGTCGGCGTCACCTGTTACTGCTGAGCAACCACACCGTTCCGTTCTTGGCCGTTTCCCAATCCGTCTGTATCTGATGTTGGCGTCGCTCATCAGCATTCTCGTCATTGAAGCGGTTAGGACACATTTTTACATCTCTTTCCAACCTGTTTGCAATGTATTTGGAGTGCAGAAAGCTTTCAGAGTACAGGCATGGTACATAACTCCTATCAACCCGTAACAATTACGGCAAAGACCGGTGACGACGCTACATCTAACCTCCTTACACTAAATACTCTCTATTATCATGCACCAATAGAATCATGTTGGACCTACGTCGGTGTCTAACTGTTGCGTTTTCAAACTCTGGAAGTGTTTAAAAATTGTCACTATTTCGCGGATCCACTACAACAGATGGCTTTATATTCCCTCACTGCCACTCTAATTCTAAGAAAAGGATGTCGTCAAACTAACTTTCAAATGTGCGTATCAATTCCTGCAATAGTGACAACATACCAAGCTTGTGTACATAGTTGTTCAGACAGATATTCCTCACATCTGCTGCTGTAATCACTTTATATTAATATTATCACATGATGCATGATTTCATAAGCGCAAATAGTTGGACAAACGTGTAAATATATAACGTCAACGCCAGAGAACAATCAGTCTCAATTATCCGCCCAAACACATTCCATTGAGCGTAAATGGCAAACTAGTGGTGAAAATTATATGAATGGATGACTAAAAATCAATGATGACACCAGGTGTTCGCGAAAGGGTAAGCATGCCCTGCCCTACCGGTAACAACAATGTTTCAGACTGGGCTTATAAACAGATATCCACTCCGAATTTGTCAACATGTTTTCACAACAGGACAAATGCGCAACAAGCGCGATTCACCACCGACAGACGCATGACCAAGCCCTGGATATACGCTCATGCCAGTTTATAGCGTGTATGTCTTGTTCAGATGCGACTCTAGACTGTATTTCAAGCAGGGAATAGAGGGTCTGGTTTACCTGAGTCGAACTCGAGTCCATATCTCGTCAGTATTGGCCTGTGTAAACCAGGCGTGTCTGACGGCAGCAACAAGCCCGCCTGCCGTGTTCCGTGCTGACAGCCAGATTTGATGATGACGTCAAGTGATTGTTGACGTAATCGTTCTGTGATGTCAACAGCTTTGGGGACACAATAGGCCGTGACGTAGCTCCATTGTCGGCGTCACCTGTTACTGCTGAGCAACCACACCGTTCCGTTCTTGGCCGTTTCCCAATCCGGCTGTATCTGATGTTGGCGTCGCTCATCAGCATTCTCGTCATTGAAGCGGTTAGGACACATTTTTACATCTCTTTCCAACCTGTTTGCAATGTATTTGGAGTGCAGAAAGCTTTCAGAGTACAGGCATGGTACATAACTCCTATCAACCCTTAACAACGATGACAAAGACCGGTGACGACGCTACATCTAACCTCCTTACACTAAATACTCTCTATTATCATGCACCAATAGAATCATGTTGGACCTACGTCGGTGTCTAACTGTTGCGTTTTCAAACTCTGGAAGTGTTTAAAAATTGTCACTATTTCGCGGATCCACTACAACAGATGGCTTTATATTCCCTCACTGCCACTCTAATTCTAAGAAAAGGATGTCGTCAAACTAACTTTCAAATGTGCGTATCAATTCCTGCAATAGTGACAACATACCAAGCTTGTGTACATAGTTGTTCAGACAGATATTCCTCACATCTGCTGCTGTAATCACTTTATATTAATATTATCACATGATGCATGATTTCATAAGCGCAAATAGTTGGACAAACGTGTAAATATATAACGTCAACGCCAGAGAACAATCAGTCTCAATTATCCGCCCAAACACATTCCATTGAGCGTAAATGGCAAACTAGTGGTGAAAATTATATGAATGGATGACTAAAAATCAATGATGACACAAGGTGTTCGTGAAAGGGTAAGCATGCCCTGCCCTACCGGTAACAACAATGTTTCAGACTGGGATATCCAGTCCGAATTTGTCAACATGTTTTCACAATAGGACAAATGCGCAACAAGCGCGATTCACCACCGACAGACGCATGACCAAGCCCTGGATACACGCTCATGCCAGTTTATAGCGTGTATGTCTTGTTCAGATGCGACTCTAGACTGTATTTCAAGCAGGGAATAGAGGGTCTGGTTTACCTGAGTCGAACTCGAGTCCATATCTCGTAAGTATTGGCCTGTGTAAACCAGGCGTGTCTGACGGCAACAACAAGCCTGCCTGCCGTGTTCCGTGCTGACAGCCTGATTTGATGATGACGTCAAGTGATTGTTGACGTAATCGTTCTGTGATGTCAACAGCTTTGGGGACACAATAGGCCGTGACGTAGCTCCATTGTCGGCGTCACCTGTTACTGCTGAGCAACCACACCGTTCCGTTCTTGGCCGTTTCCCAATCCGGCTGTATCTGATGTTGGCGTCGCTCATCAGCATTCTCGTCATTGAAGCGGTTAGGACACATTTTTACATCTCTTTCCAACCTGTTTGCAATGTATTTGGAGTGCAGAAAGCTTTCAGAGTACAGGCATGGTACATGACTCCTATCAACCCGTAACAATTACGGCAAAGACCGGTGACGACGCTACATCTAACCTCCTTACACTAAATACTCTCTATTATCATGCACCAATAGAATCATGTTGGACCTACGTCGGTGTCTAACTGTTGCGTTTTCAAACTCTGGAAGTGTTTAAAAATTGTCACTATTTCGCGGATCCACTACAACAGATGGCTTTATATTCCCTCACTGCCACTCTAATTCTAAGAAAAGGATGTCGTCAAACTAACTTTCAAATGTGCGTATCAATTCCTGCAATAGTGACAACATACCAAGCTTGTGTACATAGTTGTTCAGACAGATATTCCTCACATCTGCTGCTGTAATCACTTTATATTAATATTATCACATGATGCATGATTTCATAAGCGCAAATAGTTGGACAAACGTGTAGATATATAACGTCAACGCCAGAGAACAATCAGTCTCAATTATCCGCCCAAACACATTCCATTGAGCGTAAATGGCAAACTAGTGGTGAAAATTATATGAATGGATGACTAAAAATCAATGATGACACCAGGTGTTCGCGAAAGGGTAAGCATGCCCTGCCCTACCGGTAACAACAATGTTTCAGACTGGGATATCCACTCCGAATTTGTCAACATGTTTTCACAATAGGACAAATGCGCAACAAGCGCGATTCACCACCGACAGACGCATGACCAAGCCCTGGATACACGCTCATGCCAGTTTATAGCGTGTATGTCTTGTTCAGATGCGACTCTAGACTGTATTTCAAGCAGGGAATAGAGGGTCTGGTTTACCTGAGTCGAACTCGAGTCCATATCTCGTAAGTATTGGCCTGTGTAAACCAGGCGTGTCTGACGGCAGCAACAAGCCTGCCTGCCGTGTTCCGTGCTGACAGCCAGATTTGATGATGACGTCAAGTGATTGTTGACGTAATCGTTCTGTGATGTCAACAGCTTTGGGGACACAATAGGCCGTGACGTAGCTCCATTGTCGGCGTCACCTGTTACTGCTGAGCAACCACACCGTTCCGTTCTTGGCCGTTTCCCAATCCGGCTGTATCTGATGTTGGCGTCGCTCATCAGCATTCTCGTCATTGAAGCGGTTAGGACACATTTTTACATCTCTTTCCAACCTGTTTGCAATGTATTTGGAGTGCAGAAAGCTTTCAGAGTACAGGCATGGTACATGACTCCTATCAACCCGTAACAATTACGGCAAAGACCGGTGACGACGCTACATCTAACCTCCTTACACTAAATACTCTCTATTATCATGCACCAATAGAATCATGTTGGACCTACGTCGGTGTCTAACTGTTGCGTTTTCAAACTCTGGAAGTGTTTAAAAATTGTCACTATTTCGCGGATCCACTACAACAGATGGCTTTATATTCCCTCACTGCCACTCTAATTCTAAGAAAAGGATGTCGTCAAACTAACTTTCAAATGTGCGTATCAATTCCTGCAATAGTGACAACATACCAAGCTTGTGTACATAGTTGTTCAGACAGATATTCCTCACATCTGCTGCTGTAATCACTTTATATTAATATTATCACATGATGCATGATTTCATAAGCGCAAATAGTTGGACAAACGTGTAAATATATAACGTCAACGCCAGAGAACAATCAGTCTCAATTATCCGCCCAAACACATTCCATTGAGCGTAAATGGCAAACTAGTGGTGAAAATTATATGAATGGATGACTACAAATCAATGATGACACCAGGTGTTCGCGAAAGGGTAAGCATGCCCTGCCCTACCGGTAACAACAATGTTTCAGACTGGGCTTATAAACAGATATCCACTCCGAATTTGTCAACATGTTTTCACAACAGGACAAATGCGCAACAAGCGCGATTCACCACCGACAGACGCATGACCAAGCCCTGGATATACGCTCATGCCAGTTTATAGCGTGTATGTCTTGTTCAGATGCGACTCTAGACTGTATTTCAAGCAGGGAATAGAGGGTCTGGTTTACCTGAGTCGAACTCGAGTCCATATCTCGTCAGTATTGGCCTGTGTAAACCAGGCGTGTCTGACGGCAGCAACAAGCCTGCCTGCCGTGTTCCGTGCTGACAGCCTGATTTGATGATGACGTCAAGTGATTGTTGACGTAATCGTTCTGTGATGTCAACAGCTTTGGGGACACAATAGGCCGTGACGTAGCTCCATTGTCGGCGTCACCTGTTACTGCTGAGCAACCACACCGTTCCGTTCTTGGCCGTTTCCCAATCCGGCTGTATCTGATGTTGGCGTCGCTCATCAGCATTCTCGTCATTGAAGCGGTTAGGACACATTTTTACATCTCTTTCCAACCTGTTTGCAATGTATTTGGAGTGCAGAAAGCTTTCAGAGTACAGGCATGGTACATAACTCCTATCAACCCTTAACAACCACGGCAAAGACCGGTGACGACGCTACATCTAACCTCCTTACACTAAATACTCTCTATTATCATGCACCAATAGAATCATGTTGGACCTACGTCGGTGTCTAACTGTTGCGTTTTCAAACTCTGGAAGTGTTTAAAAATTGTCACTATTTCGCGGATCCACTACAACAGTTGGCTTTATATTCCCTCACTGCCACTCTAATTCTAAGAAAAGGATGTCGTCAAACTAACTTTCAAATGTGCGTATCAATTCCTGCAATAGTGACAACATACCAAGCTTGTGTACATAGTTGTTCAGACAGATATTCCTCACATCTGCTGCTGTAATCACTTTATATTAATATTATCACATGATGCATGATTTCATAAGCGCAAATAGTTGGACAAACGTGTAAATATATAACGTCAACGCCAGAGAACAATCAGTCTCAATTATCCGCCCAAACACATTCCATTGACCGTAAATGGCAAACTAGTGGTGAAAATTATATGAATGGAAGACTAAAACTCAATGATGACACCAGGTGTTCGCGAAAGGGTAAGCATGCCCTGCCCTACCGGTAACAACAATGTTTCAGACTGGGCTTATAAACAGATATCCACTCCGAATTTGTCAACATGTTTTCACAATAGGACAAATGCGCAACAAGCGCGATTCACCACCGACAGACGCATGACCAAGCCCTGGATATATGCTCATGCCAGTTTATAGCGTGTATGTCTCGTTCAGATGCGACTCTAAACTGTATTTCAAGCAGGGAATAGAGGGTCTGGATTATCTGAGTCGAACTCGAGTCCATATCTCGTCAGTATTGGCCTGTGTAAACCAAGGCGTGTCTGACGGCAGCAACAAGCCCGCCTGCCGTGTTCCGTGCTGACAGCCCGATTTGATGATGACGTCAAGTGATTGTTGACGTAATCGTTCTGTGATGTCAACAGCTTTGGGGACACAATAGGCCGTGACGTAGCTCCATTGTCGGCGTCACCTGTTACTGCTGAGCAACCACACCGTTCCATTCTTGTCCGTTTCCCAATCCGTCTGTATCTGATGTTGAATAGAGTGTCTGGTTTACCTGTGTCTAACTCGAGTCCATATCTCGTCAGTATTGGCCTGTGTAAACCAAAGCATGTCTGACGGCAGCAACAAGCCCGACGTTGTTTCAGGCATATAGCTAGGAGCTGTTCTTAAAGACCCCGAAAGACAGCATCAATTACAAGCAAGAATGAAACTTTGATTTAAGGATTGAGTGAGCATTCCTTGGAGATCGGATTCCCAGAACTGGACACCTTGCAACTGGAATAAAATTGCAAATATTGCTTTAAGTTTCTGACAAGGCACCCAATCATTGACTTTCACCCTCCAGGATGTGACCAGGAGACCAACTAATCATGTATGTATATGTACTTATGTAATGAGATTATGGTTTACTGAATAGTCTCAGAGATGTAAAAATATTCCAAAGATTGGACAACTTTTCCAGGAACCATGTCAAGATTTGCAGGGTTTCCAGCGATAAACTACACAGTAACCAATGCTCCTTCTAAGAGGTGAATTAATGAAGCAGGTCATCAGGCTCGGTGACTTGGTTCACTGAGTGTCATTGTTCAGTGCGTGGATCGTTGCTCAGCATATCAACCACTGGTTTATCGGCTTCCGAAGTAATTATATACAGGTCGTAATGCTATTGCTGGAATACTGCTGAGTGCACGTTATAGTGCTGTGTAAAACAAACCATTAAATCGTGCAACCCTATGAATGACTGTAAATGCAAACTTCTTAAATACATTTTTAATTTGTTTCGTCATATCTGTTGCCATATTTGGAAGAATGTGAAACTGTAAAATCCCCAGAATGAAGCAAAATATAAACATATTTCTTCAATTACCTTTCGTTACTTATTTTGAGAAAAGAGACAGGTGATCGCCAGAACAATGAATTGTTCACATCAAACTCAATTGGCAGAAACACCCTTGAGTGCAAAATCAGTCCATAAGAAGCCTTCGTTAAATCTCCAATTGTAAAGGAAGCAGTGGCCAACTTTTTCACATTACCTGAACATATCACAGAATCTGATTAATAAATTAATACATAAGTTTGTGTTAAATACAAACATAGTGTTAAACATCTTGTAAACATTTTAAAAACTAAAACACAAATGCAAGTGGCTCATCTTAACTGAAACAAAATCACAAAACACACAGTAAAAATGTTCCCATCAACACGTAGAACCAGCATGGTGGAGTTGTCACCCACCTGATACAAGCAGACCATGGTGGATCCACAAGAAGTCTTGGGATGGGACAGTTTCTAGAGGGCTGGATGTACACAACAGGCTTGATCGCTCGAGAAGTCTTGGGATGGGACAGTTTCTAGAGGGCTGGATGTACACAACAGGCTTGATCGCTCGAGAAGTCTTGGGATGGGACAGTTTCTAGAGGGCTGGATGTACACAACAGGCTTGATCGCTCGAGAAGTCTTGGGATGGGACAGTTTCTAGAGGGCTGGATGTACAGAACAGGCTTGATCGCTCAAGAAGTCTTGGGATGGGACAGTTTCTAGAGGGCTGGATGTACACGACAGGCTTGATCGCTCGAGAAGTCTTGGGATGGGACAGTTTCTAGAGGGCTGGATGTACACAACAGGCTTGATCGCTCGAGAAGTCTTTGGATGGGACAGTTTCTAGAGGGCTGGATGTACACAACAGGCTTGATCGCTCAAGAAGTCTTGGGATGGGACAGTTTCTAGAGGGCTGGATGTACACGACAGGCTTGATCGCTCGAGAAGTCTTGGGATGGGACAGTTTCTAGAGGGCTGGATGTACACAACAGGCTTGATCGCTCGAGAAGTCTTGGGATGGGACAGTTTCTAGAGGGCTGGATGTACACGACAGGCTTGATCGCTCGAGAAGTCTTGGGATGGGACAGTTTCTAGAGGGCTGGATGTACACAACAGGCTTGATCGCTCGAGAAGTCTTGGGATGGGACAGTTTCTAGAAGGCTGGATGTACACGACAGGCTTGATCGCTGGAGATGTTTTGGGATGGGACAGTTTCTAAAAGGCTGGATGTACACGACAGGCTTGATCGCTCAAGAAGTCTTGGGATGGGACAGTTTCTAGAAGGCTGGATGTACACGACAGGCTTGATCGCTGGAGATGTTTTGGGATGGGACAGTTTCTAGAAGGCTGGATGTACACAACAGGCTTGATCGCTAGATAAGTTTTGGGATGGGACAGTTTCTAGAGGGCTGGATGTACACAACAGGCTTGATCGCTCGAGAAGTCTTGGGATGGGACAGTTTCTAGAGGGCTGGATGTACACAACAGGCTTGATCGCTCGAGAAGTCTTGGGATGGGACAGTTTCTAGAGGGCTGGATGTACACAACAGGCTTGATCGCTCGAGAAGTCTTGGGATGGGACAGTTTCTAGAGGGCTGGATGTACAGAACAGGCTTGATCGCTCAAGAAGTCTTGGGATGGGACAGTTTCTAGAGGGCTGGATGTACACAACAGGCTTGATCGCTCGAGAAGTCTTGGGATGGGACAGTTTCTAGAGGGCTGGATGTACACAACAGGCTTGATCGCTCGAGAAGTCTTTGGATGGGACAGTTTCTAGAGGGCTGGATGTACACAACAGGCTTGATCGCTCAAGAAGTCTTGGGATGGGACAGTTTCTAGAGGGCTGGATGTACACGACAGGCTTGATCGCTCGAGAAGTCTTGGGATGGGACAGTTTCTAGAGGGCTGGATGTACATGACAGGCTTGATCGCTCGAGAAGTCTTGGGATTGGACAGTTTCTAGAAGGCTGGATGTACACGACAGGCTTGATCACTGGAGATGTTTTGGGATGGGGCAGTTTCTAGAAGGCTGGATGTACATGACAGGCTTGATCGCTCGAGAAGTCTTGGGATGGGACAGTTTCTAGAGGGCTGGATGTACACGACAGGCTTGATCGCTGGAGATGTTTTGGGATGGGGCAGTTTCTGGACGTACCAAGAGGCAGATTCAAGGCCTTTACGAGCTGACTTGTACCTACCTACTTGCCCAGTGCAGTTTTCATACCTATTTGTAAACAACTATTACCTACCAGCTTCCAACACTGCTCCGGACTACAACAGAGACAGGCCTGTTTCAAGACAGTGACAAAATTCTAAACATTCGTGAGTGTACTAACATATATCAGAGGGCTTGCAATCTCATGAAAATCAGATGTTAGTTCTCCCTACCGCTAAAGAAAGCTTTCTTTAGCAGTAGCGAGAACCAACATCTGATTTTAATGAGACTGGAGGGCTTGTTGCTGTTAACTGCCCCAATTGTATTGTTTTGAAACTGTGCACAAAATATGTCAAATAGTAAACCCAGCAATGTAAAATGTCATAACACCGTGCTGCCACATTCACACTAATGCCCAAATATGTAACACAAAGCATTCACAAACAGCAAATATACCAAACAATTGTAAAAGGTGAGATTCAGACAAAATATTCAGCTGACTAAGCATAACATCATATCATGTGTATATCACCTTCTGTTAAAGGGGCCAACCATTTAATATTCTTGGGGGAGGGGGGGGATGTTGTTTGAGACTGTGTTTCAAGACTCAACAACAATAACAACCTCCAGTCCAGTGAACAATTATAAATTTTTTGCAAAACCTGAGGACAAAATATTTGTGGGGAACATGTTATTTTATTTTTAAATTCTGGGCCCCCTCCAGACTAACAAACGATCGACCCCTGAACAGGTATTACCCTGAACCAACAATGCCTCAACATACAGGAGGTAGTCCACGGTGTACACAATACCGTACACAATCCGGTACACAGAGGTAGGACCTGGACCCTGCTTGAGTCACTGTTGTTGTCCAAACTATTTGTGATGGTCGCCTGCTACCTGCGTAACTGCAGCCGACCTGTATCACTGGAACTCAGGTGTGTGAGAACTGGGAAGGTTCTTGAGGACCAAAAGCTCCTTTCAGTTTTATGACAACGACGAACACAGCAGCATCTGATCCTTGATTGCAAAAATATATATCTGTATTTCCAACAGTCTTGTGAGTCTTTCTCTATGTCTTTTTAGTTGTAAGACTAATAGTATTGCTGTGGTACATCTTGAGCACTACCAGTGTGTGCATAAGCACACATTGTTGACCATGGTGTGTATCCAATGTGCGCCCCAGACAGGTCCCCTTGCTGCTGAAGCCCGCGGTGGTCAAGGTAGAGATTTCTTATCCGGAGCGACAAACCTGAAGTAAATCAAACGTATCCTCATTAAATCTTAGATATATTTATAAACATACCAAAATAGCCAGTGTCCAATCTATTCCGCCTAAGAATTCCCACTGTCACAAGAAAGGCTTAAGAATTCCTATTGTCCGAAGAAAGGGGTTATACACGGAACCTATTCTGCCTTAGAATTCCCACTGTGACAAGAACGTGACAATGTTCCAGCCTTTTGACAGTAGCCTGTAAATAATTAGGTCTGAACCAGACCCTCCGATCAATTAAGTCGCCCCTTACAACAAGCATAGGTTACTATCTCTTCCCCAATGAAGTCCACAAGAGCCATCATGTACTGACAACAAGCATAGGTTACTATCTCCACCCCATGAAGTCCACAAGAGCCAGGATGTACTGACAACAAGCATAGGTTACTATCTCCACCCCATGAAGTCCACAAGAGCCAGGATGTACTGACAACAAGCATAGGTTACTATCTCCTCCCCATGAAGTCCACAAGAGCCATCATGTACTGACAACAAGCATAGGTTACTATCTCCACCCCATGAAGTCCACAAGAGCCAGGATGTACTGACAACAAGTCCACAAGAGCCAGGATGTACTGACAACAAGCATAGGTTACTATCTCCACCCCATGAAGTCCACAAGAGCCAGGATGTACTGACAACAAGCATAGGTTACTATCTCCTCCCCATGAAGTCCACAAGAGCCAGGATGTACTGACAACAAGCATAGGTTACTATCTCCACCCCATGAAGTCCACAAGAGCCAGGATGTACTGACAACAAGCATAGGTTACTATCTCCACCCCATGAAGTCCACAAGAGCCAGGATGTACTGACAACAAGCATAGGTTACTATCTCCTCCCCATGAAGTCCACAAGAGCCAGGATGTACTGACAACAAGCATAGGTTACTATCTCCACCCCATGAAGTCCACAAGAGCCAGGATGTACTGACAACAAGCATAGGTTACTATCTCCACCCCATGAAGTCCACAAGAGCCAGGATGTACTGACAACAAGTCCACAAGAGCCAGGATGTACTGACAACAAGTCCACAAGAGCCAGGATGTACTGACAACAAGTCCACAAGAGCCAGGATGTACTGACAACAAGCATAGGTTACTTTCTCCTCCCCATGAAGTCCACAAGAGCCAGGATGTACTGACAACAAGTCCACAAGAGCCAGGATGTACTGACAACAAGTCCACAAGAGCCAGGATGTACTGACAACAAGCATAGGTTACTTTCTCCTCCCCATGAAGTCCACAAGAGCCAGGATGTACTGACAACAAGTCCACAAGAGCCAGGATGTACTGACAACAAGCATAGGTTACTATCTCCTCCCCATGAAGTCCACAAGAGCCAGGATGTACTGACAACAAGCATAGGTTACTATCTCCACCCCATGAAGTCCACAAGAGCCAGGATGTACTGACAACAAGCATAGGTTACTATCTCCACCCCATGAAGTCCACAAGAGCCAGGATGTACTGACAACAAGCATAGGTTACTATCTTCACCCCATGAAGTCCACAAGAGCCAGGATGTACTGACAACAAGCATAGGTTACTATCTCCACCCCATGAAGTCCACAAGAGCCAGGATGTACTGACAACAAGCATAGGTTACTATCTCCTCCCCATGAAGTCCACAAGAGCCAGGATGTACTGACAACAAGCATAGGTTACTATCTCCACCCCATGAAGTCCACAAGAGCCATCATGTACTGACAACAAGCATAGGTTACTATCTCCACCCCATGAAGTCCACAAGAGCCAGGATGTACTGACAACAAGCATAGGTTACTATCTCCTCCCCATGAAGTCCACAAGAGCCAGGATGTACTGACAACAAGCATAGGTTACTATCTCCACCCCATGAAGTCCACAAGAGCCAGGATGTACTGACAACAAGCATAGGTTACTATCTCCACCCCATGAAGTCCACAAGAGCCAGGATGTACTGACAACAAGCATAGGTTACTATCTCCACCCCATGAAGTCCACAAGAGCCAGGATGTACTGACAACAAGCATAGGTTACTATCTCCACCCCATGAAGTCCACAAGAGCCAGGATGTACTGACAACAAGCATAGGTTACTATCTCCTCCCCATGAAGTCCACAAGAGCCAGGATGTACTGACAACAAGTCCACAAGAGCCAGGATGTACTGACAACAAGTCCACAAGAGCCAGGATGTACTGACAACAAGCATAGGTTACTTTCTCCTCCCCATGAAGTCCACAAGAGCCAGGATGTACTGACAACAAGCATAGGTTACTATCTCCACCCCATGAAGTCCACAAGAGCCAGGATGTACTGACAACAAGCATAGGTTACTATCTCCACCCCATGAAGTCCACAAGAGCCAGGATGTACTGACAACAAGCATAGGTTACTATCTCCACCCCATGAAGTCCACAAGAGCCAGGATGTACTGACAACAAGCAAAGGTTACTATCTCCTCCCCATGAAGTCCACAAGAGCCAGGATGTACTGACAACAAGTCCACAAGAGCCAGGATGTACTGACAACAAGTCCACAAGAGCCAGGATGTACTGACAACAAGCATAGGTTACTTTCTCCTCCCCATGAAGTCCACAAGAGCCAGGATGTACTGACAACAAGCATAGGTTACTATCTCCACCCCATGAAGTCCACAAGAGCCAGGATGTACTGACTTGTGCCTGGCGTCTTCCCTGAAGAGGGTGTCTTTGTTGTAGTACTGGAAGGGCAGGTTCTTGTCCACCAGGTGCTGACTCTGCTGCAGGAACGCCTCAAACTCCTCCCCCGGACACCGCTGCAACGCATCCCACACAACGTGGATGTAGAACAGGGTGAGTGTCTCGTGGTACCCCCCCTTTAACTGAAGTACAGAGCGTATCATGATTTAATTGACTTTGAAAGAAACCAACAGTTGATAGTGTGAGTAGCAAGCTATGATGTCAGGGTGTGACTATCCGTCTGGTCCCACATGTGACCTTCCAAAGACAACTTTAATGTGCAAGCTATGACGTCAGGATGTGACAATCTTTGTTTGTTTGTTGTTTAACGCCGCACTCAGCAATATTCCAGCTGTATGACGGTGGTCTCTAAATAATCGAGTCTGGATCAGACAATCCAGTGATTGACATCATGGGCATCGATCGACACACTTGAGATCAATGACATGCATAAACCAAGTCAGTGAGTCTGACCATCTGATCCCGTTAGTCGCCTCTTACGACCAGCATAGTCGCCTTTTACGGCAAGCATGGGTTGCTGAAGACCTATTCTACCCCGGATCTTCACGGGTCTTCAGTCTGGTCGCACACTGTGACCTCCCAATGACAACCTTAATGTGCAAGCTATAATGGGGCAGGAGATCATCAGGTCATTGCAAATAAGTGGTTTCCGAAATAGCATTGACATTTTCCATGGTCTCAAGGTCTTACTATAATACTGGGAACCTGTCTGCCGTGGAGTCCCCATAGGGGAAGTAACTCTGGTCTCTCTGGTGACGAGAGAATATCGCCCTCAGACGAACTTTGACCAGATGAACTAAATTTACAAAATTGTTTCCTATGAGACCTAATCACAATCTATAACAACACACTCTCTGAACAACAGCAGTGCACAATAAAACTTACCTTTGACTTATTCTGCTCATTGAATTTCTGAATTCCTAATCTGTAACATGATAAATATATGTAGACTATCAAATCCGAAAAAATGCTACTCTAATGTCATGTGAATACAGCTTTTATCTGAGCCCTGTTTAATCTGAATGAGTGAGTAATATCGGTTTAACGCCACTTTCCACAGTATTCAATTATATCACAGCGTTTCAACTTGATGTGAGAAGAAAGCCCGAAGTGTTGCAGATCTTGGTCATTTAACACTTTTGTGAAACCCATAGCCACGGGTTAATGCTGAGAAACCGAGATATATAATCAGGCATAATCTGGGATTCAAACCAATGACAAAAGGTTTCTGGCCTCCCAGACGGATGCAATTGCAGCATCTTAGAGAGTGGATGCCACATGCCTCTGTTTCACTTGATATTCCAAAGGAAATAAAAAATTCATTCAAGTGCCTAATGCACTACTTCATAAGCACAGGTACATGTGAAGAAGGGAACGAATGGGATCAGTTCAAATCCGTTAATAACAGTGTGAGGTGAGGTGAAATGCGGTTTAACGTTGCGTCCAAGATTATAGCACTTATATAGCGACATGCATGCACATGTGTGAGTGTGTGGCTTCTTGTCTGGATTGATGCCTATTTATAGTGCTAGCCCGCTGAAATACCATGCCGCAGTTTAACATGAATACCCCACTCAGTCACAGCATATTGACTCCAAGCCCCTTAATGCCGAGCGCCAGACAGGGTAACAACAAGTACCATCTTTAAGCTTCTTTTGGTATGACGCGGCCGGGGATCGACACACAGGCCTTCCACACTCCGGGCGGACGCTCTACCACTAATAACAGTGTGAGTGATAAAGCAGCCTCACTTGATGTAGGGTGTGGCTCCATCTTGGCCGTACTCTCGGAGGTAGTTCCAGGCCATACGCAGGTGAGCTTCGTGTGTCCAGTCCTGGAATGGGAGGGTGGCATCTTCGAATGCCTTGATGAAAACCTCATCACTTATTGAACGGAATGACCTGATAGAAAAATAGGATGTCAAAATATCAGTTATACTTTACTAAATCTCACATTATGAGTTTAAGTCAAAGAGTGGTTCACTTTCCTTCCTTGGATCACTCTTATGCCTTTAACACTGACTTACAACACTCGTAGTGCTAAAACAATCGTAAGTACTCTACTTTATCATTACTTATGATACTCGTAGCACTAAGAGAATCGTAAGTCCTCTATGCTAACATTACTAATGATACTCAGAGCACTAAGAGAATCATAAGTCCTCTATGCTAACATTACCTATAACACTCGTAGCACTAAGATGATTATAAGTCCTATACTTTAACATTTACTTACAAACCTGGTAGCACTAAGACGATCCTAAGTACTCCACTTTAACATTACTAATTGCACTCATAGTGCTAAGAGAATCGTAAGTTCTATACTTAAACACTGACTCACAACACCCGCAGTGCTAAGACGATCATAAGTCCGCAACTTTAACATTACTTATGACATTCATAGCGCTAAGACAATCATAGTCTTATACTTTATCATTGATTTACGACACTCATAGCTAAGACGAACATAAGTACTCTACTTTAACATTACTTATGACATTCTAAGACAATCATAAGCCTTATACTTTAACGACTTACAATTCTAATAGCACTAAGATCGCTTTGTGGAATGGAGACCTGGACTTGGACCTGGATGTTTTAGGAAGACTATGGGCAACAGTGACAGCTTATTTACTACAACATAAGCTCATAAGACCATTTAGGTGAACACCTTACTTTGTGAAGTAGAGTAGAGGATCCATCTGACTCTCGGAGACGCTGGCTCCATGAACTGTGCCATACCAAACATGGTGGTCCCCCACTGTGTGCACCGAGTGGGTGCCGCAGAGCAGGACCGCCAGAGACCCCAGGATAATGGGCAGGCCCTGGACACAGAACCAGGAGGTCAACAAGGAAATAGTAACAGAGCTCCAGACAAGCTGCGTATTTCTGTGACACCATTACCCAGCTATAGTCTGGAAGGTGATTTAAGGTACCAACGTTTACTTCAATATCTGAAAAACTATTGGACCTACTCCAGTCAAAGTTGGTATGAGATTATTAAACAGTCATACATAACTGGATATTACATTTAAAGACAATCGGTGCATGAACAAAACATCTGTCGATTTAGCTATCACTATATTTCATCAACAACCAGACCTGTTCGTCACGGGTGGAACGAGCATTCATTGAAACAGCCATCTGCATAATGCTACCCCTGCATCACAGGGCCATATGACACAGTTGAACCAATCAACTCAACTTGAAAGGGTGCACGGGAATCACGCACGCAAGAATACGGTGTAAGCGTTGGGCGTCTCAACATGCGTGATTCCCGTGCACCCTTTCGAGTTGAGTTGATTGGTTCAACTGTGTCAGATTTATTATTCATGCACCGATTGTCTTTAAATGTAATATCCAGTTATGTATGACTGTTTAATAATCTCATACCAACTTTGACTGGAGTAGGTCCAATAGTTTTTCAGATATTGTAGTAAACGTCGGTACCTTAAATTACCTTCCAGACTATAACTTGGAGTTACTTGCGTACAAATACACATGGAAAATTCCAAAACCCCAACAGTGTAGAACACTGTGCATAATTAACAAATGTAACTTTTTCTACTTGCTTGCCGGTATTTCTTTACATATCTTTATTGACTGATTGAATGCAGGCATCAGGCACACATGAACTCTAGTCTACTGCTGTGAATAACGAACAAAAGGGCACTATGTCTCGCTTATTGATAATTAGACATGATTGGAGCTAATATGGATAGAATTATCATTAAACTGCCCGCATGTTATCAGAAATGAGTGGACAACTGTAATTTGATAATGCCCTCCTATTGCCATTATCGTGCCCATTGTTAGGGGATGTCATATTGGTGTTCAATAGTGATGTCATCTGGTTCTATGATGTTTCCATATTTGGAAAAGTGGATCAGTGACATTCATTCGTAGTAAATGTTTCAAAACTGATATTGTTGTTCATTTTCATTTGATAACAAATTCTATCCATTTTAGCTATAATAATGGAAACATTATTTTTCAGGGCATTATCATTTGCAGAAGCCCTCGCTTTTTTCAACTGCCCTCCTTCGTTGGGCAGTTAAGGAAGACCTCAGACTGCTGTAAATGATGATGCCCTGAAAAATAATGTTACCCTTATAACATCGGTGTTACACACTTGGGGCAGCTCACAAACAAGTAGAAAGTAGAAGCCACGTCAAACAGGATTATTTAACAAAAATGTCTCCTCAATGGCTTAAAATACCCAAATAGACTGGATTCCAGGGAGCAAAATTATATTGAATCCCCTAAGTGAATGATAACTTGTGTGTTAATACTCAATAGCTCAAAAGACAACCTGGAGCGTTGTGGTAGTTTAAAAAATCCACAAACTTACAGATCATGTTAATTTCAAATCATAAACAGCATCTTTTCTCAGGTTCATTCGGAATCCAGCCATGCAAAGAATCGCCCTGGCATGGAAAGGAAATATTTTTGCTGCAAGGGTAGAGCTTTGCATGTTGTCTGGGGCTGTTATTGAATGTTAGTGTAATATATATTATTTATACAATTTATTCACAAGTACAATTCATGTATTCTTTACGTATATATTTGAGAGAGGATAGAGAGAAAGTGACAAGAGATAGAGGGCAGAAAGAGCGGGAAAAAGATTGGAACTATTGTATCAATGGAATTGGTGACAAAAGTGGGATGGTGTCATCTGGGCCTTGCTGACCATGTTAGGATATCATCGAGTGTATGAGATGGATGCCTACCTCCTCTCCTTGGAAGTGGGGAACTTTGTCAAACTGACAGAGATCATCCGTGGCCGTAGTGGAGAAATTGATTGCATGCCGAATCTGAGGAAGAGAAATCAGCAGTCAAAGTCAAGTTATTACAAAGGGTCCATAACTTCTGTAACCAGTCTCGCTTTCCTGGAATGTGTATAGTTTTACTCCAGAAATGGGCTTTGCAAATTCTACATCATGTGGGGAACTGAACCTGGGTCTTAAGAATGTCAAGCAAACATTTAAACCACTGGGCTACCCTACCGCCCCTATTAACCTGGACACTGGCCAGAATTAGGCATGACCTCAGTGGGGAACTGAACCTGGGTCTTAAGAATGTCAAGCAAACATTTAAACCACTGGGCTACCCTACCGCCCCCTATAACCTGGACACTGGCCAGAATTAGGCATGATCACAAGTCTGCTAGTCCAAGACTTGTGAAAATATGAAAGGTCAAGCTTTCTACCAAAATCTTGTCATGACAAATTGTCTTGCTTTGATCTATTTCTCATCCAAAAATATAAAATATAACAATTAATTTAGTATACATCTGCTTTAAACTTTTAACTAACATAAGAAATTAATGTTCCTCATAACATAATGCAGGGTCCAAATAACAGTTTTTGATCTGGGTAAAAAGAAATTCATTTCAAAAAGTTAAATTACTTGGTCTTGTCCCAATACATGAACTGCAAATTGTTCTGATTGTTGCAGCAACTCGTGCATTCGACTGAAAACAAAATGTCCACATTAATTATACATTCACTGGAAGTCTCTATAGTTACTATCATACCAAGGCTAAAAGATCATTTAAAACAACGAATCTTACATTCCGAAAAGCAATAATTATTGTATCCTACAGCATTCATTTTGTTACCAATATGCTATATTTTATCTTTTGGGGCCACACAAATACCTTAATAGACATGATAACTAAACTGAGTGAGTTGGGTTTAACGCGGCTTTGAACAGTATTCCAGTTATATCAAGGAGTGTCAGCTTGTGTGGGAGGAATCTCGAAGTGATGCAGGTCTTAGACATTTACCACTTTGGTGAAACCCATGAGCACTGGTATGGTGCTGATAAACTTAAAACATAATCAGGGTGAACCGTGATTCGAACCCAAGATCACAGGTTTCTGGTGTGCCCAAGGGACACAACTCTGCACAGCAAATTGCCGTGCCTTAGACAAGTAGGCCGCCAATGACCCCGATAACCAAACTGTCAACCACAAGGCAAGACTATCTGGGCCCCCTTCTACAAACCGATCTTAGCGCTAAGATTAACTCCCACTCTACAACGCAAACTTCAAACAATCGGAGCACTGCAATCACTTTGTGGACAAAGCCCTTGGTTGTTGTTATGAACAGAATAAGTTTACAGTCCATTTAATGTGATACTATTGTTTTGAAAATGTTTCAAACAACAAGTAAATTTGACTTGAACATGTAATCTTCGACAAAGTGAAAAATATTTTATCCCCCAAAACAGAAGACTAACCTGTGTTTATGCAGACAAAATGAGATGATTGGAGGTGCAAAGGAAACGCTGGAAAAAGAGCTGCAGGTGACTCCTCGTTTGTGCCACGCCCCAGTGTCAGGTGTATACTGTGCCGACGTTACAACAACCACTGAAACACCATGGAGTGAGTATTGTTTTACGCTGCTTTTAGCAATATTCCAGCAATATCACAGTGGGGAACACCAGAAATGGGCTTCACACATTGTACCCATGAAGGGAATCAAACCCATGTCTTCAGCGTGACAAGCGAACACTTTAACCACTAGGCTACCCAATACTCCAATAGGCATGGAAAACAAACTGGGAGGAAAGCAGATCTCAGGTACAAATACATCATCAACAAATACATCAACATCAGGATATTTAGAAAAGAGTTTACGCTTCAAGAAAGGAAGTAGCCTGGGATTAATTTAGCAAATTTTGACTTTGCCATTGGCAGGGTGATCAGATACCCTTGTATTTTAAACTAATTTTCATGATTTAATCAACTTTTGACAGAACAAGCTTATATGTTACGGCTTCCCAAGACAAGGGAGTTAACTGACCATAAAAGTCCTGTTTTAACCCTTGCCGAAATATTCTGGAAGTTCGGAGTTATATAGACTGACGAGTTTATGCATAGTCATAATCGCATAACAAAATCGACATCCAGTTCGTAAACTTCCGTGCAGATTTCAGTCAATCGCAGGATTTGCAAAGAATTTGTACCGTCAACTGGTCTACAGATATTTTCCAAATCTTTTCAAGTTTTAAATAAAGGTGCTCAAGTAGTTTGATGCATTTCGCAAAGTAAAACCTGTTTTATAACAATATAGGTCTTAATTATCAGACAGCCTTTACTGTGCGCTGCCATTTTGTTTGAAGCAAATGCAAGTAAAATGATAGGTGGCATCTGTTTGGTCAATAGGAGGGACATAGAAGGGACATAACTCATAATAGCCACTGGTTGCACTACAATCGAACCACAGAATTCCAGCCTAGTTCGGCAAGGGTGGAGCCTGGACTTTTAAAGTCAGATAACTCTCTTGCCTCTGGAAGATGTATATGTTATTTCCAAACAGAAAGTTTTTTATGTCATTTCGGAATTCAATCAGACAATGTACTACACATGGAACTGATCTGAAACCCGGTAATAATGATGTAATTTTCTGGTCAGAATGTTTATGAATTTGATAGTCTAGTATTTACGCTGGTCTAAATTGTGTAAACCTCAACATATTTGTGATGGTCCAGGCAACTTTGTTGACAAGGTTTCAAAGTATTACTTACCTTCTTCAAAATACAATATCCAATGGGGGATTTTGATTTAGATTATTCATTAAATGTTATTAACTGGAAGTTACCTGTGTCTTTTTGCTAACACTAATAATGAAATACCATTCCCTAAGACAGCCTTGATAAGCCATTGTTGTCATATCTTACATTATAATGCAGTAATGACAACACCTTGATGTATGATAATGATTAATAACTAATAATGTATCAGTTTCTCTGTAAGCGAGGTGAGGTGAAATTGGGTTTAAGGTCGCGTCTAAGATTATTCCACTTATCTAGCAACATGCATGTACGTGTGTGTGTTTGGCTGCTTGTACAAGTCCGGACTGATGCTGATTTATAGTGCTAGCTCACTGAGATACCATCCCGCAGTTTAACATGAATACCCCACTCAGACACAGTGTACTGACTCCGAGCTGACCAGTCCTTCTTTTAGCCCCTTAATACCGAGCGCCAGACAGGGTTACAACAAGTACCATCTTTTAACATAATTTGGTATGACGCGGCCGGGGATCGAACCCCAGACCTTCCGCTCTCCGGGTGGACGCTCTCCCACTAGACCACGGAGGCGGTCTCCTTTCTCTGTAAAGAGTAAATTCTCTGTAGAGAGTAAATTCTCTGTAGAGAGTAAATTCTCTGTAGAAAGTGAAAAACACTTTCTGATGTGTTTCATCCTACCTTGCTGGGGGACTTTCCTCATGGCTTTCCGGAACAGCTCGACTGTGTCAATCTCTGTAGCTTCTCTCACAACCTTCCTTTTCCCTGTCTTTATCAAATATTCAGGAATATCTGGAACTGAACAAATTATTTTATACACAACATATCAGTGTTTTCATTATTTCAATTTCATAGTAGTTTATGATTAATCAGTGATCAAAGGCAACTTGTTTTCAAGTGGGTGAGTGATTGTAATGTTTTTAGTGTAGAATACCTGGGCACTAAATAACCCAACTATTCGTTACAACTGCTTTCTAGTCCTTGAAGTATGCAAACACATTAGGATACTGCTATTCGACACTTAGGAAAGTCTCCACAATGAGCATAGAAATGATGTTGAGGAGATGGAAGGAACATGAACCTGGGCATGTGCTCAATGAAACTTGCCGAGTCAGCTGAAGAGAATAAAATTAATGTTACGTAAAAACAATTTTCACAATAGATTATAGCCAACTGGTCCTTTGGATAATGCTAAACAGAAAAGTAGGTGCCAGTCAAAACGGCCAAACGCCAAACGATTTGGCAATTTGGTCATATCGACCAGTGGAATCTGTACCAGTGAAATATCCGATTGAAAATGAATTAATTGGTAACTGATACTTGTGTTCATTATAGCTTGCTGATTGATTGCTTAAATAGTATCTACACATTAAGGTGCTCCAACATTGATTGGTGATTTTTTTATTGACCGATGATTATCAAAGTACACAGGTTATCGAGACAGTGTATGTAGATGTGGGACACATGAGAAGTGAAGCACAAGGCCATGAACACAGTGATTGTAGAAGTGACAATGACAATGAAAAAGATAATAAATAATAATATAAAACATAATTAAGTATGTGTATAACTAAACATAACTAAATATTTACTTGAGTGTTTGTGTGTGTGCGATTGTACATTCATGATTACATACAAAATTCATGTATGGTTATTTATTCATGTATATCTGAACAGCGGTAAAAACTAACATTTTTAGTCCACTAGTCCCTATAATGATAACATATAGCAAATCACTTAAAAATGGCAAATTTCTACTAGTCCTTACGATACTTTAACTATTGGGCAGTTTGGCAAGGACTACAGGACTAGTGCCAATTTCTTACGCTGATGAATGGATGTCACTAAGTAAAGAGGACAATTGATACAAATTAAGTGTTAAAACGAATGAACTTGTTTTGATTTTCAATGTTAATTCACTGGTCCGTTTTGACTAACAATGGTCCATTTGGACTGGTATCCCACAGGTGCAGACACCAAAGAACCTTTCTCTTTTCAGACCTGCCGCTCCAGCAGTTCTTATCGTTTCAAAATTACTTTCCTTTAATAAATGACTTTCTTGATATTAATCGTGCCCTTTAAATGTTTCAGCTTCATCCTTCCGACTCTCCACTGCGTAGATATTTGTGTTACGTGTTTGATTACAGGGGGCAGTGCGCCAGATAGAGAGCACTCACTCACACTATCAGTCAGTGACTTATCGGAGTCCACACTCAACTAGATGCGACGTACAACAACATGCACTCACCCCGTTGTAAATGGGGAAAAAGCAATGTCATTTCAAGTGACTAACTCACACTTAGACTTTGAACAGAAAGTTCTTGATGCTGCAGAGGAGGGTTGTCGTGAGCGTAAGAAAACCATTGCCTGTCCACATGTCGATCTACAGAAAGAAAATGCCATTTTAGTTGTGTCATATAGGCCTTACATCACAACCTCTTGACCTCACTGACCCACATGTGGATACACACTCTGCAGAAATCGTTGAAGATCGGGCAGCTTCCAATGCATAGTACAATAACTGAGATACACAAGATCGCAGGAGAAGTATCTGAAAGGGTGCAACCCGCAGAGCGACTGGATTCCGTCTATACATACAAACAATTAATGCCGCGCAGACATTGGCGCGAACCAGCTTACAGCGCGACATCTACTGGGAAATCCCCCTCCGATCGTGATACCGGGGATTTCCCCATACCATGCTTGCAAAGATGCCACTGTTTGTGGCCAAGTCCTTAGCTGCGCTGCGTGGTAGCATGGCCTCCGTTATAACATCGGCATTGAATATTTCTTGTACCCGGTGTATTTGTGGATCCGCGATATATTCAAAAGGCAAAAAGATAAGCTCTCAACAATGGTTGATCAGGCAACGGAAGGATCCGTACGTCGAGAAAGCTGCAGCGGATAACTATCGGTGTCGCAGCGCCTACAAGTTGCTGGAGATTGATGACAGACACAAGCTGCTTCACCCGGGAGGGGTGGTCATCGACTGTGGTGCTGCTCCAGGTTCCTGGACGCAGGTCGCACTGGAGAGAGTCAAGGGTGAATATATACAGTGCCTGAACTGACTTTAAAAAAAAAGAAGCGTTTTCTGGGTGGTATCTACGGTAAAAATGCGGTGCATACTGTGTAAATCCACACACTGGTTTTTACACAAAAACATATTGAAGTCAATTCTTATAAATAAATATGTGAACAATAACAATTTCACAACAATTTCATTAACACAAACAAAAATGTAGAAAACAATACGAAATCAGAGACATCATTAAGAGTTATAATACAAGCCCCACCCATTCTATAACCAATAAAGAACCAGTTTATTAGTGGGCGTGTTCTTTTTTTTAGAGTCAGTTATTGAAACATATGTGCAAAAACTTGCTTGGTGAGCCAATCAAATGCCATGGAATCACTTGCAGTTTATTTATGACTGTAAGACAGACCTGATAGTGAAGTAGATCCAATAAACTCTTTTCACTCACAATTGTGACGTTATCTTTCAGAGCATGGACAAGTGATTAGCATAGATCTGCAGCCAATGGCCACCATAGACAAAGCTGTTGTCTTGTGTAAAAAAGATTTCACAACACCAGAAACTCAGGCCGAAGTAAAGCAGCATTTATCTGGCCGATTGGCTGACTTTGTTATGAGTGACATGGCTCCCCGGGCAAGCGGAGTGAAGTCCCTTGATCATGACAGGATCATCAGCCTGTGTGTGGAGACAGTCAAGTTCAGCTGCGTGGTGCTGAGGGAGGGGGGTGCGGTGCTGTGTAAACTGTGGCAGGGGGCTGAGCAGCCTCGGTTGGAACATATCATGAAACAGTTATTCAAGACAGTAAGGGTGGTTAAACCTGATGCCAGTCGATCAGATTCGGCCGAAATATTTCTTCTTGGAAAGAACTTTACTGGGAAAAGACCACCTCAAAAAAGCTAACGACATGTTGTTTTTTGAATTTCCTGTTGAATGAAAGTTTTAACGGTTTAACAGAATGTTATCCCGCAACCCTTGTTTGTTGTAAGAGGCTTCTGACAGGAACGGGAGGTCAGACTCAATGATTTGATTGATGTATGTCATCGTATCAAACTTGCATAAATCGATGCTCATGATGTCAATCACGGGATCATCTGTTCCGGACTTGGTTATTTATAGACCGCCATATAGCTGGAATATTGCTGAGTGCGGTGTTAAACAATAGACAGAAAAATCATACATGTTTTATTATTTATGTATGCTTTCATATTGATTTGAATGCTTAAGACTTAAAGTGCAAGTATCATGAAAAATAGTAATTGATTTTTCTTACATCATTATGTAGCCAGTATGATGTACAATACAATGGCTGAGAAAAGAATGTGTGGAAATGTAAACTTAGCGGTGTTGCACTTAATAAAAAGTACTTATTTTGAGGTCTGTATTTGTAACAACCCGATGTGAATCTTAAAAGTGCTAACGAGGAGGCGTGGCTTAATTTCCACGTCCGGCTAGGTCTGCAAGCTGATTGGGTATTACCAACAGCAGGATATAGAAGATATGCAATTGTTTCATTAGCTGTTGGGAGACCTGTGTTGTACATATAATACCGGTATGGATTCCATGTATGGCTGGTGGGGGCGTGCCAAGTAACCTTGAGTTAACATGCATTATATGATTTTAACTTTTCACTATTAGGGGAGCGGGTTCCACCCCACACCTCCCCCTCCCCTCAATCCATGCAGTTGTAAAAACAAACATTGATTGATCTTTGTGACCAATTAGTGCTAATTAACCGGAATTGTATTGGTCTCACCTTCTGTCGCTCATCTCACAACATGCACCCACAGTAGATTGTTGCATAATGTATGCCAGCAGTCAGTCCAGGTATCATAAAACTCTCAGCCCTGTGTATAGTGTAATGTAACACATTAGCAGGTGACACAGATTCTACAACATGTCGCTTCATCTTTGTTGTGCTATTTCAAGATTGCAACAGGATATTGTGATTTGGAGGATATAAACTTAACAAATGAACCAATCTGTGTTTTGCAATCACTTGTAATCCATGTGTCCAAGATGGGGATCATCCTGATTATTTTCGTCACTATTGTCAGTCACAGGTTCAAACATGTAGAGGTTCTCTTGTACTTCTTCCTCCAAATTCATCTTCCGAGAAACATTCACATTCGGGTGGCCCAGTTGTCTAAGGCGCCGCGATTCGCTGTGCAGAGTTGCATCCCTTGGGCACGCCAGAAACCTATGATTGTGGGTTTGAATCCCGGTCAGCACCATACCTATGTTCGTTGGTTTCACAGAACTGGTAAATGTCTGAGACCTGCATCACTTCGGGCTTTCCTCCCACATAAAGCTGACATGCTGTGATATAACTGGAATACTGTTAAAAGCGGTGTTAAACCCACTCACTCACTCACTCAAATAGTGTCACTATCAGACAGAGTCTGACATTTCAGAAAGTTATGATCGATTTGAGCTCACGATATTGCAAAAAGGGAATAAAGTTAGTACTAAGCTTCATCATATTATACACAGATCAGCCAATATTTTAAACAAAGAAACAAGTTACAACAAAATGAAGTTTTACAATTACTGAGATGAGTACCGTAATGCAAACAATAAACACAATGGAAGAAATAGTATGTTCTCACATTGTTTTCTCACCAAATATTGACCTCAATTTGTGATGTAAATGGCCTTTGTCACATTTCTGTTGTTGAAAGAAAGAGGAGTATATTTTAATCTTTTAATCCCTCTCATACGAAGGAAACTACAATGTACAAATGGAAAGGAGAATGTCTACAGGTTAAAGAATGAAGAATAGGTAAGCTTTCCTGAAAACGTATGTAGCCGACCATGACCATGAACAGAAGCTTGCCTGCTAGAGTGCAAAAGGAAGGGCGGGCTTGTGCGATCAAGCTTGTAATTCTGGAGGTAATTTCCAACAAAACCATATATGGAGCCATGGTATATAAAGGCTCCGCCTCCGCTGTATTTTCGTTTCAGTCTCTGAAATTGATAGGCAGGATAAAATCGAAATAAACCTTATTTATGCACTGTTTTCGATGTTTTGAATACGATATTTGCATTAACGATGTTAATCTGCCAAATCTATCCAAATCTGCAAAGTTGTATATACCCATGAGACATGCACTTTGACCTGTGCCCCCTGGGGATTCTGTGTTAGAATAGGTTCCCAACAACCCATGCTTATAATACAAGGCATCTTATTGGACCAGGTGGTCAGACTCGGTGACTTGGGTGGTAGTATGTCAACGCAACCTCGTGGCATGGGTCATTGCTGGTATCAATCACATGTTTGTCTTGTCCGGACTTGATTTTTACAGGCTACCATCATAGTGTAGGAATAGTGCTGAGTGCAGAGTTTAACAACAAACAAACAAACAAACACGACCTGTGAAAATGATGGGTCGGGGACTGACACTGATCCTAGTACTCAGGGACCGCCTCTGTGGTCTAGTGGTAGAGCATCCACCTGGAGAGTGAAAGGTCTGGGGTTTGATCCCTGGCCGCCTCATACCAACAGATGTTAAAAGAAGGTACTTGTTACCCTGTCTGGCGCCCGGCATTAAGGGGCTAAAACAAGGACTGGTCGGCTCGGAGTCAGCATACTGTGTCTGAGTGGGGTATTAATGTTAAACTGCAGCATGGTATCTCAGTGAGCTAGCACTATAAATCGGCATCAGTCCTGACTAGTACAGGCACACGCACAAGTATATAAGTGCAATAATCTTGGACGCGATGTTAAACCCCGTTTCACCTCACCTCATAGTACTCGGGCCCCATGGGGCACTGATAGATGATTGATGTTCTTTTCACAAAGAAACACATGTATTGTCAAACAATAGGTTTATTTCCTTCAATATATAAACTCTTTAAAATACAATTAGAAAATAGGATTATATATTATGTTTGCATTTGCATAATTAACATTCATTATGTCCTAATAACAGGAAGAAAACTCCAACACCATCAAAACACATAAGTTAAATAAAACAAGTTTAACAAGCTGCCAGTTTATCAACAAGCAATGGTATAGCATCATAGCAAAACCATGAACAAATAAAATATGGATGGAAGCATATTGACATTGTATCATAGAAAATACTTTACAGGATATTGATGTAACTACAGCACTTATCCTAGATATAGTCAGTATTATGATTAAGATGGGCAGTTGGAGTGAGCAAAATGTTTTTGTATCATCATATCACAATGCGTTAGCTTCATGTGGTAGGGTAACAGGTCCCACAGAGGTTTTCTACTTTGGTGAAACCCAAGAGCATGGATATGGTGCTGTCAAACCAAGTAATCTGGGATTTGAACTCTTGACTACCAGATCCTGTCATAGCAAAGGGACACAACTCTGCACAGCAGTCAGTAGGAACAATGCAGTGGACATAATGGTGATAATAGTTCTGCATCTTTCAGGGGAAGCCCACTATTGTTCACACAGACGTTGAGCATGGCACTATGTTGAGCAATCCAGAATATTAACCATGATAGCCAAGAGAAAACACATTAAATATCACTCCCCGAAACTACCAATAAGAATAGCAATGGGAATTGAATAAGAAAGAAAACAATTATATTATGCTTTACGTTTTCCAAGAATGGCCATCAGTTTTCTATTGTGTAGTTTCTAATCACTACAAGGCATCAAGCATGCCAAAACCCAACAGCTTGGTACGATGTATAAGATTATGACATTTGGTATTCTTGTATTTGGTTTAGTTACTCATTCCTCTTAGGCACATGGCAAGTTTTGCATAAGGAATGTGGTACACAGCTAATTGTCTTGGAAACATTTCATTCTTATTTAAATTACATTTATGTCAAAAACACAATTCACATCAAACTAAAAATGTTTTACATATATTAAATGAAACACTAAATGTCCCTAACTTTTTATGCATGCCCATAAACATCAAAAGAGGCTGTAACAAATGTTATATTTGAGATAACATTTTCTGAGTAAAGTACAGATTCTTGTACTTTTTTGGGGGGAGTCTTGTCTGGGATTTGAACCCACACTGCCAGAGTGAGGCCCCTGATCGCCAGCACACTAATTGCCTGCACACCTCATTGCCAATTTACACATGTCGGAGGGTTTACACAAAGTACATGATCTAGACTACCAGTTGTCACACTTTTATTTTGTGGAAGCCTCGGTGGCTGAGTGGGTTAAATCACTGACTTTGTGTGCTGGCGATTAGGTGCCTCACTCTGTACTTTACTCTAAAAGTGTTATCCCAAATTAACATTTGTTACATTTGACCACTTTCTAAATGGCATATCAAAGAGGCTGCTGAAATATTACCTGACTGGTATCAAGTTGAGGATGGTGTCAGATCTCTAGTTCTAGTAAAGGGAGACAATGTTGTGCGTATCTCACCATTTGTTCATGGAATCATGGTGTAGATGTATAAACAGACAGGTAAATCTTTAAAACGAATTGACTAGTACTAGAATATAAAATTGTAAGTGAGTGCTGATTTGACAGACAGTGGACGCTGCCATACAGGATTTACATCAGATGTCTGATACTGCTCTGTGGAGGAAACATGCAGGACTTTCTCATAAAGTCATATGTGATCAGATAATAATAATAATAATAATAATAATAATAATAATAATAATCTTAAAGCATGCCCAAAGTACTATATTATTACTTCGGCCAATGGATCAATGTGCTCTTGATTTTCATTCTCAGCTCCCTGAAGAGTATACAACCCAAGCTGTTCGCAAGGTGCTAGATGGTTAACAGTCACATTACCATCTCATCCTACCGGGTACCCACTCACTACTTGGTGAACAGAGGCACATTTCAAACAAAGTATTACATGTGCTTCACTGTGGGACCCTTGAAACTCTCAGGAGTCAAGCCACCAAACACTGTCACCCATGCAACTACATGCTGCGAGCAATGCTGCAAAACTTTGTGCTGTACACAGCTCCACATGCCACCGTCAAATGGCGACCTCTCACTGGTTAAGGGCTTTAAGCTGTGCTTCAATGACAACTCATCAAGACAAGGATAGGGCAAACACAGTCTGGACACAAGGCTTATGAGATCATATGCAAATACAAACAGGCACATGTCAATATACAACGAAAAGCCTAAATACCCTGTTATTAATGAATGAAGAATATCACAGAACAGTTTGCATAGTGTAACAATAACACATGTAACATATAGTACGGATCAGCATACTGACAGCATGGGAATGACCATTGCAACATAGCATTGAAAAGGGAGATCAAACAAAACAGGTTTAGTCCTGCTAACCATATACAATTATGACTAAAATATTTTCATACAGACAAACACAGGTTAGTCTGGAAACATTTCCTGGTCTATGACTGTTTCAACAGTTTGAAATGTCGACATACATACACAGATCTGTGTTCAGAGAGATGGCAGTGTCTGAATTAACCTGGTCTCATGCAGAGGGCTCAGATCAGGAGTAGGACTTTGTGGCAGAATTTCAGATCTGCAGTCCTACTTCCCATGACTACTCTCATGTCTACTCTCATGTACACTATCGTCACAAATCAACTGTATATCCTCCATCAGTTCAGTGTACAGACCCCAACCATCATTAGCATTATGCAAATCTAACATGCAGTATTCCACTGTTATTGTGGGCATATATACTCACTGCCAAAAGAAACGCAAACCACAGAAACATATAGAGAAGTATGTATGTTAAGAAGAGATTCCAATGTGTAGCAATTAATGACAAAACTAACAATCTGTCAAGTGGTACCACAGGGCATTTTTATTCTTCTCACTATATGCTGCACGTAATTTCCAAACTTACACGCTAATCCTGCACGAGTCAAGGATCTACGACGTCACATCGGTTCACACAATATACCTATATGTTTGTTTGTGTATCGAACCAATCTAATATATCTTGAATATGAGTAATTCTCCATATATTAACCGACATGCATGGTATTCGCGTTTCTTTTGGCAGTGAGTATATATGGGATTCACAATCTGCCAGCAGACCCTAGTTCTGAGTCCTACATACCAGTGTAACCATGGTAACTACACCCCCCAGATACATTAAATGGAATGTATGAATATTACATAGCACTATACGTGATGAACTACAAATGACATGCTCTAATAAATACAAGCATACACAACATGAATTATTGTTTAAGTATCTTTCATGTTTAAACTGTTGATCCTGCCTGGATGTGCTTGCACAAAGCGATCTTAGCGCTAAGACTATGGTAAGCCTATGTTGAAGTATGGGAGTTACGATCATCTTAGCGCTAAGATCGCATTGTGCATGTGCGCCCTGGACTGTATTGTATTGGTGCTCCTCTGTACATAATGTAACTCCTACATGTGCCACATTATCAGAGCTCATAGGACTGGCAAACCAGATGTTTCAGTTGACATATTTGCATTAACATGTTGTTTCTAGATTGAAAGTATCTTCGTGTTATGGGTTTTCGGACGCTTAAGAAACATTCGTAGTTTTCTCGCTATTCACAAGAACAACTATGAAATATCTCACTCAGTTATAAAAGAGGGCTTTATGTTAGAAACAGGTCATCATCTGAGTATTTAAAATGTGATGCCACACCCATTGTTATAGCGTGAGTACTCGCGATAAACATGGCCCTCTGAAACTTAGGAGGTCTGAAAACCCATGATCCCTGGATAACTTTAACAATTATTTCATATCACTAAACATTAATGACATATTGCCTTTGGACTTTGTCAGGTGAGCTACACCACTAGCAGGCCTCACCACACAACAGACTGCACAACTTGTACATTCCATAGTCCATACTAAGTCACTTTCTCTGCCCGTGGTACAATCTCAAATATAATGACATATTATTAAATGATTATACAGATAATCTTCTCTAGATGTGACATACTGACAGAATTTTATATCATTCATACACGATATATTTATGTGTTAGAAAATTGTTTTGTGACCCATAAGTTGAATGAGGCTAAAAAATAATAGTCTCTTTTCATTTTTATTTCCATTTTGAAAACAAAAATAAAAATCCTTAAATATTCCAAGTCCAACCGTTTTCAAATACTGTATTCCAGTATTTTACTCATCAAGGAATACATTTATGTAGGGAGGCCCTTTCCCAGGTTGATTGTACACAACTGTTTATTTGGTTACACAAATGTTTGAACAACCAGAAAAATGTATACAAAAAGACACCACCTCTCCGCACTATATTTTCAGAAACCATTGCCTGAGAACCAGTTCTTTTATTTTTTTAAGCCTAAATGTCTTGAGGCTGTGCAACACATTTTCAAATCTCCAATCTGGGTTCAGTCAAATCATCAATGACTGAAATCCTTCAGGAAATTACACTGCATACATATTGACATTCAAAGTTAAGTCTGTAGGAGTTTAATGGTCTTAGTGCTGTAACACTACAATCTCAACACACACTCCAGTGCTGGAGACATGGTTGTATCTATGGTTTGGCATATGCATGTATAGCCAACAAGCAAATATGACTACATTATAAAATAGTATCTCCAATATTGGGGTAAATCAGCTTTTGAGGCCTCCTTTCATATTTCTACAGTACCAGGTACTCTCCTCATGGTTCAAAATCATCTTTCCTAACATTTGACGTTAATCAGGATTTCCTTTGTATGTACCAATGAAATCCTGGATGGAAGGCAAACACTTATCAGCAGAAATGAATCTCTATTGCTAACAACAATACCCTGAAACCCTGAACTTGTTCCGTGTACATAAAGCTGGGTAATAGGAATGAAATTTTGGTCTGAAAATTTCATCTCCAGTTGAGAGATCTAACAAATCCAGTACTCATCTGCTGCAGATTAAAAAAGAACATACTCCTCATTTGGAAAAGTTGGAGCACTAGATAGTATTCATGCTATACAACCAACACCTACTGCATTTTTCATACAGAATACTACACAATGTTCGACACTCACGTAGGCACTTTCCTGAAATGAGTGGATGACAAACTGCAACAGTGGTTGAGCGACTATCAGCTGAGTAAGGTTTAATGTTGCTTTTAGCAGTATTGCCTTGGTGTCAGAGAAAAGGACACCATGAAAAGGCCAGCTTCATTTATACCCAAGTTGAGCATCGAACCTGGACTCTCAGTGTGATGAGCAAACGCGTCCTCTACTAGGCTCATTCAGCTGGGGCTGCTGCATGCTGAGTGAGTGTTCTGGGGCTGAGTTTTGGCCATGAATTACTTTGGTGGACTGTCTTTCCTTGACATGGACAGTTGGCCTCGAGGATACACAGCCACTTGAACTGATGGACTGGAAAACTGAAACAGCTTCGGATATCTGGATAGGTCCTGAAACAAGTCATGAAATTGTCGTCAGTTTGAATAACAGTGAAACCTGGTTTACTCAAACTCATTCAGATGAATTGTTACTTACTTAGGAGTTGACGGTTGACAAAGTACCGGTAGACACAATTTATGGATAACAACTTTTCTAATTATTATAAAGGTGACGTTTCAGTATAGATCTTTATACCATTGTCAAGACAGAATGAAGAACATGGTACAGAATATATATAGTAGGTGGAGGATTAACAGTAACAACAATTGCATTCACAAAACAGTTGCTATCCATGAATTGTGTCTACTTTGTCCTTCAGGTGAGTTCTCCATAGTGTGAGTGAGTGGGTTTTAGGAATATTCCAGCTATATCACGACGTGGAACACCACCAGATGTGGGCTTCACACACTGTACCCTAGTGGGGAATAGAACCCGGTTTTTGGCGTGACAAGACAAGCAGGGTGATAATATCAGTCAATAGTTCTCATAAATCTCCTTAACCATACCTTACGGTAATCTTAACATGAGGGAGTTGGCACTAACAAGGTAGCACTGTACATTAATCACCAGAGGTGGATACTAGGGCTAGGGTGAGTCCAAATTTACTACGTAGGTACCCGACCCCCTATTACCATGATTACCCGACCCTACCCGGGTACCCACTGAAGATCTCAAGCGTTGGGAACAAGAATTTAGAATTGTTTTACCACAGCCAAATCCATTTAGATACATGTATCAAACGATCAGATCATGCGTACACTGAAGTTGACTGAAGCTTTATCTTTACTCAAACATATACAAGTCAAAAGGAACATGTGCATCGTCAGAAAGAAATGCGAACATTAGCAATTTGTAGTGTAACCACTGAGCTATAGTGAGTGTTTATCATTAAACAATATATCACATGACTAACCATGGGTCCGGGTAGTCCTGTGGGAACCCGAACCCGACCCGACCAGAGTACCTGAATTACCCATCCCAGCCCTAGTGGATGCATCATCACAACATGCAGTATATTAGTAGGTTCTAAATGTTCTATACATGGAAATATAACATAGCTATGCGATAAATCGCAAAGAACAATGAAATACAAAGTGTGGTCAATTTTACGATGAAACATTGTATATCATGACGTCATTTCTGGAGATTCGAACATGCGCTAGAACTTGATGACGTTGTATAATGGAAGACATTATTTTTGAGAGGGGAGTGTCTAGTGAGTCGTTCCCCATAGATCTAGGTGGGCAACGCAGATAAACACGAAGGCTAAACGATCACATTCAAAAGCATGAGAGATGTGACAATCGGTATTGGGAGAAAAGGTACAGGTAATCGACATTAGGATCGTGAGAATATGCGGGAAATACCCACCTGTGCCTAAAATGGACTGTCCGACATTGCAGAGATCGGATTCTATTGAGGGAGTCACTAATCACTCGTGAAAATGAGTAGTGAATACGTCAATATTTTCATCCATTGCACCATACTTGACACTGCCAGCTGTAAATCATCAGAGTGCCAGGTATTTGGCCATCCTATCTTGAAAAAAAAGGCTTACGCACCACAGATAAGAGCACATGCAAGAATTGTGATACATATCAGATCGTAAGCAAGGTATCGTGATATGTATCGGATCACAAAGTTGGTGTATCGTCCTAGCCCTTGTGAGTGGTCCGGATGTAAGGTGAGAGTCCTGTTACATGCTGAACATCATCAAAAGCTCTATTGGATCTTGGAGAAATTGTTTCTGTCTGTTGTTTAAAGCCACACTCAGCAATATTCCAGCTATTTGACAGCAGCCTGTAAATAATCAAGCCTGGACCAATCTAGTGTTTGATATAATGAGCAATGATCAATGTCTTAACACGCTTAGGGCGATGGGGTAGCCTAGTGGTTAAAGCGTCACGCCGAAGACCCAGGTTCGATTCCCCACATGGGTACAATATATGAAGCCCATTTCTGGTGTCCCCCACCTTGATATTGCTGGAATATTGCTAAAAGTAAAAGTGTCATAAAACCATACTCGCTCTGTTTTAACATGCTAAACTGAGCCTGCCCATCTGAATCGCCTCTCACAACCAGCATGGGCTGCTGGGAACCAACCAGGAACCCCGACAGTGTGCAGGAGTAAGTATGACTGTCTATACCCATGTTGGAGAATCATATCTCAGCACAGGACATTATTCTATTTGACAAGGTCTCACCTCATCCACAGTTTGGAGTTCTTCCAAAGCTTCAGACATTTCTTCTATCAGGGCTTGGGTGCAGAAGATCTAAAACAAAAGCTCACAATATTAGTAAAATCTAAATATTTTTTACATTTGTATACTTATCCTGCATTACGACGTATTGCATTTACTGCTGTCTTTGACAGAGAGACGAACTGTGTGAGATCCAGCTGCTGAAGAAAGTTGTTTCCATCTGTCCAGGAAGCAGCACCCCCTCCCACACAGTCGGCACGTGACCCGGAAGACATGACGTCATGTCAAAACTCATAACTGCTTTAACATAACATCGGAAACTTCGTGGGGAGGAAGCGGAGCGCAGGGGGGGCACTTAGACTTCGTAATGCAGGATAAGTATACAAATGTAAAAAATATTTAGATTTTACTAAATTTTTTAACTTATCCTGCATTACTCCGTATTGCATCTTTATCAGACGGCACGGCCGGTGGGCATACCTTCAGATGTGAGCCAGAAGAAAACCCTCGACAAAGGTCCGATGAAATCGCACCGCATGGACAAGAGATGACCGGAACACCAGCGACCATTCCTGTCAAAGGAAACGAGAGTCGATGCAAAAGAGGGAACCCGAAATAGGTGACAGAAATAGTATGAGGCGGGAATGCCAAAACTAGCACTGACCTAAGAGCGAATGCGGAACGCAGTAGAGCCCTCTAATCTGTGGTGATAAACACCAGAGAGTTCGACGGGCCCCGCTCAGGGTAACGGAGAATCAGTGGCGTCGGGGGTTGGTGACCTGTTGAGCTACCACCAGGGGACCAAAGCTATGAACGCCAGCGACATCTTCCAAGGCTGGTTGGCGAAAACGGTGTCGGAACGCCAAAAACAGCCTTCCATGATAGATTTGAGGGAACAGTTACTGTGCAGAGCCATGGTAGACGCGACCGCCCGAATCTCGTGGGGGTTGTTAGCCTTGGGGGGGTCCAATCCGGCGACTTTATAAGCTTGGAGGATGACCGCCCGGAGCCACAGGGAGATAGTATTCCGGCTGACCTCCGACAGCGACGAAGGGGAGACCGGTAGGAAAAGGCATTTCCTAGACTTACGGCAGGCTTTAGATCGTCGCAGGAAAACCTTCAGGGCCCTAACTGGGTATAATAAAAGCTCCTCCACATCGTCGGCACCCACAATCGACGAAAGTGGAGGGATGGTGAAGGATCTATCAGGCTGTCCGGGGAGTTGATTCTTTGCGATGAAGTCCCAGCACAGCCCAAGATGAACTGCTCCATGAGTCCCGCGTTCGAACCTGACCCGAGAGACGTCTCAGGTGATTGCGCATGTGATCGATCTGGCGAAGTTGGAATGTCATAACCGTGCGCAAGTGGTCGATCCTGTTAGGATTGGATTCAGCGAGATCCTGGTCAATGGCTCTGGCAGATGAGGCAAGTGTAGATAGTGGCTTCAAAGTACGGCGCAGTTCTGTTTCCACGAAAGCGAGTCGGGAGTCCGGCATACGTATGGTGACGGACTGGGAAGACCCGGTCATTCGATGTAAGTCCTCGTCAAGGATATGTGCACCGTCGGCCACGTCAAAGGAGTGGACGGGGAAATCTTCCCGCCGGAAACGCGGAGCCTTGAACGACGGCGTGAGGGACAACTTAGCGAAGTCCTCGTCCAACGCCGTAACCAGGTCAGTGAGCATTGGATCGGGTGGTAGAGAAGTCGGATTAGACCAGATCGTCAACTTTTTATCCACATCGGAGCCCGGGGAGGGAGCGACGGAGGCCAGACGGTCCGCCAACCAATCAGCAACCTGTGAAAGGCCCAAGTGTGTATCAATCTCGGGAGATGGAGGGTCATAATTGGGGCGAAATGATCCTTCCGAGGAGGAGGAACGACGTCGTCGTCTATGTACGGGTGAGCGACTACGAGAGCGTCGACGGGAACGAGCAGACTTGGACGAGTGCCGAGAAACAGTCGGAGGCGACGAGGTGTACAATGTTCGAGACCGAGAAGCACCCGATGTGGAGGGGGCCGCAGGAATCGAAGTAACAGTAGTCGGGGCCGTCAGCGTCGCCGGCGTCGCAGGAGGCACCGTCGGCGCCGCTGAGGTGGGTTGAGCTTGCGCAAACAATGACTGCATCCAAGCTTGCATCCAAGATGGATCCATGAACGATGACGGGAGGGCATGTCCATAAGTAGGAGGCGCAGCACAAGTCAAAGGCGCCGAAGTAGTCAGAGGCGCCGTATACATCGAAGACATCAGAGGCGCCGGACCAAGAGGCGCCGGATACATCGGAGGCGCCGGACCAAGAGGCGCCGGATACATCAGAGGCGCCGGACCAAGAGGCGCCGGATACATCGGAGGCGCCGGACCAAGAGGCGCCGGATACATCGGAGGCGCCGGACCAAGAGGCGCCGGATACATCAGAGGCGCCGGACCAAGAGGCGCCGGATACATCGGAGGCGCCGGACCAAGAGGCGCCGGAGGCGCCGGGTACATCGGAGGCGCCGGAGTTGTCGTAGATGGTAGAGGTGACAGGAAACCCGAAACGGGCGATGCTGCAGACGATGATGTCGAAGCAGACGACAGTAAGGGTGGTGTAGGAGACCGTGTACGGTCGGATGTCGTGCCATGGGAGGCAGACTCTACGTTGGATGACATGTTGGAGAGTCGACGCACACGCTGGGTGAATCGTTTCCGAGACACTCTTAGGTAGGCGGTGAAGGAGACTGGCGACAGGGGACTACAATAACTGCAACGCTCTGTTAGGGTACACGGGGTTGTACAGTCCAGGCAGCAGGGGTGGGGGTCCCGTCCAGATTTATTCCCGCGGCAGCGAGAGCAGCGAGACATACTGGAATTGAAGCAAAAAACATAACGATGTGTAAACACACAACGTGAAACATAATGTAACTCAACATAACTTATTCTTGTTACAAAGTTAATAAGAGCAAACAATTACGCTTCAAACACGCCAAAAACAATCATTAAACTTAATGTAAAACTCCAACCATAGAGCGAATTCAAGACACAAAACACGAAAGTACGTGGACACGTAGTGAATCGCAACAGGGCGGGAAAAAATGGCGGTAAACCAAAATGGCGGGAAACAACAATACGCTCAGAAAAACCGTGACGAGAGTCACAACCCGAGCGAGAAACATTACCAATTAACAATATAATGAAGGCAAAGGTAATACAGCAGACTTTTGTCGTAGAAAACGAAAGAAAGTCAGGACCAAGAAAGCTTTAATAATTCCACTGAGGGATACAGTTCACGTCCGATCCATGTGGTTGACAAAGCAGTTATGAGTTTTGACATGACGTCATGTCTTCCGGGTCACGTGCCGACTGTGTGGGAGGGGGCGCTGCTTCCTGGACAGATGGAAACAACTTTCTTCAGCAGCTGGATCTCACACAGTTCGTCTCTCTGTCAAAGACAGCAGTAAATGCAATAGGGAGTAATGCAGGATAAGTTAAAAAATTTGAACCATATGATAATGTACCGGTAAAAAAAATGTTTTTGAAAACTTTCAAATGATCTGACTATAAATCTATGTCTTATGATGTAATATCATATACTTTGAACTGACTGGACATACTTGATCCTGTTGCCAGTGAAGTCTGGATATATATTTAAGTAATATATAATATCATTTACCGTATTCGATCTAATAAGCGCCCGAGGCGCTCTCAAAATTAGAAATAGGGAGCTCTTATTAGCATATTATTTTGGTGGAAAAAAAACAGAGTTGGTTTATGCTGACAGCCTGATATGTTTATATACGACAAATATATTTTTCCAGAATTTAATTTCCCATAATTAAGGGTGCATATAACACACAAGTGCGTAGTAAATAAGTCTTGTGTACATTGATCAATCGGAAGGAGTGCTAATTGGGATTGTTCACTAGCCAATATATTAGTATAGCAAATATCGTGCTTATTAGAACGGGGAGCTTATTACGTCGAATACGGTAATATGAAACTATACTTGATATTATCCCTATAACACCCATAGCCAGGCTCCTGATGAATACCCATTCGGCTAGTGCCTCAGATTGCAAGTTTCCCAAGGAATTTGTGGTCACAATTTGGGCCAATGGACCTTTACAGTATTCGCTGTAATAAGTGCTCCAAGCACTGACAATAGTGACAAAGGGGGCGCTTATTAAAGTGAACAAATTTGATGACACTAAAAATGTTTTCAACAACTGTCTCTAGGCATTTTTATACCCCTCTATGCTTCTGTTTTCTGTAATATACATAAGAAAATATGGACTATCATGTAATACACACAAGAAAATATGGACTATCATGTAAATTTTCAGCCCAGTAGGGGTGTTTATGAAGATTACTTATAGGTTGATTTAGAATATGGTCAGGGGGTGATTATTGGAACAAGGTGCTTAATACGGCAAATATGGTATGTGTATGTGTATTCACATTTAGTGAGTAACATAGGCCACAAGTTCTATTTGTTGTTTAATGCCAAACTCAGCACTAGTCAAACAATATGACAACGGTCTGTAAATAACTAAGCCTAGACCAGGCAATCCAGTGATTGACATCATGAGCATCGATCCACCCAAGTAGGATACAATGACATGCATCAGCCAAGTCAGTGAGCATGACCACCTGTATCCTGATGGTTGTCTCTTACGACAAGCAAAGCTGGCTGAAGACCAATTCTAACCCAGATCTTCAAGGGTTAAGCCAGAAATATTCACAAACAGTCTGTAGCTTTGCTTAATGCTACACACCTGTAAATCTGTGCCCATGGCCTTCATGGGTTGGACATCGTTGACAAACACAGTTTGGTCATGTGTTGACGGAACCAGATGGACAGCATGATTGTCCGCACTACGGAAGATGAAAAATCTACCCTTCTTTAACCTAGCTCTAAAAGAAAGAATGAAAAAAAGGAATTAATTCAAAAACATCTTCAGTATTAAAGTTTAAATTAATAATATTACCTATATAAAGCTGAAACAGCTAGTCTGAGAAATACAACCATGTCATGACACTATATGTGATGTGCTGCATGAAGACAGTATATATGTTATGTGCTGCATGAAGACACTATATATGTGATGTGCTTCATGAAGACACAATATATGTGATGTGCTGCATGAAGACACTATATATGTTATGTGCTGCATGAAGACACTATACATGTGATGTGCTGCATGAAGACACTATATATGTTATGTGCTGCATGAAGACACTATATATGTTATGTGCTGCATGAAGACACTATATATGTTATGTGCTGCATGAGTGAGTGAGTGAGTGAGTTTGGTTTTACGCCACTTTTAGCAATATTCCAGCAATATCACGGCGGGGGACACCAGAAATGGGCTTCACACATTGTACCCATGTTGGGAATCGAACCCGGGTCCTCGGCGTGACGAGCGAACGCTTTAACCACTAGGCTACCCGACCGCCCTGTGCTGCATGAAGACACAATATATGTGATGTGCTGCATGAAGACACTATATGTGATGTGCTGCATGAAGACACTATATGTGATGTGCTGCATGAAGACACAATACATGTGATGTGCTGCATGAAGACACTTTATGTGATGTGCTGCATGAAGACACTATATGTGATGAGCTGCATGAAGACACAATACATGTGATGTGTACCCACTTAACCACCATAGGGAGCAGCTCAGCAGCCTCTGCATCAAAACACAGCTGGACGGCATCGATGGGCTCCACGTGCAGCAGGTCGTCGTCCTGGTCCTCATCCAGGACAATGTTCTCCTTATTGTCATTGTTGTTATCGGCAGGAGTGGCCCCGGTCTCCTTCATCTTTAAACTTCTCTTGGGTGTGTGTTCACCCGACTCTTGGTTTCTGACAGGAAATAACAACTCATGTCAAATCATGTTAAAAAAACACTCAGTTATGTCACCCTCTTATATAGGACCAAACATGACTGACGTGAATCTTAGTTTACATCTTGCCATAAATGGCGACTATGCTTGTCGTAAGAGGCGACTAACAGGATCGGGTGGTCAGACTCACTGACTTGGTTGATACATGTCATCGTATATTCTCGTTTATCCCACTGGCCACTTAAGTTTCATTTTGGAAATAATGTCACCATCACCATCTCTCTTACTACTCACTTGCACCCTGTGAAGATCCAGGGTAGAAAAGGTCTTCAGCAAACCATGCTTGCCGTAAAAGACGACTATGCTTGCCGTAAGAGGCGACTATGCTTGTTGTAAGAGGCGACTAACAGAATCGGTAGTCAGGCTCACTGACTTGGTTGATACATGTCTGGTCCAGACTTGATTATTTACAGACTGAGAGCAGCATGAAACAACAACAACGAAAATCCTACTTACTTGCAAAGGTTTTGTCTCACATATGGGTGCAATCTGGTGGACAGGTATTTTAGGTATGTTTCAAATACAGTTCAAAATGAAACTATGCTAGTGAATGGGTTCTGGTATTTATCATAATAGAATGAAAACATTGATGTGTGTACCGGTACTTATGTACGTACAAGAGCCTCCATCTGAATACAGCCGTGACGTGCCCCATGTTGGACCCATCCTTCTCTATCCCCTCCATCACCATCGCCTGTAAACTGGGATTCTTCTCAAACAGGGACTTCTTACGATCCATGTCAGTTACAAAGAATGGGCCAACACTGAAAAGTGGGATGTCTGATTACAGAACAGTGTGAGTGAGTTGGGTTAACACCGCTTTTAACATTATTCCAGTTATATCACGGCGTGTCAGCTTAATGTGGGAGGAAAGCCTGAAGTGATGCAGGTCTCAGATGTTTACCACTTTGGTGAAACCAACGAGTACGGGTATGGTGCTGACATACCTAGAAACATAACCGGGCGAACCGGGATTCGAAACCACAATCATTGGTTTCTGGCGTGCCCAAGGGACTTTCTGGCGTGCCCAAGGGACACAACTCTCTACGGCGAATTTACAGAACAAGATACAGTAAGCACTCTTAAACCAACCTCACTACCTACAACATATTAATACATATATACTACTCAAAAGAAGTTAAGGAACACCTGATTCTTTCATATTACGATAGTTAATGTGTCATGTCATGACAGATTACTATAGTAAAACTAAAGAACTAGGGGTCCTTAACTTCTTTTGAGCAGCATGAGCATTTCTGATTAAATGCAGTGTTTTATACTTTTATAGGCTACACCTATAGGACTGTGTAGTGTCAGGTCAGGTAAATCATATAATTATTTATACTTCCTCTCAAGTCCTGATCTTAGAAACCAAAATACTTTCATTTTCAATTTTATTAATAAACATGAACATGATATAACAGTTTCGACACCAGCTGACAAATTACAAATGAAATACATGTACCTACTTCAATAAATCTTGATAAAATTTATGAGCATATATCCTCATGGCTGTTTTCACAACGAATATTTTCAAGTTACTTGTGAATCATGATTTGTTAATGTACAAGAAAATTCGACATCTAACAATGTACATATTCACAATACTACTGTCATAACAACTTATTCCAATAGTTGTAAAGAATAGCTATATTTTTACTGACTGCATAAACACCAGATAGGTACTTCGTTACCAAACACAGTTTCATTTTTTGTATTCTAACACAGGCATAATTGCAAGAGATTGTTTTGTTAATTACGAGATAAAGATACTGTGTTTTCAATATAGTGCCAATTACCTATAGATTTAAGCACAATAAATTTAATTTGCAACCTAACATGCAGCTTTGAATATTACAGTAACAACAACTCTTCATTTCGTAACCTTTGATTGTACACAGCTTTATATCAAAATGCCTACTGACAATGACTGAGACAAAGGTATTTTTGTTGTAAATATTAGCTTGAAGTGGTCATCAAATCAGCTGTTCCAATCAGAGATGGTTATTGTAATTTGAAACCTGTGATTGACCCTTCAGAATGTAGTATTTTCCAAATTCCCAGTGGAATTGTGTACAAGACTCACTCTGGTGACTCCTGCAGGAGGTGTAACATGCCAGCGCCCTTCCACTTCTGTGCTGCCTTGATCTCCTCATCCATCACCCCCACCAACTGACAACACAGCAATAGGTACAGCACTCACCACACGCTAAACAATTGGCCACTACTTTACTGCACTACATGTCACAGTGAAGGCTTTATAATTCTATATGCAATATTGCAGCTATACCCAGGGTTTCACATCAGTTCGTTTTCTAGGACACTGACTGGTTGACATCCAAAATGTCCTAAACATATCTTTCAAATTTGGTAATGATATAAAAGGTTTATAGAATCATGAACATGTCCTATTATAAGTTGTAGCAGCATCACCTGGGGTACTTGGGGTTTTATGCGTCTCCGGCTCGTGGTATAAAACCTAATGAGGACGCATAAAACCCCATGTACCCCGAGTGATCCTGCTACAACGAATTTATCTTACCAACATGTTTTAATATGACATTGTAAAAGAGTTCAAACAAAGTCAAAATTGATAGAAAACAGCTGTTCGATTGAGCTGAGGTAAGCTTGCGTTCTGTCACGTGACTTCCAATGACGGGCGACTTTTTGCTTTGAAGTGAGGTATGAGGGATTTATTCTGTCTCTAAGAATTCCATGTGCAGCCTGATTTCCCCTGCTGAGAAATGTATTCCCCTCCAATTCAGGTTACACAGTATTTTATCAAGATCATGTGGACCAATCAGATCTCATCATTCTGATGGGGAGGTATGATAATGCCATTTGTCTCTGACAAAATCACTGATATAACACCAAGAATGGTTGCCACCATGAAAACTACTCTGGGTATTCTAACTGTGGTTCTCGTCCCACAAAGAATCCTGGCAATGTGGCTGTTGCAACTGCCATACATAAGACAAATGAATGTTCAGCACTACAATTGCTCTGAAAAATGAGCTGCTGGTTAATATGGAAAGGCTACCTCAAAATACAACGCCAGCATACTGATCCTGGGTCACAATACTTGATGACATTATCACTTGGGGGTATATGTGGTTTACGCGTCCCACGTTCAGTTTCATACCACGAGCCAGAGTCAGGTTTAATAAACCTAACAGGGATGCAAAAAATAACACATACCCCAAGTGATACTACAACAACAAATTTATCTTGCCGAAATGTTTCAATCTGCCATTGTAACAAAAATTAAACAAATTGTAAATTGGTAGAAAACAGCTGTTCGATTGACCTGCAGTTAACTTGTACTGAGTCATTAACATGTAAACAATGTGCAGTTTTTCACTTCATACCAGGGTACAAGGGATTCATTCTTACATTCTGAAATTTATTTCCCTCCAAAGCAGAATACACAGTGTGTTATCCACATCACATTAACCAATCAGATGTGAACACTCTGCCATGGAGGTAAGATAATACTTGTCACAGGGATAGACATGACCTATAGTCTGTTAGTGGAGGACTAGTGAACGTCAAGAGGACTGAGTGTTTATTGTAACAACCTTGTCACTTTACATATGCTGGAGTCGTGGACTAGTTGGATGAGGCCAATGGTGTCTACCCCTGGTTGTCAACAAAATGGTCCACTGTACATCCCTTACTGGAAAGTGCTAAGTACTTTAAGGAAGGTTTGTGGAGGTACCTGTCTGAACACAATGGTGCCGGGCGGCATGTCCAGGTTGCACTTGCTTGATAACGGTGTTATAACCTACACTGAAACGTCGATCTTAATTGTAATAAAGAAGTTGTTCATCCATATATTTTATCCTTACTTACTCCAACTTTAAATGCCTGTCAAAGAAATTGTTCTAACCTACAGTCGATAAGGAAGGTTTGTGGAGGTACCTGTCTGAACTCGATGGTGCCGTACGGCGTGTCCAGGTCGAGGAGCTGGGGGTCCTCCGCTACCAGCATGTGTTGTATCCTACAGCAGCTCTCCCCATCCAGGGGCTTATGCCAAGGGATGTGATCTCCAACATGCAACACATTGCCTGCCACAGATACAACAACACTTCTATACACTAACTTCTATATGTAACTTCACAAAGATTGCCTGAGGATGGTGAGTGTAATATCAAATTTAATGTAAAAATCATGTGGGAATCTCAAATTGGGACCAGTTCAATACTTCAACGTGGAATAAAAAAAATTCATTCCATAGGTTTTGAGACACCCCAACCTCACCCAAAAAAATATTTCTGAAAATGTTGAATTCCTTGTAATACTCAAAAACACACTGTCACGAAGAATGACGAATATATTCTAGTACAGTTCCATGTGTTTATTATAAGAACTAGAACAATATCCTGGAACGATGAAACCAGAAATGCACATACAAATGAGCATTGAAAAGTTCACATCACATGATTATTTGGATGGTAAAACTTCATGAGTGAGAATGTTTTTTACGCCGCTTTTAGCAATATTCCAGCAATGGGCTTCACACTTTGTACCCATGTCGGGAATCAGCGTGACGAGCGAATGACCTGATGTATCTAATGACAACTCCTAATAGTACACCTGGCGAATCCTTTTGCATTACAGTTTACATAACCAGTTGTGCTAAGGACACGAGGAGCTTGCAGGCCGAGGTAACTGCTTTCTCTCTCAGCTTTCCAGCATAAAACATTGAGAAGTCAGGTAAGTTGATCGTGTGGGATTTTCAGGGGCAGTTACCGCCCCATCCCTAAAATTAAGGACAGGGTTGTTTGTTCAAGATGTGGAATAGTTAAAGATTTTTAATTTTTTTTTTAAATGGAAATAAAAAAACGAAACATGTGGCAGACTTAATGATGATATGGATGGAGCCTGAGAACCAAGACTATTATGTTTTTTAGCCTATTTAGCAATAGTAACATGCTTTAAGTGAGTTGCCATAGTGCCAAGAATAGTTTACTTTCCAGTACAACATGTAACAGTGTGTAACTATCGGCCTCATGTTTGATGTTCTGACCTGTGTGGAAGACATAGCGAGCCAGCTTGTTGATGAGCGTGGAGCCCCAATCTGGTGGATCTGTATCCTCAATGTTCCTCCGAACACGCAGTGTCAGCTCAAACCCGAAGCCACTCGGCTCTCCACGCTCTACTCGCCTGTAACACATCACACAGACATGATGGGCTAACCAAGAAATGTATTCAGACAAAATCTAAATCAGACATGTTAAAAGTCAGAGCCTTAGCAACACAGCCATCCGAAAACGTATGACATCTGAAAACCGATGATCTGACGATATATCACAGCGTGTCAGCTTCACGTGGAAGGAAAGCCTGAAGCAATGCAGGACTCAGACATTTACCTAGAAGCCTAGAAACCTAATCATGGCACACCGGGCTTTTCAAAGTGAATTATAATGTGTTTAATGTTGGTCAACAAGTTAGTATGTTACCGGTGAACTCTCTCATCGCCATACAAGTCGCTGAAGCCGAAAGTGATGAAGTGCCAGTGAGGGGGAATGCTCTTGGACAAATCTCCTTCATTGGAATAAATGCGGATAATGTCGAGAGGGTCTGGTCCACCTAACCTGAAAACATAATGAGCAATGTATTCCATACCAATTCAATTCATAATGTAACTCATAAACACTATACAATGAGAAAAACAAACAATAACCATGACAACAGTCAAACATGTCTATTTGTTATCTGGAAGCATTTCATTAATACATTTGATGTAACGTAGATACATTCTGAATATAATCAGATCTCTTACTCTGTTACGTCATTTATTATCGACTTGACACATTGGCATACTAGAATGATTTAAGTTAACTTTTGACTTAAAACTGACTTGACTAAATTCTTTTGAAATACAGAATTCAGATACTGGTTGTGATCAGATAGTGCCTGAGTTGACTTTGAGCTGGCGCTAAATAATTATCATATTACAGGCTGTATTATTAATTGTGGATTCCAAACGAAGTGCCGTTAGCAGAAAACTGGAGGAAAATAATTATTTTCTTGAAAATTAGGATTTTTCTGAATATGCTCAAAGTTCTTATTTCAAATTCAGAAGTACACTAGCAATGTATTTTAACACTGTATACAAAGCAACAATGTGAAACTGAGCACTAAAACATCTTCCTCTTTATCATGTTTACCATCTGCCTGAGGCAAGGGAGTTAAGTGACCACAAAAGTCCAGTTTACCATCTGCACAAGGCAAGGGAGTTAAGTGACCACAAAAGTCCAGTTTACCATCTGCCCAAGGCAAGGGAGTTAAGTGACCACAAAAGTCAAGTTTACCATCTGCCCAAGGCAAGGGAGTTAAGTGACCACAAAAGTCCAGTTTACCATCTGCCCAAGGCAAGGGAGTTAAGTGACCACAAAAGTCCAGTTTACCATCTGCCCAAGGCAAGGGAGTTAAGTGACCACAAAAGTCAAGTTTACTATCTGCACAAGGAAAGGGAGTTAAGTGACCACAAAAGTCCAGTTTACCATCTGCACAAGGCAAGGGAGTTAAGTGACCACAAAAGTCCAGTTTACCATCTGCACAAGGCAAGGGAGTTAAGTGACCACAAAAGTCCAGTTTACCATCTGCCCAAGGCAAGGGAGTTAAGTGACCACAAAAGTCAAGTTTACCATCTGCACAACATGCACAAGGCAAGGGAGTTAAGTGACCACAAATGTCCAGTTTACCATCTGCCCGAGGCAAGGGAGTTAAGTGACCACAAAAGTCCAGTTTACCATCTGCCCGAGGCAAGGGAGTTAAGTGACCACAAAAGTCCAGTTTACCATCTGCACAAGGCAAGGGAGTTAAGTGACCACAAAAGTCCAGTTTACCATCTGCCCGAGGTAAGGGAGTTAAGTGACCACAAAAGTCCAGTTTACCATCTGCACAAGGCAAGGGAGTTAAGTGACCATCCCGGTCATTTGCTGTATATATGCTTATAATGAACTTTTTTTCCCCTTAGAAATTGACTTAATACATATAGAACAACTGATGTACACACAAAAATTGCTTTCGTTTTTTTTACTTTACACACCCTTTGATTACATTTGTGTAGACAAAGATGCAGTACAGACAATGGAGTGGGGATTAGCCAGTTAGTGTTTGAAAGGGGATGGCCAGGTTCTTTTAGCTTACAATAGAGTTCTGTTTACAACCCTGACATCACCACTATTATTGCAGGTCCTAACTCATTCTGAACAACTAAAACTGAAAACAAGATACAACTTTTTAGAATATCTAATAATATCATAGTGCATTTTGTAAACTAATTTTCAAATTCTACTCACATGCTTAACAAGACTAGGTAAGCACTGTCATACAAGCATGTTCAGACAGATCTTATTTGTACAATTTTTATGATTATATTGATTCATTTCAGCAGTTATAAAATCAGGGATTACTTGACATGATGTTACATAACCAGTATTTCTTGTGACCTAAATTCACATTTCTACACACATTGATAGCTTTACATATTTGTATATGATGACAATTCAACGTGGAAGCACAATTATATATATCTGATGGTCAAGGGGAGATAACTCATTATCATTTAAAAATTGCCCAGCTGATAACCATGATTTATATATCATGAATATCAGACTAAAAGAACTACGAATTTCAAAACATTAGGAAATAGATTGCAATGGGATGGTTTTTACAAATTATTTGAATACTAAAGTTGTCTCAGAAATATACTAAATCAGGTATTATTCAACAAAGAGGTACATTGTCAATTTGGCATGCACACATTTTCACATTTAACACTCCATGACATGTTCAGGCCTCAAAGTTGCGACTAAAATAGTCGCCAATGCGACCTAAATTTCAAGTTGTCTACTGTCTAAAATTCAGAGGTAGCCAAATGACAAACTTGAAAAATATCTTGTGGCGTTCAAATTCTATTGCTACACACATGTAGACACAAAAATAAACATGTCTGCTATTAATTGTCCTTGCAAATACTTCCACAAAAAGTCAACAATGGACCAAAATACATAAATATTAATGTAAGTAGTATTTAATTTTAGTTGATAGATTATTGGATAAGCAAGTGAGTGAGTTTGATTTTACGCCGCTTTTAGCAATATTCCAGCAACATCACGGTGGGGGACACCAGAAATGGGCTTCACACATTGTACCCATGTCGGGAATCGAACCCGGGCCACTAGTTTTAACCAGTAGGCTACCCGACCACCCCGGATAAGCAAGGATATACCTATATAATCTAGTAATATAAATTGCATCATTGTTCAAGTCATGATTAATGTGAGACCAAAATATGCACTGGACACGGGAAGACAAGCAATCGGCAATTTGGAATTAAATCTGTCATGAGGTAAATGTTGGCAAATATTGACTGAATAAAATGTCACATAAGCATGATAAGTATGATACATACATACATGCAATACAACAAATACCAAGTTTGTCTATTAGGGATGGAACGATACATCAGTGAACTGTGAGTTTTCAAGCGATGATATGATATGGTTTTTCTGTATCGATACACTTGCTAAAAGCATTTACTTACTAGTCGTTTTATGACAGTACTGACAGCCAGCATTTTGTCTGTCAAATATCACGAAATGTGTTGAAATTAGGGTTTCAAGCTCACTACTAGAAATAGTCGCTAAGAACATGTGTCTACAGCGAGCTTTCACAGTCCAACACAGGCCTTTCTCAGGTATGGTGTTACAAAATAACATTATTGTGTCAACAAAATCTAAATGAATGTCATATGCTTAAAACCATAAAGGTATTTTCTGTAGAAGGATATTAATTTAAAAATAACACAGATATATTACAAAGGCACAGTACCAGCATTTATATGGCCATGGGTTGTTTCCGTATTCACAATAAATAAGAAAAACAGGAAAATTTAGCAAACCCACACTTTTGACAATGGCATCAGAATGAAAACTAATTCATGGTGCAATATTTTTTTATAGTTAACAAAAGACTATATTAAAATGTATTATATTGTAGAATTTGGTGATACTGTGTGAATAAACAAAAACATTGAGACACTTTTTATACAATATACGTGTTTGTAAGCATGTCAGCAGTGTGGCAGTGAGCAGAATGCAGGTAGACTGATGGACAGGCACCATGAGGGTTAAGTGAGCACTATCATATAAGCATCTCCAGACAGATCATGTAATTTTGTTCATAAAAAACAACAAACTTTACTTTCATAAATTTCAGAATACCAAAATTTATAATCAATCCTGACTGTTTGAGATAACTTACAGCAGACTGGATTTACAATGTAGTATCTAAAAATGTGTGGCAACATAGGAACAAAACCATGAAAAAAACAACTTTTAGTGTTAGGCCGAGAGTTTTTAGACTAGACCACATCCACAAAAGATCAATTTGCATTTGAATTGAAATGACATTTTCCTTGCTCAGCAACATCTCATTGCTAAATCTTCAGATGTTCCTACAAAAGCTTATTGTCATTCATCATTGTGACAAATACCAAGTAGCAATAAACATAGTTCAGAAACCAGTTACTAGTTTAACCCGTTTTACCAGCTCAATCTGCAGCCTACCATATTTGCACCCTTGGTGTATACTGTAGAGGATTGAGTTGATCTGCATAAACAATTTTGCAAGATCTGTCTATAGCTTCATAACCATAACTGTCACATTCATCAAGATCATCAGATTCTTCAGAACTGTCTCCCATTCGCCCCGACACTCCAAGATCTCCAAAACTTTCTGCTTCCATGATTGAAATACAGTGATCTCCCTTTGAGATATACTCTTCAAACCATGTCGTACTAGAAAATAATAACAATTTATTACTCTAACTTTCTTAAAGAACTAATGATAACGATATCTTGATTATAATCACACGCAATCAGATATATATAAATGATTTCTGTGCTATAAAATAGTGTAACATTCAGATAAATATTCCATTTAAAGGGTATTCTCTTCCAATAACAGACAAAATGGCGGATGCCCATGCCGTTCGTGAGAAATTTACGCATGGAACTAATTACTTGATTACGCGTTCTAACACAATTTCCTTCAAAGTTACGAAAGTTTTACTTTTAGAAAATTAACATGGCAGGTGAAAACGACGGTGACGTGTACGAAGAAGGGGAGGGGGAGTTGGTGGACTGGCAGTTACCGGTTGCCTTCAACGAAAATAGACACACGGAAAAGATTGAAGGTTCTCGTCCAGTAACTGAAACATGGAGGATGAAAGAAAGGGTTAGCATGATTGTCAATAAATTTGGCGGGGGTAATGTACCTGGACGAGGGTACCCTTGTCTTGATAATATGTGCCATGCTGTTTATCCGTAGTCTTAGAGAAATATGACACAACGAATGCCATCACCAGTGTCAGCCCATAACCAGTAAACTTGGTTGTCCAAGTTGTGACCAGTTGTCACATAACATAAGCAAGTGTGTTGCATCTGAAGTTTACTGGGTGCAGCTTCGCCATCTACCAACAGCTCAATTACCTACCAAGCACAGCACCATCGCTGTCTCGCTACCGTGGTTATGGAAACCCCCCTGGCAGGAAGTCATCTATAAGCTGTTTGATCTCATGTTTATAACACCGAGGCACGCTGACTTGATTGATGCTTGTCATCGTATCACAATTGTGTGGATCGATGCTCATGATGCTCTATCACTGGATTGTATGGCCCAGATGTGATTATTTACAGACTGCCGTCATATAATTGAAATATTGCAATTTACCAATAAACTGGCAATACCGCGTACCCCTAGTGCTGACTAGTGTAAAACAACGTAGAAAAATGAGATCATTTTATTAGAAAACCACAATGTTATCATCACTGATCATGATTTATTATTGTACACAGATGAAGACTGTCAGTGTGGCTCTCGTCATGTGTCTCAACGTTGGTGTTGACCCTCCGGATGTAGTGAAGACAACTCCCTGTGCCAGACTGGAATGCTGGATAGGTCTGTACAGACAAATAGTGTGTGTCATTTTTGTTCTGATCAAATCAATCTCATTAATCATTAATGAGATTGATTTGATCAAGACAAATTAATAAAATGATCCTCTGCTATAATATAATAAAATATTGATTACGTTAAAACTACAAGATAGATTTCAGATGTCATTAGTTTAATTTTTTTCCCATGGATACTGGTACATTTTATTCATTAGTTGTTGCCAGTGACCTTTTGTAGAAGTTAAATCACAAGTAATAGTTAATACTGTGGTCAATCTCATTGAAATCAGATCTTAGTTCTTGCTACCGCTAAACAAAGATCTGAGGACATCCCATTATGGATCAGGTCAGAACGGCCTTTCATCCGACCAGATAAATGAACGTGACAGTCGGAATGTGATTTTTAATCATGCAAGCTCGAAAACATTAACATGGGGTATTCCAAACGATACAAATCCATACAATCTAGACCATCTATTAGCCATTCCAGAATGTTCTTTTGTTCAGGTTTCAAAAGTTTTAATCAAGAATTTGTCAAAATATGTTTCGAAGCTTCATGAGGAAGCTGCTTTCTGATTGGCTAATGTCGACTTTTTGTCAGTCATTCCATTGGATGGTCAAAGTTCGCTCAAGGTCAGTCTGACCTGACCTGTAATGGGGTGTCCTCAGATCTTTGTTTAGCGGTAGCGAGAACTAAGATCTGATTTTAATGAGATTGCACTGTGGTCAACATGGTGATAGTTGGTGGTGTTTCTGTGCACAGATCCTCTCTCCACAAGCCCCCAAAAGGCCTTAGAATCTATTGGAGGCAATCTACAGAAACAGTATGAGCGATGGCAACCCCGAGCTCGATACAAACAGAGCCTCGACCCAACAGTGGATGAGGTCAAGAAACTCTGTACATCTCTCAGAAGGAATGCCAAGGTATATTGGAAATGTCATCCAGTTCTTTTGTCCAAGCTGAGGGCTATAAATAACAATGAACATGTGCTATCTTTGTAAGTCCTACAACAGTGGGAAGCTGTCCTTTCTCGTTTCGCTCAGAGTTTCAAGTGCTGTTGTCAATATGCTGTAGACATGATAGAAGGCAAAATGTTGGTGAATAGTTTTAAAGATAATTTCATTCTGATGACAATGGGGGGCATGGGTGGCCCAGTCGCCTAAGGTGCCGTGATTCGCTGTGCAGAGTTGCATCCCTTGGGCACGCCAGAAACCTATGATTGTGGGTTCGAATCCCGGTTCAACCCGAATATGTTTCTAGAATTGTCAGCACCATACCCGTGCTCGTGGGTTTCACCGAAGTGGTAAACGTCTGAGACCTGCATCACACCTGCTGACACGCCGCGATATAACTGTAATACTGTTAAAAGTGGCGTTAAACCCAACTCACTCACTCACTCTAATGACAATGTCTTATGCACATGCTTTTGAACTGGTCCTCTAGTAATAGATAAGCCCTGGCTGCTTTGAATGCTAATACAGTAAACTATGGTTATAACAAAGTCAAAGGGACTACTTATTTTAGTTCCTAATAACCATAGTTATAAGCATATATATACAGCATATATGCAACAAATGGCAGCAATTAAATAATTATTTTCGTTATATCGGTCAGTTCATTATGAGCGTGTTCGTTAAACTACATTAAACATAGTTTACTGTACTATGACTAATGGTATATGGTACTATTTCAGGAGGAGAGAGTCCTGTTTCACTATAACGGACATGGTGTACCTCGACCCACCGTAAATGGAGAAATATGGGTGTTTAACAAGGTACATTGCATGTTATGAATTGAGGAATGGCGCTTATTTTCTGCCAGTTGTTTTTATCCTGATGATGAAGTATCTACTTTATGCAGTGAAACACCCATGATCATGTTATTTTGGATGTGGCAGTTTATGCCTGATCTGAAGAAGCCGCATACATTTCACAGATTGCACACTTGTGGATTATTGGGTATCACCATCATCTGTTTCAGTGCATGTTTGACAATGTTGACGTATTAACTGTGATTTTAGTGAATTGTTTAAATAGTTTGGTGAATAGTTTAAAAGATCATTTCATTCTCATGACAATGTCTTATTCACATGTTTGTGAACTGATTCTCTAGTAATAGATAACCCGTTTCAGTGCATGTTTGAGAATTTTTACATATTAACCATGTTAACTGTGATTTTAGGCATTGGACATGTCTTGTGCGTAACACAAACATGAAAATCTTCATTGAATGGATTCTGGTATCTCCAGCTGTGTAAATGCTAGAATATTGCCAGAAGTGGTGGCTTGGATGAAAGATCATGGGGTTGTCAACCACATTGTAATGATGTAAACAAATGTCTTGTCACACATTTCATAAAACTAAAAAAGGTTCAAACTTATCCCCTCTCATACTGGGCATTTCCACTCCTTTCTTGATCCTTAAAAAGAGTTTCCAGCTGAAAAAACAAGGCGCCGCAACACATCTGAGCTGTCTCCACTACAGCCATCACCAACAGTGGGCTGTGAAGCGCTGGACTCACACTCCATTTGTTGCAATTGTCATGATCAGTGCTAAAATAACTGAATGTTGTAGCTAGTGGAAGAGACTCTCCTGAAAGCAGACTTCCTAAACAAATATACAGATGTCTCGATTCCATCCAACAGCTTGGGATCTAAACATCTCCCCATGCCACTTATCATCTGAAGCTTATGAACCATTGGCAGATAAGGACTTTGAACATGTCACCTTTAAATGAGTCTCTTTGTTGGCATTAGCTACTGCAGCTCATGTCAGCGACATCCATGCCCTGGATATTAACAGGGTATGATTGAAAGACAAAGCAAGTTTACTTAGGCTTTAGACATGTTAGAAGGGATTTGATTGTGAAGAACCAACTACCAGGACAGCCGGATAGGTTATTCACCGTCCCTCCGCTCCCTTGATTTTAGGCCCAGATGATCGTGAAGATCTCTCAATCTGCCTTAAGGATATGCCTTCAAGCTCCTAAAAATGTGTGACAAATATGTAGAAGGGTGTTAATTCCCTTGTCTACAGCTGCGACAATGGAAGTTTCCAGGAACCACACTGTCTTTATGGCTCCGATCAGTCATTCAGCAAGCTTACGCCCTCGCGGATTTACTGCTCCAGTGGCTTCCAATGTACTTGAGAGAGAGGCAGTGGCATCAACTATGGCATTACACACATTATCAGTGATGATGGAAGGGTGTTTTTTGAAGTCCTACACAGTGTTTGCCTCACACTTCCTGAGGGACATCTCCGTCTCAGATGTACAGGGTCTGCACTAGTTTGGAACTCTCGTTCTGGCTCAACAACTGACAGCAGCCCCATAGCATAGACTGATACATGCATCCGATGAGATCGTGTGTCGTATCGTGTACATACAAGAATAAATCATTGAATTTAGCATCTTGTTTGTCCTTACAGTTGGGGTTTTCAGACTTGAATACCCAATGGAGGGATGAGATTCGTCAGTGGAGACTTTTTGTCTTAGACAATATGAGCAGTCGTCACAATGCATGCTCAAGAAATGGTGTTCCGAACCCTTTGCTTGCCAGCCGATGTGTTGGGACAAAGTATTTGGTCTGAAGGACCGTGAGGTTTGTTTCGATCATTCCCCTTCCTGTTATAGCAGCATACTCAATCACTGCGACGGTGTTTGATAGCTTAACAGAGCGAAAAAAGATATGCCAAGGCTGCTAAACTTTATGTCGAAAGACTATAAGTGTATGGGCGGTACTTGTAGCACTCCACTGACCTGGGCAGGGATGATTCACTCTCTCAGGGTAGGTTGTCAATCGTTATCCTCTTCTTGTTCTGGCGTACTCAGTCACTGCGGTTGTGATTCATAGCTTTAACAAAGTGAAAAAAGAGATGCCAAGGCTGCTACACCTTGCATCAAAAGGTTGTATGTGTGGGGGCAGTCTTGAAGAACTCTACTGACCAGGCAGGGATGATTGACTCTCTTGTCTTGGTTTAGGACCGTCTTTCTCGTGTTCATCTCACGGTTGAGGCCTAGTTACTGCCTTGGGTACATGCACCCCACCACCAACCGTGGGATAAATGCACAGTGTCAGATAGGATAAGTTTTAATTATTTGTAAATTTTACAATGAATTGTATATTTATAAACACTTATCCTATCTTACACGCTAAACTGCAAACACCCACCCAACCATCCCCTCATCACCATGATCAGTTACACAATCCTGTATGGTTTTCGACAGAGAATGAGTAAGCTTGGGACATGACTTGATCGCACTGAGCCAGAAGTAGTCAGCTCACAGCCCATTGTTATTGATGGTTGTCATGGGGACAGCTGGGACATCTTGGGGTGCATTCTTTTTTTCAAGCTGGAAACTTGTTTTTAAGATCGTTTCCATACAAGGATCGAGAAATGAGGGGATAGGTTTTTACTAATATACAATTTATTGTAAAATTATTTTTTAGAGTTTTGTTGTGCAGTAACCCTGGAATACTTCCATGCCATTTACTCATTGACATGTTCCCATGCATTTGAACATGTTGAAAGAACAATGAAAAAAGTTACCACAGTGAAACCAAGTACACAATGTGAGACAACAGAAGTAACCATGGTAACCATTTAAACTAGGAGTGATGATGTTTGTCTCTACAGAGTTACACGCAATACATCCCACTGTCAGTGTACGACCTGCAGACCTGGATGGGGAGCCCTTCCATCTACGTCTTTGACTGTTCCAATGCAGGCATCATTGTGGAGTCTTTCAGACAGTTCTCTCAACAGAGAGACCAGGAAATCGATGTAAGATCTATAACAGATTCCATGATAACATTAAGTTAATGCAGCTCCACTGAACAGTGATTAATTAATAGATAACACAATTGTTTTGATAGCAATCTGAAATGAATATAATGACTAATTTTTTACTTATCCTGCATTACTCCTTAATGCATGTACTGCTTACCTGAAGCAGTACTGCAAGATAAGTACATATAAGTATGTATATATAAATGTAAAAAATATTTAGATTTTACTAATGTGTACTAGATCTTAGCAGTCTACGATTTCAGCCACTTATTGAAAGCCTGACCCTGAAGTTTTTGCACAGAATGTTACAGTAGATGATGTCTTTCTTTCAGAGTGAAACCACAAATGGCAGTCAGTGGTACAGTGGCCAGGGTCCCCCCTCCTCCAACAAGCACTGCATACAACTAGCAGCTTGTGGGGCCAAGGAACTGCTGCCCATGAATCCAGAACTACCTGCTGACCTCTTCACATCATGTCTAACTACACCAATAAAAATAGCTCTTAGATGGTAGGCTTCCTTTGCTGGATCATTCGTAGATGCTGTTTGACATGCTTGATGATATATACATTTCAGTTCTTTGATTATATACACCTCAAATATTTAGTTATTAGTGGACATTTTCATGTTGACTCTTCCAGTCTACAGATGTGGTCTTTTTATTTGGGAAGTTAATTAGTTTACATTTCATGATTGTGCATTCATACCACGTCAGCTTGTCCTTTCTTTCTTTGTAGGTATGTTCTTCAGAATACAAGCAAGCTGGTGCCCGGTCTCACACTGGAAATGGTTGATAAGTGAGTCCATATTGACTTTGCCTAGGGTTGCTGGCTGTTTGGTTAACTTGAGACTTCATGGTTTGATGAATCTGTTGCAGAAACCCTTTTTGTCACTTTGCAATATATTTGGATAGACAATGATCTTAAGACTGTAGATTGTAGTACTTTTTGATGTTGTTAATCATGTACTCATTAATGAGTAGGATATCTTGAAGATTAATTTCATTTATTAAGCTGCTGCATGTGTTCAAAGTGCAGAGGTTGTAATGCACTGTGCAGAGTTGCATCCCTTACCTCCACCAGAATCCAGTGAGCATGGTTTCCAAACCCCTATCCCGATAGGGTCAACAATAGGTGTCCTAATTCTTTCACCGAAGTGGTAAACATCTACCGGTACATCCAGCATCACTTGAGGCTTTCCTACCATATTATGGTGACACAGTGTGCTATGACTGCTCAACATGCTCAAAGCTGTGTTAGACCACTAAACCAGTTTCTAATTACCGTATTTGACGTAATAAGAGCCCCACTCTAATAAGCACCCACAGCGATATGTGCTAATATATTGTCTAGTGAACAATCCCAATTAGCACCCCTTCCGATTGATCAGTGTACACAAGACCTATTTATTCGTGTTTAATATGCACTCGTGTGTTATATGCACCCTTAATTATGGGCAATTAAATTCTGGAAAATATATCTGTCGTGTATGATATGCACATATCTTTCTTTCCTATCATTTCAGGCTGTCAGCATAAACCATGAAGTTTACGATCTTTCAACTCTTTTTATTCTCTCACCAAAATTATGTTCTAATAAGAGCCCCCTATTTCTAATTTTGAGAGCACTCCGGGCGCTTATTACGTCTAATACGGTAGATTTTCCTTACTCATGGCAAAGACAAGGGATTTCCCTGTTAACTTATTGGCAGCAACTGTGGTGTCAATATAAAGTTGATTTAACTAAACATTGCTGCTGAATTAAAAAAACATGCATTGACATCATCAGGATCCCAGGTCAGCAGAATGACCGGCGGACAATGTGGGGTGAGCTGAACTGGATCTTCACAGCCATCACTGACACCATTGCCTGGAACATTCTCCCTAAAGGTGGGTTGTGTTGTCTCATGGAACTCTCACTCTGCTGTCTAGATCTTGTCCATGTTTAACTGTTAATAGGAATCTCTTGATTAGTGGTACCATGGAGAAAGAGTTTAAAGAAGGAATTTTAACATTTTGAAAACATGGAAAAGAAATGTATGAATTATTACACATAAGGTGTATATATAACTTGCAATCATGTAAATATAGATCCTTCATATGAATACACAATGCCATTTAGAAAGTGATCAAATGTAACTAATCATATGTTTGATATAACACTTTCTTAGTATTCTTTTCCGGGATGGCACTCCACTCAAAAAAGTACAAGAATCTGTACTTTACTTAATACTTTGAAAGTGTTATCGCAAATAAAAATGGCAAGTATTCATAGCTTTCGGCTATGGGAGCCATGCCCATTTACACTTATCAGAGGTGTACACAAAGTACGTGATCTGGACTACCAGTTGTCGGACTTTCGTTTTTGTGCAAGCCTCAGTGACTGAGTGGGTTAGATCGCTGACTTTGTGTACTGACAATTAGGTGCCTCACTCTGACAGTGTGTGTTTGAATCCGGTATGGGACTCTACCCAAAAAAGTACAGAATCTGTACTTTACTTAGAAAGTGTTATCCCAAATATAACATTTGTTACATAGATCCTTCATAGATATCTGAGCTATGGTTTTTGAGCTTTTACTGCAACAACCCATGAAGATCTAGGTTAGAATAGGTCTTCATCACTCCATGCTTGCCGTAAACGGCAACTATGCTTGTCGTAAGAGGTGACTACCAGGATCGGGTGGTCAGGCTTACTGACTTGGTTGATGCATGTTATTGTTTCCCAATTATGTGGATCAATGCTCATGATGTCAAAATCACTGGATTGTCTGGTCCAGACTGGATTATTTACAGACCGCCGTCACATAGCTGGAATATTTCTGAGTGCGGCGTTAAACAACAAACAAACAAACAAATTTTGATGCAAACAAACACTATCATGATACTATGGGGGTCTGAAATGATTCTTTTTGTCATCTGTCGTCTGATGTTAAACTCAGAGGGCTCCCACTTATTCTGTTTTTTTGTTTCAGAGTTGTTCCAGAAGTTATTTCGCCAGGACCTGCTTGTGGCGAGTTTGTTCCGGAACTTCCTGCTTGCCGAGCGTATTATGCGTTCCTACAACTGTACCCCAATCTCTAGTCCGAAACTACCTCCAACCTATCAGCACCCCATGTGGTGAGGGCCTTGTTGAAGTAGAAATAGCGCCGTGTTGGAGTATTTGTAGAGAATGTCTCTCCAATGTCTTTTGATGTCAGATATATTAAAACAAGTTGATGAAAGTTTTAGACATCGAGGTTTGACTACGTTTGCAGTTTTTAAACAGAAGTAACCAGTATCGTGTGTGTAAAAAGTACAGCAGACCAGTTTCAGTAGCAGAGAGAATTGTGTTTGTTTGTTCAGCTTCGTTTGTTGCAGTGTCTACCGTTTGTTTTTGTCCCCCGTCGCGGGAAAGCAATGAGCGGAGGATATAGTATTCACCACCCTCCGTACGTACGTCCGTACGTCCGTCCGTACGTCCCACCTGTTTGTTGCCACGATGTCTCAAGAACTAAACACTGGATTGTCTTCATATTTGGAACTATGATGTATAAACAGACTCCGCAGACACCAGTCGGTTTTGGTGACCTTGACCCCATTTTCAAGGTCACAGCAGGCAAATCTGCTTTTGGAGTTGGAAAATGTTGTTGCCGCGATATCTCAAGAACTAATCGCTGGATTGTCTTCATATTTGAAACTATAGGGTATATACAGACTCCGCAAACACCACTCGGTTTTGGTGACCTTGACCCCATTTTCAAGGTCAAAGCAGGCAAATCTGCTTTTGGAGTTGGAAAACGGTGTTGCCGCGATATCTCAAGAACTAATCGCTGGATTGTCTTCATATTTGGAACTATGGTGTATATACAGACACCGCAGACACCAGTCGGTTTTGGTGGCCTTGATCCCATTTTCAAGGTCACAGCAGGCAAATCTGCTTTTGGAGTTGGAAAACGGTGTTGCCGCAATATCTCAAGAACTAATCGCTGGATTGTCTTCATATTTGGTACTATGGTGTATATACAGGCGGGGGACATTTCGTCACTTTGTGACAAATACTTGTTTTGTTTGTTTTGTTTGTTGTTCAACGCCGCACTCAGCAATATGCGAGCTATATGACGGCAGTCTGTAAATAATCGAGTCTGGTCCTGACAATCCAGTGATTGATATCACTAGCATCGATCTACGCAATTAGGATACATCAACATGCATCAACCAAGTCAGCAAACCTGTCAATCCGATCCCTGTTATAGCAAGCATGGGTTGCTGAAGACCTATTCTAACCTGAATCTTCAGGGGTCAGAGAGTTAGTGATTATTTGATGGACTGAGATGTCATGGTAACCGATAATGTCACAATGGTCTGCAAAGCATTGTGATGCAGTTTCATTGTAGCAGTATCTCCTAGGCCCAAAGAGATATCTCCTGTGGAAGCCAATGTTGGATGATATATGACTACACTTGTCATGTCTGATACACTGGTCAATAATCAGAGTTGTTGGGGAGGGCTACCCGCACCACCTCCTTCAGTTGATCTCTGTCCCCGTGTCAGAACATGGCCTAACTGTTAACTCTACAGTGGGAAGTACTTGCCTAGTTCAGCAAGGATGGAAACTGGACTTTTATAGTCAGTTAACGCCCTTGCCTCGAGAAGATGGTGTACTATGAGATGACAAGTTAATATTCAGATTTGTGAAGTGGTAAATTAGGTCTTGGGAAGGTTAACTGTTGTATCTCTACATGATTTGTTTCAGGCAAGCATGGGATCTTGCTCTAGACCTTTGTCTTTGCCAACTGCCGCGAGTCAATGAGGAAGATGGGTCAGCATTCAAGCACAGCCCTTTCTTTGCTGAGCAGCTGACTGCTTTTCAGGTTTGGCTGTCATTTGGAAGGGAAGATCGCAGGCCCCCTGAGCAACTGCCTATTGTACTACAGGTAATTATCTCCTTCTAGGACACAATAAATTATTGTATGTTGACTATCAGTAGTAATCCCTTCTTTTCTACTGGGGCGGTCGGGTAGCCTAGTGGTTAAAGCGTTCGCACGTCACGCCGAAGACACAAGTTCGATTCCTGACATGGGTACAACGTGTGTAGCCAATTTCTGGTGTCCCCGGCCATGATATTGCTGGAATATTACTAAAAGCGGCGTAAAATCAAAATCACTTACTCACCTTCTTTTCTACGACACCCTGTCTACTTTATATGCTTAGAATAGGTGTAAAGCAGCCGGGGATTGTTGTACATGGTGATTAATGGATTGGGTGGTGAGGCTGGTTGATGCTGACACTGTTTGTCATTTATGTGCTAGCTATTATGGACAGTGGAAGCTGGTGCAGATGCACTATATTTGCTTGTCACCATTTCTCAGTGTATCAGGAACAGTTTGGGCAGTGTGTAAGAAGCTTGAGATACAGCCTCACTCATATCCTGGGCAGACATCTCCCGGGCAGACATTCCCGGGCAGACATTCCCGGGCAGACATTCCAGGGCAGACATTCCCGGGCAGACATTCCAGGGCAGAAATGATCCTATGCAGTCCCTGGTATTTTGCGGACTGTAGCAGAAAACAAAAACATTCCACTCAGTCACAACCAAAAGTATTTAACATTATGCTTTTGCAAATTAAGACATGAGGATTCATGTAACTCAGAATAGTGAGCATCAAACTGTATAATGAATGACATTTACAGTTTTACTTCAAAGAAAGATACCAGTGAACTTGAACATGTTGTACTGACTTCTCCAGGTGCTGCTAAGTCAAGTTCATCGACTGCGGGCCCTTGATCTGCTGGGCAAGTTCCTGGACCTCGGCCCCTGGGCTGTGAGTCTGGTACGTCATTACATGAGGAGGGCGTTTAGGTCCCATATTGTTTAATCATGTCAAACAAATGCATGAAATAATCTACATAGCTATGATTTGCGAAACCTCTTCTGGAATAATGCCCATGGATCAACAGAATTTGGAGATGAGAATACGTGGTAATTAAAATTGCTTGAACACTATGAGATTTTTTCAGGCACTGTCATCACTGAAGCTGAGGTAAGCTCTCATCAGCTGATTTCTTCATGTTCCAGGCGCTGTCAGTTGGCATCTTCCCCTATGTGTTGAAGCTCCTCCAGAGCTCGGCGAGAGAGCTTCGACCGCTACTGGTGTTCATTTGGGCCAAAATACTGGCTGTGGATAGTGTGAGTAGCCAGGCTATTTACAGAAGGAAAACCCCATGCAAGGAATTCACTCTAGGAATTTTCTAACATGGGCCCTTTATGTGAAAATTTGAAATATTCCAGAGGAACACCCACACTTGCCCATACAGGTATTTGAAAATGTGGGCATTTTTTCAAATTAAGGGTCTAAAAGCACAAGGCCCCACCCTAGAATTATCGCTGCCCATGGTCATTCTTGGTCCCCTGCAACCTGTGCTTGTCATCATGGTCATAACAGGCAACTAAATGTTTAGGGTCTGACTCAGTGACTAAGTTGATTGTGTGTCATAGTACCCTGATGGTGTGGATGTTGCTCCTTATATCGACCACTGGTTGTTATGTTGCCTTTATATTGACTCCAGTTTGCCGTCACGGCTGGAATTTTGCCGAGTGCAGCATTAAACCACAAACAAACAAAACAGTGAATAGTGTTTAGAATTTAGCATATTTTGTGATGTCATTCTTGAAGTCCCTAAATTTATGTTGATCTGTGTGTGTTTTTCAGTCCTGCCAGGCCGACCTTGTGAAGGACAATGGCCACAAGTATTTCCTGTCTATACTGGCTGATCCGTATTTACCGGTAATTGTTCTCCTCATTTTCTGAGTTTTGTAGATTTTGGTGATAGTTCTACATGTTTAATATAAACATGATTGGGAATAAAGTATCTGTACAGGAGAGAGCCACATGTCTCAAGTGGTTTGAAGTGAAACTATTTTACTTGTATTATGTGTGGGGTGGTATCTCCCATGTAGTCTAAGGAACAACAATTATCTGTCCACAGTTGTCTTCTTTGCGATCTAATTTATGGTACAACTTAGTCAGCAATTAGTCCAACAGGTAAATCAACTGTTCACAATGACCATTAATGCTCACAGCACTTGCATTCCTTCTGACTTTGGGTTCATATCCCACATAAAGCTGACACGCTGTGATATATCTGAAACACCATACAAAGCAGTGTTAAGGCAAACACACTCACTCATTTATGTGTATTTGTTCAGGCTGAGCACCGGACGATGGCAGCCTTTGTCCTGGCAATGATAGTGAATGAATACCAGCAGGGTCAGGTGAGTGTTGTCATGTACCTGCGTGGATCTGACACCATAAGTGCCATTATCGTTTTATAGACTAAAACATGCATAGGCTTAGGCAACGACGTAATAATTGATGTGTTGGAGCGGCTGTGTGGTTGTTAGAGGAGGAAAGTTGACATCTTGACGTGATCCGGGTGTACGTTTCCTGTAGTCTTATGATTGTACCTTATCCTGACTCGTACTTATTGCCTATCTCCACTCATTTCTGAAAAGTAGTGGAAACTTCCTGAACTGTGTTCCTGGAGGACAGGAAAAAAACAGATCACCCGAATGCACCCCTAGTCTGCACATGCACACAGGAAACACGTGACCAAGCCAGTATACCCCTCACTCTCTCGTTGTCATTCCTACTGGGTGGTTGGGGAAAAAAATCCTGAGCTTTGTAATCCGAACCATCCTATCAAAATGAACACTTTTTCATAAAATGACATTTGACAGATGACATTCTACTAACCTTTATTCATCATATCTAACAATTATTTTTTAAAATCACGTCCGCTCAAGCACTGACAGTAAGAGGCAGACTGCAATTATGTCCCTTTCAGAGATTCTTAAGACCATTCCTAGATCATCCAGACCTCAAACATCGACTTCCACAATGATGGAAGAAATACCTGCATTAGTGGACAATCAAGTCGAATGTCTGTGGAGGAACCAGATCCCAACCACCATTTGTTCGTAGATTCCTTCCTGCTAGGATGGTGCCCTCACTTCAATGAAGAAGCAACTTCAGGGATATGGTCACCAGAAGAAAACTCCTCCACATCAACTATCTCGTGTTCAAGGCCGTCATCAGAGCTATATCTCATTCGGCTCCACAGCTGAAGGACAAGTTTTTGATGATAAGAACAGACACCTCAACTGTGTTATTCTCCATAAATCTCCAAGGAACGACAAGATCTGCGGCCCTTCCGAGACAGTCTTAACCTACCGATAAAGACAAGACACATCCAAGAAGTGTCTAGCGTTCAAGCGGACACCCTATCAAGGCCATCCAAGCCATCACCAACAGTATGGATGCTCCATCCGGAAGCATTCCAACCAGTGACAAGAGACGGAGCTTGTCCATCGGTGGACCAGTTTGCAACCAGATTCAACAGACAGATAGCATCCTTTGTCTCGCCAGTGCCAGACCTGCAAGCTCGGCAGTCAACACACGATATCCTGGGAGGGACTTCGCGCTTATGTGTTCCAACCACCAGCACTGATGCCGCTGATATTACAGAACATCATCAAGGACATGAAGCCACTCCTGCTTTTGCCAACCCTAAAACTCCCAAACTAGCCAAACCTCCTTCTACATCTTCACACCAAGCAAGTTCATCAAGACCAGATCTCTACGAACTTCATGTATGGAACAAATTACATTCAACCTAACCCGAAGAGGATATTAAGCCAGAGCAGCCAAGGCAGTATCCCCAGCGCTTCACAAATCCACAAGAAGTCTATATGACAATGAATGGAAGAGTTTTGACCAGCTTGCAAGATCCAAGGGATTCACAGCAACTGAAGCTACTCTGCGACAAGTAGCAGAGTTCCTTTTGCACTTAAGAAGTACAAGGAATCTCAAGGATTCGACTTCAGGTACCTCTGTAACAGAATCAAGCTCACCAAAGTTCCAGAATTGATAGCCTTATTAAGATCACAGAGGCTTGAAGATCAACGAAAGAAAGTCAGAGCCCAAGCCTGTGGTACTTAACCAAATTACCGGCAAAGCGTATAAACCACTACAACTGGCGGATTTTCAACATCTGACCAAGAAGATGTGATTTCTACTGGCCCTAGCCACAGCAGCCAGGATGTCAGATACATGAGATTGATTTCTCCCATACAAGATTCAACAGTGGTGATCATGTATTTGCTCATCTCGGCCTGAGATGGGTTTTGATCACCAAGAATCAGCTACCTGGTCAACCAGACGGACAGTTTCATGTCCCACCACTCTCATCCATACTGGTATCAGATGCCCACCAAAGATTTATGCCAGTGTCCCGTTTGAGAGCACTAAACATTACCTGTAGAGGACAAGTTCCAGAAGGCAAAGAGTAAGAAGAGTTATCTTGGAATAATTCAGGAGAAGTTTCCAGAACAAGCAGATTATAACAGATCTTGATGGAACCCACCACCACCTTCCGTAGAATTCAAGCAATAGTATGAGTCAGGATAAGGTAAAATATGTATTGTTCAGAGTAAACATATCATTTATACTTATCCTGACTCATACGCTATAGCGCCCACCCAGCCGTCCCCTCTTCCCCTGTGTTTCCGTCGTTTGCTAAGTGAAAAGAGAGCGTGATGAGTATACCGGCTTGTCACGTGTTTCTGGTGCACAGGTGCAAACCAGGGGGTTCGTTCAGATGATCTGGGTTTTTTGACAGTTCTCCAGGAACACAGTTCAAGATGTTTCCAATACCTTTCAGAAATGAATTGAGATAAGTAATAGTATGAGTCAGAATAAGTACAGTGGTCCCTCGCTACAACGTTACCAATGGGGTCCAAATAATTGGTGGGCGTTATAGACGATGAGCCGTTTAACCGAGGCCGAGGCAGGGGAGCGCGCTCGGCCAATCTCATGATCTTTGCCTTGTCTCGCACATTGCAGTGATACAAGTTGTTTACCGTTCATAGTGTAAAAATATATATCCATTATGTTTTCGCCGTTTGTTATTATTTACATGCCTTAACTGTCACATTCAATGTGAATGTAGTCTACTTACATGAAAATATCGATCGATAATGGTAGTAACAGACGCTATGAGTGAAGAGCCAATCACAATTCATTACACAAGTACAGAGTGATTCAGTGGCATTGATTGGTCATTTTGCTTAAAATACGGAAAACGAGAGTTTTGACCAGCACTATGTGCATTCATACACATTCATGCAAATATAGATACACATTCAAGCCAGATTAATTGGTTTGATACGGTTACTTGATCTGAATCAAAAAGAATGACCGCCGTGTTGTGACAGCAACTACATGTGAGTTGACAGTGTCGCCTCAAATTGGATTGCCCACTAATTAAGAAAATAAACTTCGTTTGTGGTTCTCTTTTATATCATGCATGCGCTTCTAAGATCAAAGGATGTATAGTGTGAAAAGTTAACTAGTAGAACAATCGTATTTCCGGGACTTGCCGCGGATGTTTTCAAACAGATTATATTAGTACTCCATTCAGAGATAAACGGTTGATTATGCAATGAGAAGCGTTATGTGCAAATGAACAACGAACAACAATACAATCACGGCTGTGTAAAACTCTCAGTATTAAAAGTGTACATAAATTTTGGGAGCCATGCGATACCGCGCGTAGTAACCGAGGTAGCGCTTTGTCGAAGAGCCCAATAGCGAGGGATCACTGTATAAATGATATTTTCACAATAAAAATACATTCCCTGATATATTTGTCTGACAATTAGATCTTGTGATGGCCACCGAACTCTCAGTGTGGTAACAGAATGTGCGAACACCTTAATGGTGACATGACAAGCGAGTGATGTAACATCCAACAATATACCGTCACAGTATCTAAACAGAACCTGCGAAGATCTGGGGTAGAATAGGTCTTCAGAAACCAATGCTTGCCGTAAAAGGCGACTATGCTTGTCGTAAGAGGCCATTAACTGAATTGGGTGGTCTGACTTGGTTGATGCATGTCATCGTATTCCAATTGTGTGGACCGATGCTCATGATGTCAATCACTGGATTGTTTGCTCCAGACTTTATTATTTACAGACCACCTTCATGTAGCTTGAATATTGCTGAGTGCAGCGTTTAACAACAAACAAACAAAACAAATCTAAACAGGCTGGATTTTGACAATTAGCTGGATTATGTAACGATGATGAAGTAGTGTATGTGTTTCCCCAGGAAGCTGCCTTACAAGGGGGAGTCATATCAGTATGCCTGGAACAGCTGGGCGACCGTAATTCCACCCTCCGACAGTGGCTGGCTCTCTGTCTAGGAAAGGTGAGTCTACTTGGGACAGGTTGCCACTTGGAAGGCCGTGAATATTCTCATCTGTGGAGGGGGATCTTTCTTTTATTCCATGATACGCCGTACTCAGTTGTTGTAATTATATGTTAAATATGAAACATCTCATTGTTCCTGTGGATTATATAGTTTGATCAGAAATTATTGAGAATTTTTCATACAATTTTGGTCATCATTATTTACCATATCAAAGGTGTATGTAGAACTTATTCTGACTTTGATTCAAGGGAGACAGCTCTGCTTGTCATATTTGTTAAGGAATTGTCTCCCCTGGTAAACAAGCTAGCAGACGGCAAAGAAGACCACTGTGGAAATGGCACTTTGGGGAAAAAGAAAGATTATTTCTGAATTATACAATCAAGGAATCAGATCAGCACAGCCCTTTTTTCAGAGAGAAAAGACAATTCAGAAAGCAGCTTGGTGTATTGGAGTCAAAAAAACGCCTGAGCATAGAAAATCTTAGGCATGTAATGATTAAGAGAGAAACAGTTCATGTTTCTAAAGAGACAATAAGAAAGCATTTGTATGCAATGGATTGGCAGAAATCCCGTTGAATTCCATGACCTCTTCTTTAAACTTGTACAGCAAGAACGAGTTTAAAATGGTGTTTGAAGCATAAAAATTTCAATTTGGACAATGCTATGTTCTCAGATGAAAGTTCAGTGTGGCTATATCCAAACTGCAGACCAAAGGTACAGGAAAAACAATTTACAAAGTACAGTCCTTAATTTCATGTGTGGTTTGGTGTCTGTGGTTTGAAGGTAACATGACTGGTGCAGTGTACACTTAGTAAATCTAATAATTTATGTTCTCATTCTCAATAATGTCTGGTCAAACTATATATGCTGAAATTAATGTGGAACTAGTAATAATTTAAATTGTTTGCTAACAAACAAATAATGTTTCCTGAAGGTGTGGACTAACTTTGACAATGCGAGGTGGTGCGGCGTGAGAGATAGCGCACATGAGAAGCTCTACAAACTACTGCTGGATCCAGTACCGGAGGTAGGCTGTGCAATGGGGGTGTCTTTACAGTATGGCTATGCAGTGAAACCATGGGTATTTGATCCGTTGAATATCATTTTAGTTTCTGCATGACATTACATTGTGTGAGTATGAAGCCCATTTCTGGTGTCTCCCGCTGTGAAATCGATGGAATATTGCTAAAAGCGGCGTGAAACCCAACTCACTCACTCACTCACTCACATGTAAATGTGAGGATATACATGACGTCTAAAACCTGTGAAGGTATGTGTTAGATCAGATTAGAATTGGCCTTCAGCAGCTTGTTGTAAGAGGCCACAAATGGATTGGATTGTCAGGTTTGATGACTTGGTAGGAGCATGTCTTCATATGCCAACTGCGTGGATGGATGCTATGATGTCAATCACTGGACTGTCTGGTCCAGACTTCATTATTAACAGACCGCCGTCATATAGCTGAAATATTGCTGAATGTGGCGTTACACCATAACATGTAGAAATATTTTTTGACCTTTACAATAACCTGCCATGCTCACACATGATGCTAAAGTTCAAGTGAGTCTAGAGAAGCCTCTTTCTTCTGTCATCACCCACAGATCCCCTATGCTTGTCATCAATTAAGAATTGCCCTTCACTTTGTGTGGGTTCATTGGAGTATGAACCTTCATAGAGTGAGGGCCAAACTGTATGAACGTCGTCGCAAGAGATTTCCGAAGTTGTTAATGAACCAGTGGCGGTTACATGTGTTAGTCATCATTGATCAACTGGCCGATCATTGAAAGGTGAATAAAGTCTAGCGAGGATATTCGTGAACAATCATGCAGTCACGCTCTCTGGCATTTCTCAATGTATACTGAAATGCTGAGACCAAGAATAAAGGTTCTAAGTGATCAGAAAGAATGCTTATGCATGTTTTCGTGCTAGGAATTCCCAGGGGTTTCCCCGGGAATGTGGAAGTAGTCCGTCAGTGTTTACGTCATTTCAAGAACATAGTCTTGTGAAAAACGTATGAACGTCAAATTGTGTCGTTCATACACTTATGAACGTCAATTTCGCGGTCATGTGACCGACCTCTCGTCCAATGGAAAAGCCGTATATCATGTAAACTTCAAATTAAAAAATTATTTAGGATTGAATGTTACAATGCATGACCTGGTTAATTATCCCCTGCCACGAAGTTCCTCTTGGGAATGGGTGCTGTCTGTTCTCCACGTTTCATTTCCGGAGCAGAACTCAAAAACCATGAGACATCTGCTAACCAAACTTAGCACATAGCTAGGTCTAGTGGTAAACTGGTGCCTTAAGATATTGGGATTTTTTTTAAATTTATATTTCGAATTTCCATGGTAACGACGTTGACTTAGACTGAAAATGGCTGCAGTGCTCATTTCATGTCATATTGGCCGGGGGGGATATGAGTATTTCATGCTTGTGTTTTATGGTACCATGATGCATTGGTATCTTCACTTGGCCTGGACTGTATTTGCTGACTGCATAGTAAAACGTATTCACTCACTCACTCACTCGCACTCTCTTCTTGCCATAGGTTCGTGCAGCTGCTGTGTTTGCCCTAGGGGCATTCATAAGCAACAGGTCTGAAAGAAGTGACCATGCAATCCAGATCGACCTGGGGGTCGGGATGAGATTGGCAGAGGTGGCTTCTGATGGCAGTCCCCTGGTCAGGAAGGTAAGGAAGGCCCTCACACCTGCTTGTGTCAGTAACCATGGCAACAAGGTGGAAACACGAACCTTCTGTCACAGCCATTGTAAAAGCGATCAATTTCATCATTCAGACTCTTTTGAAGACGGTCCTGTAGCAGAAGAGAGTTTAGTGGTTGTCACTGTCTGGCAGCTTGTTCTAGGTAATACATTCAAGAGACTGCCCTGTCATGTGCTACCACCACCTCAGCATTGAGAAGCACATCTTCCGTCTGCCCGTCACACTTTGTTTCTCTAAAAAATCCTATTGTTTGAACTTTGTATCTCTATGAATTTTTGCCTTCAATTTTTGCCATGTGATGTTGTTTTGGCATTTTATTATTCAAATATTAAATATCGAGAAATGTTTGCGGAACATGGATCACAGGGGATTTCACATAAGCAGTCTTGATATGTTAATTATTAACCTATGTTCGCATATGTCAAAAATTGAAAAAAAACCAACTAAATGAACTGAATTACATTCTCAGTGTGTTACACCAGTACTTGATGTTAAATGGCCACACTGCAGTGTTACACCAGTACTTGATGTTCAATGGCCACACTGCAGTGTTACACCAGTACTTGATGTTAAATGGCCATACTGCAGTGTTACACCAGTACTTGATGTTAAATGGCCACACCGCAGTGTTACACCAGTACTTGATGTTCAATGGCCACACTGCAGTGTTACACCAGTACTTGATGTTAAATGGCCATACTGCAGTGTTACACCAGTACTTGATGTTAAATGGCCACACCGCAGTGTTACACCAGTACTTGATGTTAAATGGCCATACTGCAGTGTTACACCAGTACTTGATGTTAAATGGCCATACTGCAGTGTTACACCAGTACTTGATGTTAAATGGCCACACTGCAGTGTTACACCATTACTTGATGTTAAATGGTCACACCGCAGTGTTACACCAGTACTTGATGTTAAATGGCCACACTGCAGTGTTACACCAGTACTTGATGTTAAATGGCCATACTGCAGTGTTACACCAGTACTTGATGTTCAATGGCAACACTGCAGTGTTACACCACTACTTGATGTTAGATGGTCACACTGCAGTGTATTACACAAGTACTTGATGTTAAATGTACACAGTGCAGTGTTACACCAGTACTTGATGTTAAATGGCCACACTGCAGTGTGACACCAGTACTTGATGTTAAATGGCCACACTGCAGTGTTACCCCAGTACTTGATGTTAAATGGTCACACTGCAGTGTATTACACCAGTACTTGATGTTAAATGGTCACACTGCAGTGTTACACAAGTCCTTGATGTTAAATGGTCACACTGCAGTGTATTACACCAGTACTTGATGTTAAATGTACACAGTGCAGTGTTACACCAGTACTTGATGTTAAATGGCCACACTGCAGTGTGACACCAGTACTTGATGTTGAATGGCCACACTGCAGTGTTACACCAGTACTTGATGTTAAATGGCCACACTGCAGTGTTACCCCAGTACTTGATGTTAGATGGTCACACTGCAGTGTATTACACCAGTACTTGATGTTAAATGGCCACACTGCAGTGTTACACCAGTACTTGATGTTAAATGGCCACACTGCAGTGTTACCCCAGTACTTGATGTTAGACGGGTCTGGTCCCCCCTGGATTGACTGTGTATATATGTGTGGCTGTGGCTTGCAGGAGTTGGCTGTGGCTTTTGGTGGTCTAGTGGTGCAGTTTGAAGGGCAGTTCGCTGCTGTAGCCTCTCAGATGTTGGAGGAGGAGAAGCTGAAGGATCGCAACACGCCGATCGTGTCAGCCGAGGCCCCCGGTGGGTGGAATGTTGTCACCCCTGGCACTGGTATGCATTCCTTCACAGATACTCTGCTCAAAGTCACCACAACCAGTACGCCAAAAAAGTACTCATTATCTGACGGATCCCATTTGTTTTATAATTGTCATTTCTTTTTAAATTCATGCTAACTACTTGTCTCGTATCTCAGTAAATGTTTCTGCAAAAGTAGCTAAATTTATTTTTGTCAGTGTTACAACCCACATTTGGAGAACGAAACAAGTTCTGAGCATATTTTTGACACTTGATAAAGTTGAACGAACACTTTGCTATTCAATGTAAACCGAAGTATCTTTGAATTGTGAGTTGTCAAGCGCAATCAGTTTGGATTAAATGAATTCAATGCTTCAAGATTCTTTCTATTTTGAGCTTAGTATTTGTATTCCCATCTCTAACCTTTCCAGAAACCTGCCACCATTACACAATGTTAGCATGTAATAACCAAACTGGTGTTTGTTGGGATGGGGAGCATGTCTGCATCCGTTGGCTTTAGTTGATGAACATCATATAGCTTGAAGTTTAGTTTGGTAGGTTTCACTAACGTAGCGATGTAGAGTCACATGTTTGTGATAGTAAGTACATTAATACATGAATGTAGTGCATAGACTCTTTTTTATTTAATCTAATTCATTACTGAAGCGTAAAACAGTGCTTATTTTCATTTATGCTTTATGTGTTCTTCATCAATCATCTGCTTGGTTGGAGTAAACATGTAACTATTGATGTTTGAATTATTAGTTAATATTAATCATAATGTCATGAATGTTGGAACATATGTAACATCATGGAACTGAATTAAATACAGATATTGTCTTGAATATATATTTGTGAGTGAAATTACAGTCAGCACCCATCCAATACATCCTTGACCTACCAGCCTTATGACCTTCACCTTAAGGTTCCATATGACCTTCACCTTGTATTCCAGATGGCTTGCTCTCTCCTATGAGTGCAGCTGGCATCCGGCGCAGTGCTTCTCGCGGTAGCCTGAAGGGCATGCTATCCTGTAAGATATTCCTCCCACTTGCACTATGGGAACCTTTTCCTCTGCCTTTCACTCCGCTTTCACTAGATGTCTACCCATTTAACTAAGTGTGACTACAAATTGTTACTTAACACCCTCAAGGGGGGTACTCAAGCAGCCGGAGTAATTTTTATATAAACAATATTTGATGAAATGTTGCGATGTAAGTGATGTTGGAAGTCAACACAGGATGAAGGTCCAAAGCAGTTTGTGTGAGCTGACAATATTTATTCATCAGGGTTTGAGATTGGGTCATTTTTCTAGGTCAATGACTGATTGTCATCCAAAATGTCCTATAGGTATTTTTCAAATTTGCTGGAGGTATTGAAGAATTTCCTTTCAAAAGTTAAAATGTCAAAATCCCTGTGTATGTTGGACAGATAGTTCTCCAGAAAGAAGTCATGCATATTTCTAATGATGTAACAGCAATGGGGCGAGACTTGATACATAAAGGATGATGCTATTGACGGCATGTTGTGATTTCTAAGTGATGTCATGGGGCTGCTAATTACAAGAACAACTACCCTACAATGTTGTAATTGACAATTCAGTAAAATTCAGTGGTGAAAATGTCAAAAACATATAATGCTTTGTCTTTTTATCCTTGTACGTGTTTAGGTATTTATATGAATTTATGATTAGATGCTGAATTGGCTTTTTTGAAATGACAGTGTTGGAACCAGGGTAGCTCAGTGGTCTCTGGAACAGCATTTAGTGCCTTACTTAGTCGGGATCTGCTGGCAGTAGGTTTGAATCCCATAGATTCAATATGGCTGCCAGTTGCCATCTTTGATTTTCAAAAGGAAATGTTAAAAAATCTTCAAGACTTTTAAACCGCCAGAGGTCTGATGTTTGGTTGGTGAGATTGTCACCATATGCAGTTGCAAGTTTGTGCAAGGCATCTTGATTGGAAATCAGATAGGGCTGCCTGTGGCCATATTGGAAAAAGCAGAAATTTGCCTAAACATCTTAACCTCAGATACCACTGGACCAATGAAGCTGAAACTTTACATGCTTTATATGACACCTAGATTAGTACAATCTGATTTTCAAGATGGTCATCACGGAAGTCATTTTCATTAAAAATGTAATGAAATTTTTACCTATATTTGACCTTTGAAACTTGTTATAGGCTTTACTCAATCTTTTTGTTCAGAATGTAATGAAATGTTGTATAAGTGTAGTGAGCAGTGGGGCTCAACTCATATGTTCCTTTGTTCATTATATTTTTATATTTTGACCTATTTGACTTTACTACTAAATGATCTCAAAATGCATTTCCTAGCACAGTAAACATCATCTTCTCAGATACCACTGGACCAATGAAGCTAAAGCTTCACATGCTATTTTCCACCAATGATGACACCTGGATTTGTTCAAGAGGTTCAAATCAAATACTCAATATGGCCGCCATGACAGCCATATTGAGAAAGCTGTTCATGGTAAAAAGAATTCAAACTGATCAAATTTGGTACATGCGTAGTTAGTAGTGGGGCTCAACATTGATTGCTTTTTGCCTCAATATGTGAAGTTTTGCCTTGATTTGACCTTTCTTTTTTGACTATGCTTTTAATTTTTTTAATTTTTAATGCATATTTGGATCTGTAAACATTTTTTCTGAAGTTGCCAGACTAAGGAAATTATACTTTGGCATGTATGTTTCTTCTCATGATTGCATCATAGTTTCTTCAAGTCATTAGGATTTTAGTTTTGGTCATCTGTGTTTGTTGTCATTTTATCATGTTGTCTACATATCTAGGTGAGCCACGTTGACGTAGCTCTATGTTTCCTTCATTTACCTGACAACACAATATACTGATATGCTGTTGGAATGAGGCACACACTTCACTTGTTAGACTATGGCCCTCCTGATGTTGTAGCCACTCCCACCACCGTGACGTCCCTACAGAGCTACCCCAGCAGTAGCTCTACCAGCGTGGAGAGTGCCGGCAGCCATGACGGTCTGCGGAGAGACTCCTCGTCATCCTCCCTCAGTGGCCTGGCCTTCAAGAACGTGCACATGTGTGTGTGGCGCTCGCTGCTGCTGCTGGCCATGGACCCGCACACAGAGGTGGCCGACATGGCCAAGAAGATTGTCAACTCTGTCAGACTCAGGGTCAGTCTAGTCTTTAACATTCAACAAACTCTGTTCCACTGTTAGCTTACCTGAGTGATAAGTTGTTTTTACCAGATTAGGGAATAAACCTTTGTCTAAAAGGATACTCTGTCATATGTTTATGTTAATGTGTTATCTGGGGGCATGGGTGGCCCAGTCGCTGTGCAGAGTTGCGTCCCTTGGACACACAAGAAACCTATGATTGTGGGTTCGAATCCTGGTTCACCCCGATTATGTTTCCAGGTTTGTCAGCACCATACCCGTGCTCATGGGTTTTCACCAAAGTGGTAAACGTCTGAGACCTGCATCGCTTCGGGCTTTCCTCCCACATTAAGCTGACACACCGCGATATAACTGGAATAATGTTAAAAGCAGCGTTAAACCCAACTCACTCACTCACTCACTAATGTGCTATCTTGCTCCATAAATTGATAATGTGCACATTTACATAGTTCTCTGAATTTCTAACATGCAGCGACCTTCAATTTATTATGTTATACATCGCTATGAGACTTCGTAGCCAGGTTACATTCCATAAGTTTAGGAATGTTGCCTACCCCATCCATTTAGCATGCCTGTAAAATGGGAATTTTTTGCCATTAATGTTTAGAATTTTAGTTATGATTCTCGGTGTCAAAGGGCTTACATTCTGTCAATATGACACTCATATACACTACAGTTTCAGTTGTGCATCGATTGTTGAAGTATGTCTTGTGTAGTATGCTTGTTCTGCCCTGTCAGGCATCGCTGTGTGCCAAGCCCAAGATGGTGATTCAGAACAGTCAGATGTCTCACTCCGCTCCCTGCAGCCCCTCAAACAAACCACCAGCCAACATGATGATTGGGTATGTATGTCATTGCAGAGTTACATCCCTTGTGTGCTGATCACGTTGGTCATTAGAATTAAACGGCACTTGAAACATTATCGATTGTGTTGGTCATTCCTTCACACTCAGATGAGGGATCCCTGGATATTACCAGTACTGACAACAATTGGAAGGAGTGTTGAACCCCTACTCAGTTACCCAGAAAGATCGCCTCTGTGGTCTAGTGGTAGAGCAACCACCCAGAGAGCGGAAGGTCCAGGGTTCGATACCCGCCGCGTCATACCAAATGATGTTAAAAGATGGCACTTGATGTTGCCCTGTCTGGCACTCAGCATTAAGGGGCTAAAACAAGGTCGGTCAGCTCAGAGTCAGTATACTGTGTCTGAGTCAGGTATTCCGTGTGAGAATCATAGCAGTTGAGTTTTGAACTTGCTGTCATATAGCTTGAATATTGCTGAGTGCGGCGTTAAACAACAAACAAAGCTGTTCATAGCTGCTTTTGTCTGACCCAGAACACCTCCCCAGAATCTGGACATGATAAACAGTGTGGATGAAGTTCGGAACAGAGACAACCAGTCCCCTGGGCGGACCAGCATGCTCGTTACCCCGGTCCGAGGCTCCGGGCAGGGCGCACAGCCCCCCCACCAACCATACTCCATGCAGTTCTCGCGACACAGGAAGATATTCGATAAAGGCCCAACACCAGTGAGTTACGTGTTCTTTCAGCTACAAAAATTTTAAGAGATATTTGATATGGAATGATGTCTTGAAACAGTTTTTCATACTTATCATCATATTATAGCTAAAATGGATAGAATTATCATTAAACCGCCCGCACGTTATCAAAAATGAGCGGGCCACTGTAACTTGATAATGCCCTCATATTGCTTGACGACGGGCCATTATCAAGCCCGTTGTTAGGTGACGTCATAGGGTAGAGAAAATGACGTCACATATTATAGTGACTTCATCTGGTTTGTTCAATGACGTTTCCATATTTGTAAAATGTGGTCAGTGACATTCGTGTTGATTGCAGTAAGTGTTTCAAAACCGATGTTGTTTCTTTTTATTTGATAACAAATTCCATCCATTTTAGCTATAATAACGGTAACGCTCTTTTTCAGGGCATTATCATTTGCAGAAGCCCTCGGTCTTTTCAACTGCCCTCCTTCGTCGGGCAGTTAATAGAAAACCTCGGGCTTCTGCAAATGATAATGCCCTGAAAAATAGCGTTACCCTTCTATTATAATAGCTGCACCATATGGATTAGACTGTGTGTGATGGTGAAAGGTACTTAGGTGTTATTAATGTGAGACTGTGTGGACCTCTGCATCCTTATGTTTATGTATGGACCCAGCATACAACATGGCAGCAAGGGACCATCCAGAGTAATATACACTTCAGCATGTAGAAATCAGGATCTTCATGTACAATCATTGTCAATCACAGTCGAACACTTCAGCTCCTGAAAAATACGTACTGCAATGCAGATACCTGTACCGTGAAGATCCGGGTTAGAATAGGTCTTCATGAAACCATGCTTGCCGTAAAAGGCGACTATGCTTGTCGTAACAGGATCGAGTGGTCAGGCTGGCTGACTTGGTTGATGCATGTCATCTATCCCAATTGCATGGATCGATGCTCATGACGTCAATCACTGGATCGTCAGATCCAGCCTCAATTATTTACAGACCGCAGTCATATAGCTGGAGTATTGCAAACAAACAAAACAAAACCTGTACCGCAATCTTATGATGTCATGTGTGAAAGGATGCTATGATGCTGTAGATTGAGGAGAAGGAGGAGGAAGTTCCTACCATCACCACCACCACCGCCGCCAGTCCGCCGAACTTGGGCGCTGTTTCCACCGAGTTTTTCCAGTGGAGTTTTCGTCACTTCGCACAGCCGGTTCACAGAATGAGGGAGATGAGTGACCCGGAGAGTGGGCTGCACCACCAGCGGGAGTTCCGCTTCCTGCGCAACTCGCATGTCCGCAGAGACGCACGCGAAGACCAGAACAGAGCTGGTTAGTCCCTTGATTTCATCTCACATGTTATTTACATGGCAATAATCACTGGTTATTTAGAAGTTATAAACTCTATTTTCATTAATATGTTTGTTTTTTCAATACAGTAAACTATGTTTATGACGAACAACTAACGAACTGACCTATATAAAGAACTGTTTTTTATGTCCCGGACATTTACTGTATGTTTTAGCTGAAATGCTAATAACAAACTACGTTTATAACGGAAAAAAATTAGTGGTCCCTTTGAGTTAGTTATAAGGTACTTTACTGTGTTTGTCAAAGTTTAGTATTCCTATATGAAATCGGGTATGGATTTAATAAATTCACAAATGATTGTGTTGTGAACAACTGTTATGTGTTATCACTATTTAGAAGTAATTTGGAACTATGGTGTATATACAGACTCCACAGACACCAGTCGGTTTTGGTGACCTTGACCCTATTTTCAAGGTCACAGCAGGCAAATCTGCTTTTGGAGTTGGAAAACGGTTTTGCCGCGATATCTCAAGAACTAAACACTGGATTGTCTTCATATTTGGAACTATGGTGTATATACAGACTCCGCAGACACCAGTCGGTTTTGGTGACCTTGACCCCATTTTCAAGGTCACAGCAGGCAAATCTGCTTTTGGAGTTGGAAAACGGTTTTGCCGCGATATCTCAAGAACTAAACACTGGATTGTCTTCATATTTGGCACTATGGTGTATATACAGACTCCGCAGACACCAGTCGGTTTTGGTGACCTTGACCCCATTTTCAAGGTCACAGCAGGCAAATCTGCTTTTGGAGTTGGAAAACGGTGTTGCCGCGATATCTCAAGAACTGTTCGCTGGATTGTCTTCATATTTGGAACTATGGCGTATATACAGACACCGCAGACACCAGTCGGTTTTGGTGACCTTGACCCCATTTTCAAGGTCACAGCAGGCAAATCTGTTTTTGGAGTTGGAAAACGGTGTTGCCGCAATATCTCAAGAACTAATCGCTGGATTGTCTTCATATTTGGTACTATGGTGTATATACAGACTCCGCAGACACCAGTCGATTTTGGTAACCGTAACTTAATTTTCAAGGTAACAGCAGGGAAATCTGTTATTTGATTTGCAGGAATTTGGGTAATTATTTCTAATGGTACGACAAATAGTTCCATGGAGGTATCTAACACAGAATATAATATTATTCAAAAGGAATAAAATATTTGGAGAGAAAAAACACATATCGCATAAGGTGGCGGGGGACATTTCGTCACTTTGTGACAATTACTTGTTCAGGTTTGCCCCTGTAGTATTTGAATATTGGGACCTTCTCAGACATTAAAGATTAGGTTTATATATATTTGATATGATGACAAGGAGCCCTTGGCTTTCCTGCTTAATTTGTTATGGTGTGAATAATACTTAATACATACCCTGTGAGGATGCCGGGTTAGAACTCCTCCCCAGCCACCTGTGCCTGTCCTAAGAATCGACTTATTTGATTGGGAGGACCTACTCAGTGACTTGGACAGTGGAGTGTCATCTTACCACAACAGCTTGGATTGCTGCTTACAATATCGATCAGTGGATTGTTTAGCCGGAACTCAATTATTTACAGGCAGATGTCAGATAGCTGGACTATGGAGTTAAACAACAAGGAAACAAAAATAATTATATGATTATTCATAGTAACACCAATAGTATAGTTTACAATGTACAACCAAGTTGATGTGATGTATATCTCCAGGTTTTAGTCGACTGGATGACCAGATCTTTGTGAACCGTAACCAGTTCCCTCCGTCGGTGGTCAAGTTCCACCCTTACAAGTCTCACATAGCCGTGGCAGACAAGGAGTCTGGTGTCAGGTCAGTAAGGTCACTCGCACACTACATTCATGACGAGTTTGCATGGGGAAAGAGCAGCAAAGGTTGCCTGTGTCTTATGCTTGAATAAGATGGGGATCTGTTTTTTCCCCAGTATGAGACCAGTTCCCCATTCCACAAAGCGATCTTAGTGCTGATACTTTAACATGGGCTTATGATAGTCGTAGTGCTAAGATCACTTTGTGGAACGGGGCCCTGGGTGGCTGTGTGACATTGTTCCTGAATGGAGTGGATTATACCTTCAGCTCAGACAACTATTTTGTTTGTTCAAGACTCCATTATTCAAGTGATATTGTAGTGTAAAACAGCATTTCCCTACTTACTCTCATTATCCCTACATTTTGAATAAACGGGGATCAGTTTGTCTGTCTGTTTATCTGTCCTCCATCCATTTTCTGTTTCTAGAACAGAACTCCTCAACTGTTGAATATTTCTTGTTGAAACTATGAACCTATGCAGATCAGCCTGGTGGTGAACTGGTGCCTTTTAATGATTTAGGGTTTTGACAAATAATGAACAGTATTATTTCTTTCTTCAGTGAACTGAACGTATCTAATGGCAATACAGAGTAGCTGGTAGGTGATTTACAGAGTAGCTGGAGGGTGATTTACAGAGTAGCTGGAGGGTGATTCACAGAGTAGCTGTACAGTGATTTACGGAGTAGCTGGAGGGTGATTTACAGAGTAGCTGTACAGTGATTTACGGAGTAGCTGTATGGTGATTTACAGAGTAGCTGAAGGTTGATTTACGGAGTAGCTGTACGGTGATTTACAGAGTAGCTGTACGGTGATTTACAGAGTAGCTGGAGAGTGCTTACAGAGTAGCTGGAGGGTGTTTTACCGTGTAGCTGGAGGGTGACTGTTTGGTAAGCTTAGCTCACTGTTTGTATCGTCTTTCAGCATCTGGAACTGGGAGCAGGGCACTAGACTCAGCTACATCATCAATGACAATCCGAAGTCCACCCGCATCACCGCCATGGACTATATCAATGCTCATGACAAAGCATTGCTGATGTGTGGATCAGGTAATGCCGACTAGGTCCTATTTTCTTCTGTCCCTTAAATGAAAGCATCATATATGTTTTTGGTGAACCCTTTGCTCCGTATGTGGAATTTGTGTATATTGCGGATTATTTTACAGATGATGGTGCAGTGAGAATCTGGCGGAAGTATATGGTTGATGATGGCAAAGGGAAGGAACTGGTGACAGCTTTTCAGGCACTGTCTGATATGTTGCCGCTATCTAGAGGCAAGTTCTGCACCTTAATTCCTTCTCTGTTGTATTGGTCGTGTTGGGGGCACGGGTAGCCCAGATGTCTAAGTGCCACAATTTGGTATGCGGGTTTAAGTCCCTCTGTTGTGTCAGATTCGCCCTGTTTATGTTTCTAGGTTTGTCATATGTGTTTACCAATGTGGTAACAGTCTTTACCTGTATCACTTCAGGCTTACCTCCCACTCATGCTTATACACCTTGATATAGCATCCACTCCACTCCACTCCACTCCACTCCACTCCACTCCACTCCGCTCCGCTCCACTCCGCTCCACTCCTATACAGACCCTGACTATTCTCAACTAGACCCTCCCTTTGAGCCCAAGAATGCTGTGTTGAGAAAGCTTGATGCCACAATGACCCTCTCTTTCTGTCTTGTGTACAGGTTCAGGGCTGGTGTGTGAGTGGGAGCAGGACTCCGGGATGCTGCTGGCTTCAGGGGATGTCAGAGTCATTCGACTCTGGGACACGCAGAAAGAGATGAAGTTACAGGTACAGGTGTTGAGACTTCCTGTAGGCTTGGATCCATCAGCTTACCAGCAACTCAAACCATCATAGACAAACCCCACGGGGATGCCCGGGAGTAGTTGGTTGCCAGTACCAGATAGCGTGTTGATAGAGCCTAGATGAGATTGGGTGGTCATCGTTTCAGATTGTGTGTCATCATGTGCAGGTTACAAAGCTTGTTGATAAAGCCTGGACAAGACTAGGTGGTCAGGCTTTCAGATTGTGTTATCATTTTCAGTGATAAAGCTTGTTGCTCATGCATTCAGTCTTGTCAGGCCCCGTCTTGAGTATTACAGACTGCTCCTATTAAGCTTGAATATTACTAGTATGTTATAAAGCATTATGTACTGGTTAAGCATTATGTACTGGTTAAGCATTATGTAATGGTTAAGCATTATGTACTGGTTAAGCATTATGTAATGGTTAAGCATTATGTACAGGTTAAGCATTATGTACTGGTTAAGCATTATGTAATGGCTAAGCATTATTTACTGGTTAAGCTTTATGTAATGGTTAAGCATTATGTACAGGTTAAGCATTATGTACAGGTTAAGCATTATGTAATGGTTAAGCATTATGTACTGGCTAAGCATTATTTACTGGTTAAGCTTTATGTACTGGTTAAGCATTATGTACGGGTTAAACATTATGTACTGGTTAAGCATTATGTACTGGTTAAACATTATGTACAGGTTAAGCATTATGTACTGGTTAAGCTTTATGTACTGGTTAAGCATTATGTACAGGTTAAGCATTATGTACTGGTTAAGCATTATGTACTGGTTAAGCATTATGTACTGGTTAAGCATTGGGGATATTTCTGGTAGTGAACATCACTTAAGATTTGGCTTAAATGCAGATTGAATGGTCATAATGTGTTGCCTTATACCGGGGTGATTTGGATTAACCACATGTCTGTCTGCTCCATTATCTACGAGTTGTTGTGACTTAAGTGAATTATTGCTGACTGTATGTAAAATAAAGGGAACATACAGTTCTACTCAATGGAAGTTAAAGAACACCCATTTTTTTCATGTGACAATAGACCTACTCTATTGTGCCTGAAGGATGTTGCAACACACATCCTCCCAGTTGTGGGTGTTCTGTAAATCTGATATGAGTAGCATATACAGTGTATTACAGGTTGAGCCAACACTGAACACACCCAGACAGTAGGGTCTTAATATAAAGTCAATTTGGAGAGATGATCTTAAAAACTGACATTTGCTTTTTTCTCAAATGTGATCTAAAAATGTGTTACTTTGTAGCTGCTGATGAAGCTACAGGTATTATTACCGTAGACATGAACTGGAGCTGTTCACACTGTTGCTTCCAGCATGTCTCGTAAGGTGGTGTAGAAATATGACCTATCAATGATGCTGTTTTGCAGGATATTCCAACCAGCGCCGACAGTTGTGTGACGAGTCTGGCGTGCGACTCTATGGGCAGATCACTGCTGATTGCTGGCTGTGGAGACGGGACTGTTCGCCTCTTTGACAGGAGACTTGCTCCCACGGAGTGGTGAGATTACACATATAAAATATACAGCTCAACTTTTGATAGGGATATTCTGAGTGCCTGGGTGGGACTGGATGTTTTCAAGTTTTGGGTGTACATATAGGATGCGATTTTGGCATGGAACTCCCTACCAAATTTTGAGTAGTATGTGTTTATCAAGACCATGTAACAGGGCAGAGGAAAATATGTAGCGTTTCTCACTGCATACTGTTATTTCATAGTCCTACGTGAAGAAAATATTGTCCACTGTAATTTGAGCCAATTCATTAGAGTGTAGGCGCTATGCCAGTGGCGATGTGGTAGTGTCACCTCTATGCCAGTGGCGATGTGGTAGTGCCACCGCTATGCCAGTGACGATGTGGTAGTGTCACCTCTATGCCAGTGATGATGTGGTAGTGTAGCCGCTGTGCCAGTGATGATGTAGTAGTGTCATCCCTCATTCCTGCTTCCAGCCGAGTGATGACCCTGAAGGAACACTCCGGCTGGGTGGTCAACGTACACCTACAGAAGGGAACAGAAGGAAAGATCATCAGTGCCAGGTAGGAAGCTGTGTCCTTCAACAGTTGCTCAGCAACACTTGGTCTGCTGCAGTCACATTAACGTAATCCTGTCAATCTTCACAAAATTTCAAATATGGCTGTGAACAGCTAGAGAATTTAGGATCATGGACCACCCTCTGGAAATCAGCCGATGACAATGATAGAAAATTCTGTTTGTCAAGGCATATAATGCCATCAAGGTATATAAAGCTACCAAGGTATATAAAGTTACCAAGGTATATAAAGCTATCAAGGTATTTAAAGCTGCCAAGGTATATAAAGTTACCAAGGTATATAAAGCTATCAAGGTATATAAAGTTACCAAGGTATATAAAGCTATCAAGGTATATAAAGCTGCCAAGGTATATAAAGTTACAAAGGTATATAAAGCTATCAAGGTATTTAAAGCTGCCAAGGTATATAAAGTTACCAAGGTATATAAAGCTATCAAGGTATATAAAGTTACCAAGGTATATAAAGCTATCAAGGTATATAAAGCTGCCAAGGTATATAAAGTTACCAAGGTATATAAAGCTATCAAGGTATATAAAGTTACCAAGGTATATAAAGCTATCCAGGTATTTAGAGCTATCAAGGTATATAAAGTTATCAAGGTATTTAAAGCTACCAAGGTATATAAAGTTACCAAGGTATATAAAGCTATCAAGGTATTTAAAGCTATCAAGGTATATAAAGTTACCAAGGTATATAAAGCTATCCAGGTATTTAGAGCTATCAAGGTATATAAAGTTATCAAGGTATTTAAAGCTACCAAGGTATATAAAGTTACCAAGGTATATAAAGCTATCAAGGTATATAAAGTTACCAAGGTATATAAAGCTATCCAGGTATTTAGAGCTGTCAAGGTATATAAAGTTATCAAGGTATTTAAAGCTACCAAGGTATATAAAGTTACCAAGGTATTTAAAGCTACCAAGGTATATAAAGTTACCAAGGTATATAAAGCTATCAAGGTATTTAAAGCTATCAAGGTATATAAAGCCATCAAGGTATTTAAAGCTACCAAGGTATATAAAGTTACCAAGGTATATAAAGTTACCAAGGTATATAAAGCTATCAAGGTATTTAAAGCTATCAAGGTATATAAAGCCATCAAGGTATTTAAAGCTACCAAGGTATATAAAGTTACCAAGGTATTTAAAGCTACCAAGGTATATAAAGTTACCAAGGTATATAAAGCTATCAAGGTATTTAATGCCATCAAGGTATATAAAGCTACCAAGGTATATAAAGTTACCAAGGTATATAAATCTATCAAGGTATATAAAGCTACCAAGGTATGTAAAGTTACCAAGGTATATAAAGCTATCAAGGTATTTAAAGCTATCAAGGTATATAAAGCTATCAAGGTATATAAAGCTATCAAGGTATATAAAGTTACCAAGGTATATAAAGCCATCAAGGTATATAAAGCTATCAAGGTATATAAAGCTATCAAGGTATATAAAGCTATCAAGGTATATAAAGCTACCAAGGTATATAAAGTTACCAAGGTATATAAAGCTATCAAGGTATATAAAGCTATCAAGGTATTTAAAGCTATCAAGGTATATAAAGTTACCAAGGTATATAAAGCTATCAAGGTATTTAAAGCTATCAAGGTATATAAAGTTACCAAGGTATTTAAAGATCTCTGTGAGAAGTGACCACTGGAGAACATATCAGAATGTTGTTTGTGATCTGTTTTGAACTTTTTCCAAACTGCAAGCCCCACTCTTGCTTTCTCCATCAGTGCTGGCGGTGACATCAAGATGTGGGACCCGCGATTTACAGAGTCAGTGCGGAGCTTCTCCACCCAGTCCAGCATTACATCCATGGCAGTCCACCCTCGGGCTGATGTTATAGCATGGTACGTACACAACGTTACACACATAGTTAGCAGTCCACCTTCTGGCCGTTGTTATAGCATGGTACGTACACAACGCTACTTACATAGATAGCTGTCCACCCTCTGGCCGATGTTATAGCATGGTACGTACACAACGCTACTTACATACCTCAATGAACCGCCGAAAAAAATCTACAGTAATTCCCTAACTGCTCTTCCAAAATAGCACCTGACTATAGTTACATCAAGTTTACAGATATTATTATGTGCGAGGAGACCTGATTGAAGCGTGTTACTTCCAGTGGGTCGGTGAACCAGTCCATCAGTGTGTACAACCAGAGTGGGGACAGCCTCAGTCTCATCAAGTACCACGAGGGTTTCCTGGGCCAGCGCATCGGCACCATCAGCTGTCTGACCTTTCATCCCTACTTAGTGAGTACATTGCAACAAATTACATCCTACAGCCCCCCATGGGGATTCTGGGTTAGAATAGGTTCCCACCAACCTATGGAGTACAAAGCGATCTGAGTGCTGAGATGATCCATACCTTACATAGACTTAGACAGCCGTAGCGCTAAGGTTTTTTGTACAATGGCACCCTGGTCAGGCTCAGTGATTGGGTTGATTGCGTGTCATCAGACCCCGACAGTGTGTATCTTTATACAAAATTTATCAATCACTGGATTGTCTGGTCGTGATTTGATTATTTACAGGCTGCTGTCATGTAGATGGAATATTGCTGGCAGCAGCAAATCTGGGATTGATATGACAGTCAGGAGGTCACCATGAGAATGAACATGAACAAAATAGGCAATATTTAAACTTAACCAATGGATTCCAATTTATTCTTCCATCCTGGTGTTGAAACGTCCGAGAACAAAGTTTCCAGCTTCAAAAAAACATCTTGCCCCAACACATCCCATATATCACTACAGTCACCACTGTGATCATGGGTCACTCGCAACTGCATTCCCATACCGTGCGACCCCAAGTGATACGATCCCGTACGATCCGATCACCTGACATTCCCTGCACCCTCATTCTCTTTCATATCACCTGGTGGAAAGGACCCCAAATCAGAAGTGATGTTACTGAATCATTAGTGCATATAACCTTCCTAAAAATGTGGCTAGGGCTCTGAGACTTTCTTTTGGACATTTTAGTCCGTAATGATTTCTGGGGCCTTCTGGAAATGATGGTGGAGGGGCTGCTTCTGTATTTGAAATAAACAATTCTAGTTGCCATGTGTGTTTGTCTGCAGGTGAGACTGGCTGCTGGCAGCAATGACGCGTTTGTCTCCGTGTACTCCAGCCCAGCCAAGAGGAGTTGACGTTAGCGATGACTAGCATTGAGAGAACCGTCACATCTACTGCCACCACAGCTGCTGTGTGTTCCTGAATGTTGTAGAGAAAGTATGACCTCATGTTTAGTAGGGCTCGGATGATACACCAACTGTTTGATCCCCTACGTATCATGATACCTTGCTCTTGATATGATACGTATCACAATACTTGTATGTGCTTATATCTGTGGTGTGTAAGCCATTGTTTTCATAGAAAGGATGGCCAAATACCTGGCACACTGACGATTTACAGTTGATAGTGTCAAGTGATAGGCGCAATGGATGACAATATTTACATTTCACCACTAGTGTCACTAATAATTAGTGTTTGTGGAACAGTTATTAAAGCAAATGTTTAAGGTAAGAATCAATACTTTTTACTTGGTGTATGACTGTGATCGATACTTGTATCGAGAAGTAAAAAATCGTGATCCACCGATGCATCGGTGTATTGTCCCATGACTAATGTTTAGTGATGCTTCCTAGACCTTCTAGATGTTTGTCAATCAAAATCTTTATTACACCAGTCCTGTGATGTGACAGTTAAAACTTGATGAATGGACAGGATATGATCTATGTGGGGTTTAATTAACAAGTTCCGCACATTGCAGTTAAAACATGTTGTACATTACCATGATTACATCAACTAAATATTAGCTTGTTTGAGTGCAAAATCAGCAGTGTTGGAAGCTCTCCTAGAATCTCCAACTCATGATTTGGATAGGAGTAGTGCTGCACATGCTTCAGGAATGGACAGGAGTACTTCTGTCCTTTGAAAAAAAATTGTTGGATAGTGAAAATTTGGAACAGAAAAACACCTCCAATTTAAATGAATGTGTTGCCATATGAATGATTGTTGAACTCTGGGTTGCATTTCTACAGTGTTTAGATCCCTCTTAGAGACTGTAACAATATGATGCACAAAGCGCTGATTAATCATGATATCCTAGGCAAATTGCTCATATAGCGACGAAGTGAATGTTACAGATTGCAGCAACAGCGCATCCTCTGTGTGTTTGAATTATCATGGTACCTGTGTATGAATTCTATGAAAGGTCCTAGCAGTTTATCAAGATGAATTGAGTATGATTATAATTTAACACATTGTCACTACAACACACTTGATTGTGTATTTTCACCAAAATCACTTTATACCAAAGAAATATAAGTTTGTCGTTTTTATCCGTTTCATAAGGTTCACATTTGAGCAGAATATCCAAGGTGTGGTTTCACTTTGGTAATTAGTTGAAACTAGTGAATATGAAGGTAACATAAGCAGTCAACACTGGGTTACCACATCTCACTGGCAAGCATCACAGTTTTAATACTCTTCATCTACTCCAGTATAGTACACACAATACTTAGACAGAGCTCCAGTTCAAGTTTGGGAATTGTTCATGGATGGGCTTGCTGAAATATGTTGATCTGACAACTTCTTCCCGAAGATTATGGTATTGTTCGTTCCTTCTGTTTTGAAACTCTCCTACCCAATATACAGGATTTGTTCTTTGTCATTATGTATCTTCTCAAGTGTTGTTGTGAAATTCAAGAAAAGTGTGTCGCATTAACAGGTGCAACAACGTGATAAACATGAAGTGTAACTTGTAATTCATGATTCTGTGCAATATTACAAACATTTCACCAATGTGTGCAGCGTCAGAACGTGTTCCGAAGTTTTGCATGGTTTGGCTTCTGGAGTAGCTGGACATCCATACATATACACAGCGATAGATCAGGTTGTTTCAACAGCCATCAAAGTCCAAGATTTACCCTGAAAACAGGTATTTCCACAAGAGATGAAGCAAAGCTGTTGACAGGTGTGGCAGTGTTTAACAGGACATGTGGCTGTTGACAGGTGTGGAAGTGTTACACAGAACATGTGGCTGTTGACAGGTGTGGAAGTGTTACACAGAACATGTGGCTGTTAACAGACATTGAAGTGTTACACAGAACATGTGGCTGTTGACAGGTGTGGAAGTGTTACAAAGAACATGTGGCTGTTGAAAGGTGTGGAAGTGTTACACAGGACATATGACTGTTGACAGGTGTGGCAGTGTTTAACAGGACATGTGGCTGTTGACAGGTGTGGAAGTGTTACACAGAACATGTGGCTGTTGACAGGTGTGGAAGTGTTACACAGAACATGTGGCTGTTAACAGACATTGAAGTGTTACACAGAACATGTGGCTGTTGACAGGTGTGGAAGTGTTACACAGAACATGTGGCTGTTGACAGGTGTGGAAGTGTTACAAAGAACATGTGGCTGTTGAAAGGTGTGGAAGTGTTACACAGAACATGTGGCTGTTGACAGGTGTGGAAGTGTTACACAGAACATGTGGCTGTTGACAGGTGTGGAAGTGTTACACAGAACATGTGGCTGTTGACAGGTGTGGAAGTGTTTCACAGAACATGTGGCTGTTGACAGGTGTGGAAGTGTTACACAGAACATGTGGCTGTTGACAGGTGTGGAAGTGTTACACAGAACATGTGGCTGTTGACAGGTGTGGAAGTGTTACACAGAACATGTGGCTGTTGACAGGTGTGGAAGTGTTTCACAGAACATGTGGCTGTTGACAGGTGTGGAAGTGTTACACAGAACATGTGGCTGTTGACAGGTGTGGAAGTGTTACACAGAACATGTGGCTGTTGACAGGTGTGGAAGTGTTACACAGAACATGTGGCTGTTGACAGGTGTGGAAGTGTTTCACAGAACATATGACTGTTGACAGGTGTGGAAGTGTTACACAGAACATGTGGCTGTTGACAGGTGTGGAAGTGTTACACAGGACATATGGCTGTTGACAGGTGTGGAAGTGTTTCACAGAACATGTGGCTGTTGACAGGTGTGGAAGTGTTACACAGAACATGTGGCTGTTGACAGGTGTGGAAGTGTTACACAGGACATATGGCTGTTGACAGGTGTGGAAGTGTTTCACAGAACATGTGGCTGTTGACAGGTGTGGAAGTGTTACACAGAACATGTGGCTGTTGACAGGTGTGGAAGTGTTACACAGGACATATGGCTGTTGACAGGTGTGGAAGTGTTTCACAGAACATGTGGCTGTTGACAGGTGTGGAAGTGTTACACAGAACATGTGGCTGTTGACAGGTGTGGAAGTGTTACACAGGACATATGGCTGTTGACAGGTGTGGAAGTGTTACACAGAACATGTGGCTGTTGACAGGTGTGGAAGTGTTACACAGGACATATGGCTGTTGACAGGTGTGGAAGTGTTACACAGAACATATGGCTGTTGACAGGTGTGGAAGTGTTTCACAGAACATGGCTGTTGACAGGTGTGGAAGTGTTACACAGAACATGTGGCTGTTGACAGGTGTGGAAGTGTTACACAGGACATATGACTGTTGACAGGTGTGGAAGTGTTACACAGAACATGTGGCTGTTGACAGGTGTGGATGTGTTACACAGAACATGGCTGTTGACAGGTGTGGAAGTGTTACACAGAACATGGCTGTTGACAGGTGTGGATGTGTTACACAGAACATGGCTGTTGACAGGTGTGGAAGTGTTACACAGAACATGGCTGTTGACAGGTGTGGAAGTGTTACACAGAACATGTGGCTGTTGACAGGTGTGGAAGTGTTACACAGAACATGGCTGTTGACAGGTGTGGAAGTGTTACACAGAACATGGCTGTTGACAGGTGTGGAAGTGTTACACAGGACATGTGGCTGTTGACAGGTGTGGAAGTGTTTCACAGAACATGTGGCTGTTGACAGGTGTGGAAGTGTTTCACAGGACATGTGGCTGTTGACAGGTGTGGAAGTGTTACACAGGACATATGGCTGTTGACAGGTGTGGAAGTGTTACACAGGACATATGGCTGTTGACAGGTGTGGAAGTGTTACACAGAACATGGCTGTTGACAGGTGTGCAAGTGTTACACAGGACATGTGGCTGTTGACAGGTGTGCAAGTGTTACACAGAACATGTGGCTGTTGACAGGTGTGGAAGTGTTTCACAGGACATGTGGCTGTTGACAGGTGTGGAAGTGTTACACAGAACATGGCTGTTGACAGGTGTGGAAGTGTTACACAGAACATGGCTGTTGACAGGTGTGGAAGTGTTTCACAGAACATATGACTGTTGACGGGTGTGGAAGTGTTACACAGGACATGCGGCTGTTGACAGGTGTGGAAGTGTTACACAGGACATATGGCTGTTGACAGGTGTGGAAGTGTTTCACAGGACATGTGGCTGTTGACAGGTGTGGATGTGTTTCACAGAACATATGGCTGTTGACAGGTGTGGAAGTGTTACACAGAACATGTGGCTGTTGACAGGTGTGGAAGTGTTTCACAGGACATGTGGCTGTTGACAGGTGTGGAAGTGTTACACAGAACATGTGGCTGTTGACAGGTGTGGAAGTGTTACACAGAACATGTGGCTGTTGACAGGTGTGGAAGTGTTACACAGAACATGTGGCTGTTGACAGGTGTGGAAGTGTTTCACAGGACATGTGGCTGTTGACAGGTGTGGATGTGTTACACAGAACATGGCTGTTGACAGGTGTGGAAGTGTTTCACAGAACATGGCTGTTGACAGGTGTGGATGTGTTACACAGAACATGGCTGTTGACAGGTGTGGAAGTGTTTCACAGGACATATGGCTGTTGACAGGTGTGGAAGTGTTACACAGGACATGTGGCTGTTGACAGGTGTGGAAGTGTTACACAGAACATGTGGCTGTTGACAGGTGTGGAAGTGTTTCACAGAACATGGCTGTTGACAGGTGTGGATGTGTTACACAGAACATGGCTGTTGACAGTTGTGGAAGTGTTACACAGAACATGGCTGTTGACAGGTGTGGAAGTGTTACACAGAACATATGGCTGTTGACAGGTGTGGAAGTGTTTCACAGAACATGGCTGTTGACAGGTGTGGATGTGTTACACAGAACATGGCTGTTGACAGGTGTGGAAGTGTTACACAGAACATGGCTGTTGGCAGGTGTGGAAGTGTTACACAGAACATATGGCTGTTGACAGGTGTGGAAGTGTTACACAGAACATGGCTGTTGGCAGGTGTGGAAGTGTTACACAGAACATATGGCTGTTGACAGGTGTGGAAGTGTTACACAGAACATGGCTGTTGACAGGTGTGGAAGTGTTATACAGAACATATGGCTGTTGACAGGTGTGGAAGTGTTACACAGAACATGACTGTTGACAGGTGTGGAAGTGTTATACAGAACATATGGCTGTTGACAGGTGTGGAAGTGTTACACAGGACATATGGCTGTTGAAAGGTGTGGAAGTGTTACAAAGAACATGTGGCTGTTGACAGGTGTGGAAGTGTTACAAAGAACATATGGCTGTTGACAGGTGTGGAAGTGTTACACAGGACATGTGGCTGTTGACAGGTGTGGAAGTGTTACACAGTACATATGACTGTTGACAGGTGTGGAAGTGTTACACAGGACATATGACTGTTGACAGGTGTGGAAGTGTTACACAGTACATATGACTGTTGACAGGTGTGGAAGTGTTACACAGTACATATGACTGTTGACAGGTGTGGAAGTGTTACACAGGACATATGACTGTTGACAGGTGTGGAAGTGTTATACAGAACATATGGCTGTTGACAGGTGTGGAAGTGTTACACAGGACATATGGCTGTTGACAGGTGTGGAAGTGTTACAAAGAACATGTGGCTGTTGACAGGTGTGGAAGTGTTACAAAGAACATATGGCTGTTGACAGGTGTGGAAGTGTTACACAGGACATGTGGCTGTTGACAGGTGTGGAAGTGTTACACAGAACATGTGGCTGTTGACAGGTGTGGAAGTGTTTCACAGGACATATGACTGTTGACAGGTGTGGAAGTGTTACACAGAACATGTGGCTGTTGACAGGTGTGGAAGTGTTTCACAGAACATGTGGCTGTTGACAGGTGTGGATGTGTTACACAGGACATGTGGCTGTTGACAGGTGTGGAAGTGTTACACAGAACATGGCTGTTGACAGGTGTGGAAGTGTTACACAGAACATGGCTGTTGACAGGTACGGAATTGTTACACAGAACATATGGCTGTTGACACGTGTGGAAGAGTTACACAGAACATGTGGCTGTTGACAGGCATTGAAGTGTTACACAGAACATGTGGCTGTTGACAGGTGTGGAAGTGTTACACAGAACATGTGGCTGTTGACAGGTGTGGAAGTGTTACACAGTACATATGACTGTTGACAGGTGTGGAATTGTTACACAGAACATGGCTGTTGACAGGTGTGGATGTGTTACACAGAACATATGGCTGTTGACAGGTGTGGAAGTGTTTCACAGGACATGTGGCTGTTGACAGGTGTGGAAGTGTTACACAGAACATGGCTGTTGACAGGTGTGGATGTGTTACACAGAACATATGGCTGTTGACAGGTGTGGAATTGTTACACAGAACATGGCTGTTGACAGGCATTGAAGTGTTACACAGGACATATGGCTGTTGACAAGTGTGGAAGTGTTACACAGGACATATGGCTGTTGACAGGTGTGGAAGTGTTTCACAGGACATATGGCTGTTGACAGGTGTGGAAGTGTTACACAGAACATGTGGCTGTTGACAGGTGTGGAAGTGTTACACAGAACATATGGCTGTTGACAGGTGTGGAAGTGTTACACAGAACATGGCTGTTGACAGGTGTGGATGTGTTACACAGAACATGGCTGTTGACAGGCATTGAAGTGTTACACAGAACATGTGGCTGTTGACAGGTGTGGATGTGTTACACAGAACATGGCTGTTGACAGGCATTGAAGTGTTACACAGAACATGTGGCTGTTGACAGGTGTGGAAGTGTTATACAGAACATATGGCTGTTGACAGATGTGGAAGTGTTACACAGGACATATGGCTGTTGACAGGTGTGGAAGTGTTTAACAGGACATGCGGCTGTTGACAGGTGTGGAAGTGTTACACAGGACATGCGGCTGTTGACAGGTGTGGAAGTGTTACACAGAACATGGCTGTTAACAGACATTGAAGTGTTACACAGAACATGTGGCTGTTGACAGGTGTGGAAGTGTTACACAGAACATGTGGCTGTTGACAGGCATTGAAGTGTTTCACAGGACATATGGCTGTTGACAGGTGTGGAAGTGTTACACAGAACATGTGGCTGTTGACAGGTGTGGAAGTGTTTCACAGAACATATGACTGTTGACAGGTGTGGAAGTGTTACACAGAACATGTGGCTGTTGACAGGTGTGGAAGTGTTACACAGGACATATGACTGTTGACAGGTGTGGAAGTGTTACACAGAACATGGCTGTTGACAGGTGTGGAAGTGTTACACAGAACATGTGGCTGTTGACAGGTGTGGAAGTGTTTCACAGAACATATGACTGTTGACAGGTGTGGAAGTGTTACACAGAACATGGCTGTTGACAGGTGTGGATGTGTTACACAGAACATGGCTGTTGACAGGCATTGAAGTGTTACACAGAACATGTGGCTGTTGACAGGTGTGGAAGTGTTACACAGAACATGTGGCTGTTGACAGGCATTGAAGTGTTACACAGAACATGTGGCTGTTGACAGGTGTGGAAGTGTTACACAGAACATGTGGCTGTTGACAGGTGTGGAAGTGTTTCACAGGACATGTGGCTGTTGACAGGTGTGGAAGTGTTACACAGAACATGGCTGTTGACAGGTGTGGAATTGTTACAGAGAACATGGCTGTTGACAGGTGTGGAAGTGTTACACAGGACATGTGGCTGTTGACAGGTGTGGATGTGTTACACAGAACATGTGGCTGTTGACAGGTGTGGAAGTGTTACACAGAACATGGCTGTTGACAGGTGTGGATGTGTTACACAGAACATATGACTGTTGACAGGTGTGGATGTGTTACACAGAACATGGCTGTTGACAGGTGTGGATGTGTTACACAGAACATATGACTGTTGACAGGTGTGGATGTGTTACACAGAACATGGCTGTTGACAGGTGTGGATGTGTTACACAGAACATGGCTGTTGACAGGCATTGAAGTGTTACACAGAACATGTGGCTGTTGACAGGTGTGGAAGTGTTTCACAGAACATATGGCTGTTGACAGGTGTGGAAGTGTTACACAGAACATATGACTGTTGACGGGTGTGGAAGTGTTTCACAGGACATGTGGCTGTTGACAGGTGTGGAAGTGTTACACAGAACATGTGGCTGTTGACAGGTGTGGAAGTGTTACACAGAACATGGCTGTTGACAGGTGTGGAAGTGTTACACAGAACATGGCTGTTGACAGGCATTGAAGTGTTACACAGAACATGTGGCTGTTGACAGGTGTGGAAGTGTTTCACAGAACATATGGCTGTTGACAGGTGTGGAAGTGTTACACAGAACATATGGCTGTTGACAGATGTGGAAGTGTTACACAGGACATATGGCTGTTGACAGGTGTGGAAGTGTTACACAGGACATGCGGCTGTTGACAGGTGTGGAAGTGTTACACAGAACATGGCTGTTGACAGGTGTGGAAGTGTTACACAGAACATGGCTGTTGACAGGTGTGGAAGTGTTTCACAGAACATGGCTGTTGACAGGTGTGGAAGTGTTACACAGAACATATGACTGTTGACAGGTGTGGAAGTGTTACACAATACCTAGGCTATGGCTGTGTTGACAGTGCTTTGAGAAATCCTAGAATGGTTGGTAGATGGTGATCTCATCATTTTGTGATAGTTGTCAAGCGTGTACATATTCATTGTTTCACGGGTGCCATCCCAGTGTGTGTGCATGTGAGAGCGAGAGACATTCTTGTAGTATCCCACTAGACCTATTACTACCTGTAGATGATCCATGTAGACGTTGTAGTCAGGGAAACTAGTTGGACACGGATCAGGACCATATCACTTCTTTGTAGATTAACCATACATATCCCTGACTGTAGATAACATCTGTACAACTGTGATGATTGTGTTTTTTGTTTCTTTTTTCATGTTACTGTGTCCTTTGCAGGATGCACAGATACAACTTTGGTGATCTCCTTACCCCTGGCTAGAATCCCTCCCCTGGTCCCCGCTCCACAAAGCGATCTTAGCGCCTCAACAATTGTAAGCCTTTATTAAAGTATGGAAGTTAAGGTAACCTTAACGCTACAACAATTGTAAGCCTATGTTAAAGTATGGAAGTTACAGTTACCTTAGAGCTACAACAATTGTAAGCCTATGTTAATGTATTGAACTTACAGTTACCTTAGCGCTACAACAATTGTAAGCCTTTATTAAAGTATGGAAGTTAAGGTAACCTTAGTGCTACAACAATTGTAAGCCTATGTTAATGTATGGAAGTTAAGGTTTCCTTAGAGCTACAACAATTGTAAGTCTATGTTAATGTATGGAAGTTACAGTTACCTTAGCGCAACAACAATTGTAAGCCTATCTTAAAGTGTGGAAGTTAAGGTAACCTTAGCGCTACAACAATTGTAAGACTATGTTAAAGAATGGAAGTTACAGTTTCCTTAGCGCTACAACAATTGTAAGCCTATGTTAAAGTATGGAACTTACGGTTACCTTAGCGCTGATGAGTTTTTTTTAAATTCACTTACCCAAGACTCAGAGATGCAACTTTGTCCCTGACTAGATTCCCTGGTCTCAGATCACAGAAACAGCTTTACTTTCTTCACACATATACCTCATAAACATAGTTATGGCATTTCCAACTTTCACACTGCTTTAGTATAAAGATGTGAGAACTGTACACAGCAAGGTAATGGCTGTTTTTAAGACATTTGTGAACTTGCATCAGGCTGTGCTGTCAATTTCCAGTTCATCCTTATTTGTTTGATTTGTTTAGTACCGGGTAGGATGGACCTTTTTGTTCTTAATATGACATAACACTGATGATGACAATAGAGCCTGACTCCATGTAGTCAGATGGCTGCATTGGTTCCCTACCATCACTCTCAGGCCATAGTTCCTGGAGATTTTCAACACAGTTGCAGGGATTTGATCTGCCCTGGCAATCATATGTACTTGGGAGGAGAGATAGCATGTATGAAGTACATGAAAACAGAACTGACATGTGAAGATGTTTGACGTTGATGTTTTCTGTCAGTTATGGAAGCCTTCAGCGAAGACGTGTCATGACACAAACTGTGATATTAACAATGTCGTCATTGACACCTTTGATTAGTGCTGAATCGTGTTGTATAGTAGAGGATTGTGGTGGATTGCATAATACTGAAACTACTGTCAAGCTGTCCATCCTCGTGTGTATGTCTCCATTCTATTGGGATGAATACCCTGGACAAGAAAAGAAAAGCTATGTTAGGCTAAAAAAAAAAATATGCTTGGTTCTCAGGCACCACCCACATCATCATAAAATCGTCCACACGTTTAAATTTCCATTTAAAAAAAAAAGGAATAAATCTTTAAATATTCCACATCTTGAACACACAACCCCGGCAAATGCTACAATACATGAGAACAACAAATTATTCTAACAAAAATTTGGTTACATACTAGCTTGAACAACTTCCCCCCCCCCAAAAAAAAAAAAACACAAAAAAAACCAACAACGCCTGCACTATATTTTCAAAAGCCATTGCCTGAGACCCAATTCTTTTATTTTTTTACGCCTTAGCGTATGAGTCCAGGAGAACACACTTGATAATCCCAGATGTCTAGCCACATGCATGCTAACCTCATGGTCTTACTGTATTAAGCAGTACAATTGCTTGCTAGGAATGAATGGTTCTGTCTAACTGTGGTTCTGTTATTATGTTGAGTTATGTTGTGGTCCCAGGCCAATCGTTATTTGTTACATTATTGACATAATTTAGTCTTCCTGACCTGGCACTATAGTTGATTGTCAATGATTTGTTGCTTCAAAATACCATTTTATGTATTGTTAAGTTTTGGTTAATCTATAGACTAATCACTCTCAATGTATGTACTGTCATTTCCTTTAGATTTGTTGAGTGTATTGAAATTTTATTTACATTTTAGGTGCTACTTATCTTGTGTTACCATGGTTACTAATGTATTTGGGTATTGGGGAAAGAGCTAGCTGCTTAGCATAAAATGACTAGCATTACTGGGAGTTAACAGATCCTCTGGTCTTTCTTTCCTGAATAAATAGGTGAAGACAATCGAATTAAACTGATAACTGTTTTTCTCCTTCCAAGCATTCTGAAGGATACAAAAGTTCATTGTAGTTCTTGTGTAGTGTCTTTGATGCACAGATGATCGGTTGCAGTCTCTGCTGGGCTGTGCTGCCTGAATGATGTGGACTCTGTCTAACACATTTTCAGGGTTTAATTTTAGCAAAACGTAAAAGACTGAAACTGACATTTATTGTGAGAAAGAATACCCTTTGATATTGTAATATAATAATCATTTTATTGATTGTGTTCAAATGTACAGATAATTGTAAATACGAGAATTATGTGATTATGGGGATGAACTGCCTCTAGTGTAAATTTGTGTTTATTATGTAAATAATATTGAAGAATCACTTGTAGATAAATTGAAAAATCAATAAAGAAAGTGTCCAACTTCGTTGTTATGTACTGTGTTTTCATCAAATACAGTTGAACTTATCCAAATTGGAATCTCAAATTCGGATTTCGGTGAAAACCAGACTTTTTCTCCAGTCCCCTCAGTTCCTTAATAATTTATCATTACTCAAACTGACCTACAAGTCCCTAATTCAGACTTTTTACACTTCAGACTTCGAACTAAAATTATGGTCCCAACAACCAAACCGAATGTTCTCTCTCTTTGAAGTAAGCTCAGTGATTGTCAGGCTAAACAACAATAATCCAGAATGTAATCCTATTGATCTTAACACTTTGTTGTCCGCTTAGTTAAGTAGAATTTACTCACCTGTTATGTGAAGCTCAGCTTAATGAGATCATCAGTAAGCAGACTGTCTCCAATATCATATTGCTTTTTGTTTTGTCTTCGATAAAACTTCTTGTACCAGACCTTTTTACCAAGTCCGAATTGGACAGATTCCACTGTATTTCTTCTTATTCAGCTCTGCAGCTCGGATTGAAAAAAAATACAATCCCCGAAAATAGTTTTAAAAAATATTTATGCTTCAAACTGGCCTTACATTGATGCTCGTGCTGTTTACATCCACCCTTCCATTGACACAAGAACCATGTGGAATCTTGAAAGTCTTCTGTTGTGGGG